TGCAAGCTAACCACTGTCAGTGACAGTGGTAGATAGGTGGTGCTATATCCCAGCTAGTTTGCAAATTATGTAGCCCAGCCAACGTCCCCAATGGCTCAGTGGCTTAAGCTGCTGGCTAGTTGGCATCTGCCTCTAGCGGTCATGGGTTCGATCCTCCTTAGAGGACCGAGGGAATGCGCGCCACTGACGAGCCCCAATAGGGCAAATCGCGTCTGGCGCTTTTCCGGACTAGGCTCTGCTATGTAGTTTTTGAACTGTTGGGATGAAAGCCTTATCAAACGGGAGTTGCTCTGTCGTTGTCCCAATGTTCAACGGAGGCTCCCGTTCTGAATGCGGCAATCATAGGGGTGTATAGAAGCAAATGTTGGTAGCTCAGATTGTTCAGTTGGTGGTCTGAGTTTTCGCTTAGCCCATAATCGCCTTTGAAAGTATGAAAAAGTCATAAATGAAAATAGAACTGACTGCCTTATTGCGATGGGACCCCAAAAACTTGCGGAGCTTGAATCCACGATTCAACCTCGAGTAAACAACATCAGAATTCAGCGTAACTTAGCACTGAATATCAAGTTGAATAGGCTTACGAGAAAGTCTGACCAACAGTGAAGGGTGGATCCGAAATTTGTCTAGCCGTCAACTCAGCACAACGGAGGAGAATACACTAATCAAAGGACTAAACTTTAACGCAAAAGATGCATCGTGTAAGGATTACTTGGCGAATCTGGAACAATTTTTGAACACAAACGGACTATCGGAAGAATCACGGCAACAAATTAGACAAACAGTTGTGCCTGCGATAACTCGCAACAAAGTCACACATACTCTTGCAAAAGAAGAACGGGAAGCACTGAGAAGGCTACAAAAGGAAGAGTATTGTAATCCTACCAGCAGACAAGGGACGCATGGCAGTAACAATGGATAAAGCAGATTACGTTGCAAAGGCCAAACAACTCCTTTCTCACACGATCACCTATCGCCCCATAGATCAGGACCCCAATATAAAACTGAGTACTCAAATCAACACAGCATTGAAGAAACTACAAGCAACGAGTGAGATTACCAAACAGGAGCGATGGAAGCTGAGGGTACAAAGATTGCAAGATTCTATGGACTGCCAAATGTATACAAAGACGGGGTCCCTTTGCGTCCAATCGTCTCGTTGCCAGGAACCCGATCGTACAAATTGGCAAAATGCGTGTGGAAGAAATTAACACATCTAATTGCCGGATCTGAACAAAGCATCATCAATGCTGAACAATTCATCAACAAACTGAAGTGTGTTACAATAGAGGAAGATGAAATCATGCTGTCGTTTGACGTCACCGCACTCTTCACGTCGATCGGTCACGAACTTGCAAAAGAAACCATGATGGAATTACTTCGAAATCAACCGAACACAATAGGAAACCTCAAGCCGGAGAGCATATGGGAACTCTTGGAACTCTGCATGACTACTTATTTTTACTTTGATGGGTAAGTACACCAACAACTGAAAGAGACGCCCATCTCAGGACTTATTGCAGAAGCTGTGATGCAAAAACTGGAGAGTATCACAATACCGTTAATCAAACCAAAATTATGGACCTGCTACGTGGACGACACGTTTGTCATCATCAAACGAAATTCCATACAGAATACCCATGAGTTAATCAACAATACATCCCAGGATATCAAGTTTACAATTGAACTCGAAAAAGACAACCAATTACCATTCTTAGATGCACTGGTCCAAAGAAACTGCCGAGCTCAGCGAACACTCAGACCACCAATCATAGGGGGATCACTCTTGTCTCAATTGTCTCTAAATTGCTTGCCTCTGTCGTTGTCTACAGACTGTCTGGCACTCGTGGAAACCAGATTCCTGAAGAGTAAGCTTTGTTTCGGCGAGTTCGGGGCTGCGTCGACGACATTTTCACTTTGCGTCAATTGTTGGAGCACGGCCGTTTGTCCTCGACCCACCGTTGTCATGTTTCTCGACATCAAATGTGCTTTCGATTCGGTGGACTGATGTGCCCTTTGGGACTGTCTGCTCAGGAAAGGTGTACCCGATAAGTAGGTAGACATTATCAGACCGCTGTATGCGCATAGTTCGGGCGGAGTGAGGGTTTATGGCAAACTGTCGCTGTCCTTCAATATCCCCAACGGTGTGAGACAGGGTTGGCCGCTTCAACCTTTCCTCTTTAACTCGTGTATTATGCCCATTTAGACATAAGGAGACTTGCAAAGAGATATCTCTTTTCGATAATTCTCGTCAGGCATTTACATTTATGAAGAAGATTAAGCAAACGGGGAAGCTAACTAGAGCTCGAGTGATAGTGGTTAGATGGTTATTTAAATGGGATAAGTGAATTCAATCGATAGTTATGTCAATGAAGTCAGGTGGTAGCAGTTACACCACGTCTCGCGCATACAAATAGACAAACACGGAAAGCAAGAACCCAGTGGCTGATGAGGAACAAAACTCACAGTTGGGTCGGGGGTTCTGTCAAATACGGACGGAATCTAAGTCACGCCATTGACGAAGTCATGGAGGCAGCGTTCCCTGGACACGACCTACAAGGTGTGGAGCTACTTTCTGGTGAGCGACTTCTTAACTTAGAGTATGCGGACGATATTGCCTTCATCTGTGACACCTCCCAAACATGCCAAGCGGCGCTGGACCGATTAACACTAGCTGTCTATCGTTTTGGGCTATGCTTTGCTCCATCGAATTGCAAATTCCTCCAAGATTTGCAGGAACCCAACCCTGCGCTGACCCTTGATGGTGATCAACTTGAAGTCGTTCAGGAATTCAAGTACATGGGCAGCTATATTAGCACACGTGGGATCGAGGATGAGTTTACGAACCGTATAGCAAAACTTCCATACGCTTCTGCCAATCTCCGCCACCTGTGGTACCGACGCGATATCATTCTAGCAGTGAATGATAGAGTTTATAATGCAGCCGTCCGTTCAACCCTCTTATACTTTTGTGAAACCTGGTCCATCAAGTGAGCAGACATAAAGAGGCTCGTCATGTTCAAGTATCCGTGCCTTCGCAGCTTAGCTCATGTCTGGTGGAGCACCACGTGAAATGAATGTGTTCCGCGTCGCGTATTGGATGCAGGAAGATCAAATGAACCGCTCAGCATCATTATATCACGCCCCGATGGCTGAGCCACGTGTTGCACATGCCAGCCCACCAATTTCCACGACGTGCATTATTTGCGCGCCCGGGTCTGGACGGAATTAGAGGAGGGAGGCCAAGCGATGAGTTGGTCGAGAGAAATGAGAGCCCTCACTTCGAAGTTGGCGTCGGTTGGTGCATCCTTACTGCCTGGCTTGGGTCCTAAAGACGATGAACACGTTTGGTTGGACACACTTGCTGATATGGCGAAGAATCGGTCCCAATGGCGTTTGTGCTGTGAGTTCCTTTGTCCACCCCCTCCTCTTTGGATTCGGGCTCTAATTAAGATCTCACACGGAATGCATAATATAATATCTAACAATATATTATTTGCTTTTTGATTTCTTTGAAATGTAAATTTTAGCATATTACCTTTTTGTATCGCGGAACATTACCTGAGAGGTGTGTTTCTCACCATCAGCTAACGTGTGTAGTTACGATGATGAGGTTGGCGTCCATATGAGTTCGTACGCAATGAAATGGTTAGTTTGGACCACTAAGCATAGTGTCCAGCCCGTGAAGTGCCACTGAAGATGATAAGCTAATATCTGTGAGTTGTGTTGCACCGCCAACAAACACATCTACACTGGCGCCTCCACAGAAAGTGCACTCGAGGCCCAGGTTATGCACATAACTGTTTACAACGATGAAGCAAGTCCCAACTTAGCGTCCTGTGTGATGATCAACAGACTAGTGATTAGTGCAACCGCTTTATGGTGCTCTCAAGCAACCCGTAGGAATTTCCGAAAACTTTAAATTACCATCCGAGTTTGCATGGACTTGTATTTCGGCTTTTGGCACAAGAGGTTCTTCAGCCCAGGTGAACTAGCACAGAATTTGATTGACTTCATAGCTAATTAGGTAAATGATTGCGAGAAATATCCCGAGTCAGTGGATCCTTGTGGTTGCAGTTTCGTTGGGTCAAGGGTCATTCTAGTGGTACAACGCGCATGGCACGTTCCCAATCGATCACATGTAAAACGCCTGTTCTTGTTGTTGCGGATTCTGGTGATGATGATTCGACGTTTTCGCTCTAGCATGAGTCCGTCTGCCGACGCTGCTCAAACTGATCTGGTTAAGACAGCTCACCATGCGTTTGACAGCTCCACCCCATCTATGTTGTTTATGCTATTATTGGCCTTGTCAACTGCTATCGCCTCAGAGATAAAGCTATGGCTTGTAATTCTTACTCCCGTCGTAATCATCTGTACATTGTCCCAGACGATTTCGTGTCCCGATTCTGGTGCGTTGCCGCTACCACCGGGTCTTTTAGTAAAGCCTTGTATTCAACCTCGTTACTCGGTGGACGTAAATCGTGCCCCGGGTTCTGCTATCTTTCTGTGTACAGTTCTGTCGATGTACACAGACACTCGAGAAAACCTTAGAAGATTAGTGGTATGATGAATTTTTCAGAATGTAACCGAACAGGCAATACATGTTCGATGGTATTTAAGTACCCCTTGTGTAGATCGACCGTAATCTTAAAATGGATCGCCATTCATCTTGAAGCACCGAGATACTGCTAGAGCATGGTCGGTGCCATGGGAAAAGGGAGTGAAATGGAAATACTTTTGAGTTGCTCCTCCCAACACTGCACTATGTTGGAAGGAGCAACCCAAAAAATATTTGCATTTCAGATACGGTCCTTGCGATCGGAATGACTGAGGTCCACCTCAAGTGAACCTAGGTCTCAATAGAGGTTGCGTGTCGCAACCCAACCACATACAGCGGGTTCACCAAGTCCACCTTCGAAAAAGGAGTGAATTCAATTTCGGCCGAAAATGCACAAGAGCAAGTGATCTTACTGATTGGCAACACACTTCCTTCGTATCCGTTTGTACCACAGAGACCCAGTGTGTAGGGGAAGTTAAGCACGGAAATTCAAGTCGTTTTGTTATACTAGGCACACAAAATAGGGACCTAGAGTAGAGACAGCCGGAGAGTTAATGCATGAAAACATAATCCATCTGGTGTATTGGATGGGAAAAATCAATCCTGTGCTGACAGGAAGGGTAAGTCAAGCGAAGGAAACACAAAATCGAGGACAGAAGATGTGCTGCACAAAGAAGATACTGCTTGTCCCTTGATGACACAGAATGGATTGGATGGTGTTCCATTAGGCCAAAATATGAGGGAGACGGTTCGCTTGGGGTTTTGCGATCACTTTTTGTATGACCAAACGGTGAAAAGAAGTCGTGTACATGCGCGTGTAATAAAGACTGTTTTTAAACCGGCAATTTGATCTGAGTGTTTTGTATCTCGCGGACTGAAGACGTAAAATCCAAAGGTCTCCAGAGGAAAGAAAGATAAACTGGAAGACACAAAAGTCACAATATTGATCCAAAATCGAGTTAAAGGCGCCAAAAGACTGCAACGTCTGTATCCAAACGTGTTTTGTCAAATTTGATGGAATTTTCATTGGAAGTCAGTGTGAAGATGACTGGATCTACTTGTCTCAGCAATGCGCTGTAGTGAGAGTGCCAACTCAAAATGGGTCTTTAGAGCCCCGACCATTTAGAAGGCTTCGGGCACGTGAGGCAGCCCTTGAGCTTGCTCCCGAACCGTTTTCACGCCTATTAATAGAAAAAAGAAAAGTTCAGTAACGTTCTGTGCGCATGACGGCTAGTCTCGGAAGGCATGTGCTAGATCGAGGCAAGCATGTTCCACAATGAGATGTTTCACATGCTGTGTGCGCCATGAGAAGGTGGGGAAAGCACTGCACTTGTCAAGGAGAGGTAAATGAACTCGTAGGCTGAAGTGGCAGCAGAAATTTTCAGTTTCATCGGTATCAGCGAAACCAACTTTCGTGGGAAGATGTCAAAAAGTTTACCAAATCTCTTCAATTCAATCTATGTGTGGGCCCTCATTAGGTAGAGATACTGCTGGCTGATAGTGGTGAATGCTTAGATTTGCTCTCACTATATAAGTCACATCCGCCTTGGATGATGCAACATATCCGCCAATCTTTCTGGTGCTATTTTCAGATGTATACATGTCCAAGGCTTATCGCAAACGTTTCTAGGCTATTTTTTGCATCCGAACCAAGGCATACATAGTTAGACAACATTCTAATCACACACGGAAATGGGCTACATGTTTTATTCCAAACAGGAAAAACACAAGACGTATTTTGTGAGATGACATCCCCGTTTTGTGCATTCTTGTCAATTACAAATATGCACCAGTGACAGATCAAATCAAACAGCGTCATATGAAATCATAGATGGCCAAGCGTTTGTCTCAGACATTCTTGTTGCTGGTACTCCGGTCATCGCACGCCACGGGCGCTTTCGCCCCTTTCACTTGAATATAGTGTGAATGAGATTTGGACCCATGACCTCGTGGCCACGTGTGGTAATGCAACTACCTAGCAGACAATCCAACCCAATGCATACGGTGCGTCAAAGCCAACTGACCGCTAATTTGCCCTTGATTGTAAATGGAGTGTGAATCACGTCTAACTGAATCCTGGTTAGTTCTGTCACCGAAACTGTATCTGACACAAATGGATCTAATGTTAATTGCTCGCAGACCGTCATCACATGACTGGCTACCGTGCCTGGTTGCAATCTTTACGTATCGGGGTCGAGCCGCATTTTCGCCCGCTCTCTACTTGAAGACTGCAAACAACCGAGGGTGTGGGACTGTGAATGGGCCATACCTAATACATAAGATGCACTATGTCGCAGTTAACTTGTAAATCATGACTGTCCGAAGCTGTCTCCCATGGCCCAGTGACTGGCACTGCAAGCCACTGGTGGTCACGGGTTCAAATTCTTATGGTTCCGGTGGGTACGCACTAGTGTTGATGGCCGACAGGTTGAAACTGCAGTCTAGTGCTTTCCCGGGGCACGTGGAGGACTATCTGCTTTAGAAGCTGGTGCGGTGAACTTTTAATTAATACCTTACAGATATCTATTCTCTGAGTTATTAAAAAATCCAATCAACATGAGTCATCTATAACCCGGGGCACTGTAGTATCAGAAAAACGCAGGTGCGGAGGACGTAAATTGTGAGAGATAAACGTAGAAAATACGACCGCTCAGAACGACACGGATCGATCAATCAGCATCCGGCAAAGTTCAACCAATCTGGATAGAGTATCACAACAGGCACAAAGAAACTTCCTGTATAGATAATGTTAGTATAACTGCACATGTACCTTTGTTTGCTACCACCTCCGAGGTGAAATCTAGGAAGCCAGTTGAAGTTTGTGAAAGGTTCTAGTGCACTAAAAAGCCGAAAATCTGCGGGAAACGGTTGTGCTCCACTCCGTTTCAGTTATCACATGCTTCTTGATGACTTTGTGTTTTTAAAAAAATGTTGCTGTCAGTGGAGAGCTTTTCGTGTTTCTCTAGGACCGCTTTCGTTATTTAAACTTTGCAGAGATAGTCAGAGCTTAGAGTGGAATCCGGGACGTAGAGGGTGACGGTTGATGCTTTGACCATCAGCCCTGGAGCCCCGAGAGTTATCAAGTTTAATGTCTAATCAGATAGAGGCAAACTCATTAAGCCTGACACTCATTGAACTGTTGTGTATGGGGCTCACCGTACGAAGACAGGTGCGAGTGATGGAGACTATACACCCTGTCCTATCATCCGGTGCGAATCGACCTCAGCATCTAGGTGACCTCCCCATATTGAGACAAGTGCATCATTTGCGAACATCCTGCAGCATACGCGGACACCAATAAAAGCTTGTGGTTCCAGGGCTGAAATGATTTCCCTACCCCCTGTGCTTCGAACTGCGAGCGCCCAATGTTTGGAACAGTTTGCCGGAGTACCTAGTGAAAGCAAACTCAGTGTAACAGTTCAAAACATTGTTGGATGTACATTCCAAAGTTAGTACCCGAGAACAATTATCCTCTGACACTGATCTCTCAAATCTGTGAGTCTCTATTTAATGTGTTATACATTGTATATGATATCATGTGGAAAATGATCAATGTTTGACAGGTCATAGATAGTTCTTGTTTTTCAACGTTTTTTTAACCATAGTTAGATGGTTGTACAGATTTAAATTTATACTTGCTCGCGGAGTGGTAGATGAGAGACGACACTGAAACTCACACATAGCGAGATCCCTTCAGTTTCGTATTCACTTCAACCCTTGTGCTCAAAGTGATTGGTCCCATGTCCGTTGGAGCATCTGCATCCGATGGTTCGAGGGTCAATGTGTACCTTCCCTCATCGTTGGTCATTACTTGGTCTATGGCGAGGGACAGTTCACCGGCCTTGCTTCGAGTTATCCTCCGGCGTCCGTCGTAGGTGAGCGTACGGCCAGCTTTGGACCACGTGGCTAGAACATAGATAAGTGCAGGCATGCAGTTAAAGGGAGCCGGCCGAATGGTGGTGTACAGTTGGGAAACATGGTGCAGCTTGCTGCTCGAACATCTACTTCTAATAGGTAAATGAAAATGTGGTATATTGTTTTGGAACCTGAGGAGTAATGTTCTGCGCCTGATCCTTAGTCATTAATCCTTTTACTCTGTGAACGCTAAAAATGGGTAATGTGCCCGACTTGTGCCCCATAGCAGCGACCATGCATGAAACCTCCATTTTCCTTGCATCTTATGACTCGACCAACACCACAGTCCGAAACTGCTCTATTGGATAATCGTCACATCTACTCCTCAGTCCATCGATTTACTCTTTTGTGTAAATGTCTGGAGGAAAACTGCGACGGGAACAACATATGAGTCTAGTATTTCCCTCACGCTCGCACACGACAGATCCGAGTTCAATACCGTTTCCAGGAGGTGAATTACAATTCACGAAGCTGACGGATAGTACTGACAATTCATGAGTAGTTCACTTTTATTAAACATTTCATCACGCTTCGCATCTTCACCCCACAGTAATTTGCACATTGTCAGACGTTGGATTGTAACTGATGATAATCCGAACGAAGTAACTGACATCCGCGTTCATGTATATGTTTACACTTTTGTTTGTATAACATTTCCGCTTTTTACGCATAACCTAAGGCCGTGTTTACAGTCCTTTGTTCTAATGCGCTGCGTTTACGGAGCCTCCACCTCCATTACTACTGCTGTTCGAACTTTACTGGATTTATTTTACATCGGTTTGTGAGTCTATTCACTTATTCGTAAGTCAACTGTATCTTTGATAGTAAATGCTTGTAGAATCACGATTTATTCAGTAAAATTATTACGCCCATTCCCCTCGTATTTTACCGACCAGGCGTAGGTTTGGTGATTAGGCTTGTCAGTTGGCCGTCGGCCGGTCACAGCTACACAGGAATTTTATAGTATCTCGTCTGAAACCGACAGATTGTAAAAACAGGACGCCACACTGATTCTTTTTAACAAGACCCCACGAGCCGAAAATACTTGGTACCAGAATCCACTCATCTCGGGTACAAATCCCAACCGACCAGTCGCGTACTTTTGAAATTACACCAGATCCGGATGCTGTAAATATGCATCCAGTTTTAGTCACTCCTTTAAACGACATTTAATATAATATATACATATAATGAGCAGATAAACGATTGCTAGTCATAGTCTCACCGCTGAGAGCAAACGCTTAGTCTGTTAGTAGTCATATAAAGTGTGAGGCTTATGTTTTAATTAACAATCTTCCTTTCCTCCTTGGTTACTATTGATTCTGCATGCACATAGCAGAATCTCATTTCCTAGAACAGAGTAACTGAGGGAATCAACAGAAAACTGGATCCGAAAGAAGCAGGTTCCTTTTGAACTGACTACCTGAAACGACCAACCGCGTGGTGGGGTAGAAGGGTATGCTATGAGTTTATATGTAGAATGTTAAGATTTGATCATTTATATTTGGGCATAGTGTATGAGAGTGTTTAGTTGGGTTGACTTTTTCATGCATTTAATGTGAGATTTTAAATGTGTAGGATGTTTATATGGGTGAATGTGAGTGTTCATGAGGGGGTATGGATAAGTTATTGTTTTGAAGGTAAAGTAATTAGTTGGTAGATAAAATTTATGGGGGAATTAGATATGGTATTATAATATGTAATGTAATGGTTTGTTTATAGGAGAAAGGTTATTAGTTATGTTAAGGGGTTAGGGGAAGGGAAGAAAGTTGTTTGTTATATGGGAATGTGGGATTGTGGTTTTTGTAATATGGAGGAGAATAATAAAAAAAGGTGTTGGAAGTGAGGGGGGATTGGGGTGAGGAGTATGTATGGGTTTAGGTGGGTAATATAGGATAAGGGTGTGTGAGGGTGATTAGGATTTGGGGGGGGTAGGATAGAGTTGAAAAGAGGAAGAAGGGGAGGGAATTGGGGTAGGGGAGAGGGTTGAAGGTGGTTTTAAGGGAAGAGGGGGGTAATTTTATGGTGGGGGGGGGGGGGGGATGGGAGGGTTTAGGGGGGGTATGGGTATGTGTGGGTTGGAGATGATGGATGGGGGGGGGTTAGATTGGGGTGGGGGGATTTAATGTGGATTATGTGTAGGAAGTTGAAGGGGGGGTTGGGAGAGTGAATGGGATGTATTTGAGCGTGAAGAGGGAGGGATTGTATTAGGGAGGAGGGGAGGGTGGGAGAGGGATGTAGAGTTTGGGTGGGTTAGGAGGGTTTAAGAAGAGGGTGGGGTTGGGAGGGGTTGTTTTGAGTGATATTTTGGTAGATGGAGTAGATAGTTGTTGGTTTTTGAGATAATTTAAGGAGGTGGTGATGAGGGTATAAGGAAGAATAGGATTTATGGTATGAATTGGGAGTTGTTAATGAAGGTGAATGTATTGTGGGATGATGGAGGTTGTTCTACCGATACCTGGTAGACCATCTTGGGAAAGTTGGGGAATAGCCGAATTACTGACGTCAAGGCTTGAACTCGTTGGAGGGATTGAGAGCTCACGACCAGCAGACATCCCTCTGGCGTAGGTAGAACGATCAATCGAAGACCGCTGAGCAAGAGTGACCACATAAACAAAGGCTGTGGATCGCTCACGGCCATATCTGTTGTGCGCAATGCAGCGGTAAAGGCCTGCGTCCGAAGTTCTTAGGTTGGAAATTTTAAGGCAAGCAGTTCCGTCACCGGTTGAACTGGAGACAATTCGTTGTTTGCCGCTTTCTGTAGACAAAAGCTCAAATCCGTCCTTTTCCCTGTGAGAAAGAACAGTGGTAAGTGAGTCGTTTCATCTGGAAAGATCGAGCTTTAGTGACTTGTGCAAAAAAGACAAAATGCTACTCTTTCTCTCTCAATATTTGGAATCCACGTAAGGAAATCCCGTTTAGGCACTTGGAGATTACCAATTCCATCCAACTGCACTCCATCATGATCTTCGATACCTTATGAAGATAAATTGTGAGGAATGAGTAACACGTTTGTTTCATTCTTCTATTTTCCTGAACTCCAAAAAACGGTTACCTGTACTGTTGTATTCTGGAGGTCCTCGTCAAATAGAAAGTTGTGGTGCATCAACCGGGGGCATACTTTACTACGAACTGACTTGTCTGACAGGACATGAATCTGTTTTTGTTAGACCGAGTCTTATTTCCCCAAAATATACATCGGATAAAAACTCAGTTATTTCGCAGCACCAATCGACTTCACCACAACAGCACAATGGATTCATCACGAGTAAAAAGCAAATGCCTCGCAACTCCAGTGAGTGAAAAGATTAACATCAAGAAATATGTCGAAAAATAAATGCGTATCGGCGGACTCATTGTAAGGTGCGCATGTGCTTACAGTTTGGTTGTCCCGCTGCGCCCCAAAACCATTGGCTAAATCACGTACTGTGTGAGGAGTAACTATCAACCCGAGTTATGAATTCGTTCAGTGTGGAAGCGGAAATAAGAGAAATTGTGAGGACATTCCACGACTGGGACATAAGGATAGAGAACATTCCTGCGGCATTCCTACCCACTATATTGGGTATCAGACTTTAGATGGTGGTTCTTCGGTGTAATGTTGTGGCTGGGTATGAGTGGTCGAGATCCTTTAGTATCTGATGCATTAATATAAGGTTATCCCGCAAACGACGATAGTGCCTACTATAAATTCCTAAAGCCTTCACTTTGAGTTGATAAGAGATTACTGATTACTGGTTAGAAGCAGCGAGTAGAGCTTGCTCTGTGTAGCTGCATCAGTTGTCACTCATGGACAAATACCCGTTACATTATGTTACGCTCCATATATTTTGCGTCCGCAAAGTGTTTGTCAAGAAAATTCTTAAATTCCGACACTGAGTTTGCCTCTACTACGTGCTGCGGCAGGTCATTCCATACATTCACGAGTCTGCGTTCGAAACAGAGTTGGTGAGTGACCCGTTTCAAATCCGGTACTACAAGTTTATACCGGTGTCCTCGTGTGCTGCTTGGTGCGCGCAGATGAAGCAGTGCTCTCAACATAGGGTAATCCGGTGATTCATGATGAGGTCAACCCTTAGTCGAAGATAAGCTGGGGTGTACAACCCTAGTTTCTTACACCGTTCTTCGTACGGCACACCTCGTAATTTGGGAATCAGCCTGGTGGCTACATGCTGCACTCGCTCAAGCTTTTCTACCTCCCACCGGGTGAGATGGAACAAGACCTAAGTAATCCTAGTAGCCATTCGTTATGAGGTCTCAAGTGTCACACAGTCATGATTTTGCCACGGAGTGCCAGATCTAGATGAAGTATCCCACACGGGGCATCACATAAGCATTAGGTAGTAGAGAAAAGATGTTACATTCGAACTGATCGAACGCGCACCGCAAAAGGCCTAATTGTTGGCTAGCTATTTTTAAAGGTTTTCAGCTTGTCGTGAGCATCCGAGATCGCTCTGTATGAGTACTCCGACATCACTTGTATGGGAAGAGGGGCGAAAAAGATGCGCTTCTATTCGTCACTGGTGGGTACTTTAGTGGGATATGCTTTGGATGTTTCAAGTGATGCCTTTGTGTACGTGTAAATCATCACTGTCTAACTGTCCATATCTACGGAGCAGTCCACTTTCGTTCACGTTTCCATACGCTAAGAATTGGTCATCCTTGACTTCAATAATGGTGGCACTTTCGTCTCTTTCCTTGAAGGTGGCCCGAGCAAATTTTGCTTATCATTAAGTGATTTCTTTAAAATTACTCACACACTGAACAAGGCCCATGCAGTTCGGTGAAACGATTTAACGATATCAATATTTGGCTCTTCGATTTTGGCACTCTATGGTCGATTTTAAGTGAAACGAGCCGACGATATCAAGTTTTTGTTCGGGGGCTTTCGTCGTTTGCTGATGTATGTGACGCTGCGGGGTATCCAAGATCTGTTTGGAACATGGTTGGCAGCATCCGGTTTCGGATTTGCCTGTCACTGTGGCCAGCCACAGGACGCCTGCGTCTACACAGGGACCATTGATGGCTTGCGCTGCACCACCCACAGCTCTAACCACACACCCCATATCCAGTGTAAACCCGAAGGAATAAGACAGGGAGGCATGTGGATGGGAGCCACGTTTCATCAACAGAGCCGGCTCACACCCCTTCACGGGCAAACACAAGGACGCTGTATTTGGGAAATCAAGCGCACACAAGGCGGTGGCTGGACCGTAGTCCGCTCCACACTGAGTGCATGGAACCGCTCTTGGAGCCTAACACGGCCGCAAGGACCGTGCACCCCGTCCTCTCCAGCAACGACCAACTGTCTCCTGGACCCAGTATGGACGAGGTAGTGGGTAATAGACAGGTAGGCACCTTGTCAACATGCACATCAAGCGCAGCCACATCGGGGATATCAAGCAACAGCCAATCACCTGGAACGACAAGATGAAATAAAATAAATCCAATAATGCATACAGATACGGTGGCATAACTCTTCGCTAAATTAGCATATGAAGTAAGTTGGTAAGCAATGAGTCCGCGATAAGGAAAATATGTCCACAAGTTACTTAAAAATGCTACAAACGCAACCAAATCACCGAAGATAAGCGCAGTTATTGTAAACAACGTGGGCAGTTAATAGAAGAGTATTCAGGTAGGCAGAACAAACGAAATAAAGTGGAATGAAATTTAGCCAACTTAAAGAGACCTAGTTTAAGTGTAAGTTGGTTTAGCTTAACTGCGGTGAAGAAGCATCAAGAATGCAACATCAGCCTCAGCATGGGGCACTGTTTGGAACATAAGACAATAGTATCGATCGTCCGATCAATTACCTCATCATGCCATGCTAATTTAATGGGACCACATAAATTCTTTTTAGTGAACCTGTAGGAACCATGGGTTGTTAACGACTTCTCGAAATTTAACCGGTGTTAATATCGTGCGATAAGACTCTTATTTAAGGTCTAAAAAATCCCATAGCTTGTTACTTCGGGAGAAGAGCACATAAGACAATGCTTCAATGAGATAACTCGCTACTGAGCTTTCTTGCTTTCAGGGAAACTATCAAGTTCATTATAAAACTCATATTTATAATCACGTGATCACTAGCTATCTAAAGTCCGAATAAATTGTTGTCGTCTAAGGGATTGCGGGTTGGCGCTCACTTAGGAGCTCATTTAGAACTCATGTAGCAGTAAGGTTGAGATGTACTTTTCAAGAAAGTTGAGAGACGAATTGTCAGAACTTACCATTTGAAATCAGGCATAGGTAGTCCAGTTGCTGTAGCCTCTAAACAGAGAGTGGTTCCTTCGACTACCGTCTGGTTTCGGAGTTCTTTTGTGAATTGTGGAAGACGGAAATATTTCTCCTCTAAGATGGTCACCGCACACGAACATCTGGCCTCCCCAGCAGAATTGAACACAACCACTGTGTATTGACCCAGATCCTCCTTAGTTATATCGTCTATACATAATTCCAAGTGTCCACTTTGGTTCTTTATTGTCACCCTCGGGTCTGAGTCTGCATCGATCTCAGTTCCGTTTCGGTTCCAAATCACAGTGGCTGTAGGTTGGGCCAGAACTGATGCAGCCAGGCGGATAGTTCCACCAAGTGCAACTTGTTGATTACGCAACCGTCGGGTGAATTCCGGTTGACGGTGACGAATTGCGACACCCGCCATATCTGGTCCAAATGACATGCCACGGTTGAACAGTCCTGAAATAATATGAGAATGTTTTCAAATCAGCGAAGCACTCAACTGACCGATAAAAACGGATGCTGCCACAATACAGTGACGAGAAAGAAAAAGATGGATCAGATGAATCCGGGCGCAAGTGCGCCCGTTCCGATAAGGAGTTAGTTAATGACAATCACATAACACGCAATCACATAACATGGCAAGTGAAAAGGCAAGGCTAGAACACCGATCAAGTCAGTAGTAAGATGAGACGAAGGAACTCCCTTGCACTATTTTGTGTGTACACTCGCTGAGTCAAATGAGTAAGCATAGTAGTCAAACTGCTCACCTCGAACATGTAACGCGGCCTCGGTGATTGCTGTACCCGAGCTGCTGGTCGCGATGCATGTATAGGTGCCACTGTCGCGAAGCAATGCATCTCGCACTAGCAACGTGTGACTCGTGATATTCATGTCCGATGGTTCAGCGGATGATTGCGAGACGGTCAACCGAATACCATCAGTGAGAAGAGGTTTGCCATCCTTGAGCCAGCGTACTGTTGCCGGTGGCTTTCCTTGGACACATGCCTCAAATCGGGCAGCGCTACCCTCAACCACAGTAACACTCGACAGTTCAACCAAGAAACGAGGTGCCTCATGGTCCCCGTCTAAGGTAGCTGAAAGCCAGAAAAATGCCGGTAAGATCGGATAAGAGTAGGAAACCTATTGATATTGATAGCAAAAGTCGAAGAGATGGAAAAATAAAAAGATACCAATACTTACACAACACGTCAACGATCGCTGAACAGGATTGTGAACCATGTTTGTTGGTGGCCACTAGCGTGTACAAGCCTGCGTCTGAGACGGCCAGGTTCAGTATCTCCAAGGTCAGCTGTAATTCGGAATTGTGTGTCCTGCCGATTTCGTCTTGATAAAAGCGTCGTTTTGTTGAATTCACAAGGGGCACACCATTGTGCAACCAAGTGCAACGTGGCAATGGAATTCCAGACACTGGAGAGGAAGGGGACTTGTCACTTTCTGATGGATGATGTCGACAAAATATCGAATGGAAACTCAAGTAAAATAATAATGACGTGTTTCACCTATAACATTGGTTCTCTCCCACTTGCGGCATAGAAGATGAAAAATATGTGCTTTTAAGCCTCTACGTAACCGACGAGTTGTTAGTTATGGCGGAGACTCTCTGTACAACAAAAAAGCTTACCTCTGGCTCGCAACTGCACCTTCTGTCCACTGATCGCAGTCATGTCCACCAGCGGTTGCACTATGCGTGCCCCAAGTTCCTCGGCTTCATAGGACTCGGTGCGACTTTCAGGTCGATGGGGGGCCGCTATGAGTCACAAAAAAGAAGATGATAAGCATTGGCCCACTATTTCTTTATGCAAAGTTTAAATACGATATGTGTGGTCGTCATACTCGATCTATAGTCCGCGATGATGCAGAATTTGGAATGACTTGTTGAGTAAGCTCTATTTTCATATCGCCTCTCCATGGTTACATACTCAATGATGTCGAAAATACGATGGAATCTGTCTAGTCACGTTAAGGTGGCACACGACATGGCACTAGCTGCTGTCATCCGGAAGTCATGGGGTCGGAACCCGGCAGGGGTCCGAGGAACTTGCACCACTACTGAGGAGAGCCAGAATATCGAAACAGCTTTCTGGTGCTTTTCCGTCCGGGTGGGAGCCAGTCTGATTGAGGGGACTGCCTGCTTCAAGCCAAACAGCCCTTGGTCAAACTGATGCAAACTAGCCAGCTCCCACCCGGGGCTGGTTGTGGCCACAGGTGCGCAACATACTACGGTCCTCAGACACATGTTCATTGTTCCGAATCTCTAAAGACTGCGTGTGACAGGCCTCACACAGATCACAATGAGTCTCTGAAATCACACTCCCGGGCTGGACTTGCTCCCCACTGCCTTGTGAGTCAGACTGTTGAGACAAAGGTTAGAAGTAGAGCACCTCGAACGAAACTTCTCTCGCAAGGGGCAGCCGGAGAGTGACCTCTGTTTCATCGACCCCGTCACCAGTAGACCAACATTTTGTTGCTTTTACCTCAACTCTTCTTTTCCGTCTATTGAGCAAGGGACTACCGCTGGCCCCGTAGGTGCTGACATCGATACTTATAATTCGTCCGCACATCAAGGGTTTCATTTCACACTAGTTCGTTTAATGTTCGCACGCTAGACCAGATTGGCCAGCAGGCAGCACTAATTCTTGCTCTTCACCCTCTTGGTATTGATGTGTGCTGTATGCTCGAAACACACAAGGTAACAGTGTCATGAAGAACATTAGACTCCTGGTTCCGAGGCTGTCTACAGTGACTAGACTCTCCGCGTGTCTGGTGACTCAATGGTTCAAGGTATTTACAGTGTCCGTATCCCCCTCGATAAACAAGCTGAAGATAAGGTACTCGACTGCATGCCTGTAAACAGCTACATGTGTGCGCTTCGACTTCGAACCTCTATTGGAGTTAGTAAGCAACATCTGAAGACAAGGTGTCTTTTCATCGCGTCTGTTTATCTTCCTACCGACTGCAGATCGGATGGTATCAGAGAGGATTTCTATTGTCAGCTCTCATCTTTTCTCCGTATGGCGAAAAATACTGACAATGTGATTTTTGCTGTTGACATGAAGACCCAAGTGGGTCGTCTTTCAAATTCTGCACAACATCTGGGTGGGCGCTTCAGAGTCGACACGATCCGAATAGACAATGGTAGTCGAGTCTTGCAATTATATACTTACCCCAATCTTTGTGATAACAGAAGTGCTTTCCATCACGAACGTTCACATCGCGTCCTCTGGCGCCCACCGAATTCCTCAATGACCTGGACCCAAATTGACCATATTACCATCAGTCGCAGAAGCTTCACGTCAGTCCAAGACTCTCGGTCAATTTGGCGCACCTGACTGAATCCTGACCATGCTCTAGTGCGCGCACGGTTGGCGCTCACCCTTTACAGCACAAAGAAGCGCCTATCTTCTAACCTTCCTACCTGTAACTTGAACTCGTAGCTGCAGTTTGACAATAACATAACTAACTGGCCCATCGATTACCAATGATAAATAACTCTCGATCGATATCTGCTGCTTATCGGAGATCCGCCTGCAAGACTCGAGCACTGTGCTCACTTTGCGATCCCTTTCAGGTGACACCAGCAGCACTTTTTCATTGCGCTTATCCGGTGACGATGCGGATTCGAGCACCGGCCAAGCCGGTGTTGATATTGCCCTGAGTCCCCGGGATGAAGCTGCTCTGGTTGACTGGATTCCAATCAATAGCCGGTTGTGTGCGGTCCGATTGGCTGGCTCATTCAAAGTTTCGAAGTCGCGCGGGACTAACAGGGGTCTATCCGTCATCGCTGCCTATGCACCCACAAACTCTAGCGATGATTCGGTAAAAGACAACTTCTATCGCCAACTGAACGAGCTCCTTCGCCACAGAAGTAGCTCGGACACTGTTGTGCTGGCTGGGGATCTGAACGCTCAAATTGGAAAATTGTCCATTGATAATCTGCATCTGGGCGCCCAATATGGTGTAGGCTTCCGTAATGGTAATGGTGATCGGTTTCTTCATTTGTGTGAAGATGTCCCCTTATTTCTTGCGAGCACTACTTTCTGACACAGCACCCGTCGGAGGGTGACTTGGCGCCCACCAGCCTCGAACCAGCTATGGACGCAAATCGATCACATTGCGATAAGTTACCGATAGAGAGGCTGCGTCTAGAACTGTCGCTCGATTTGGAGCACAGGTGTGGACACCGACCATGCACTTGTATGTGCTGACCTGCGCATGCGTTTTGGCGGACGCCCAAGACGACGTTGTGAGTGCATAGACACTAGCCAACTGGCGAAACCAGCTGTTCTGAATGCCTATCAAAGTACGCTGTCATGCAAGTTGAATAAGCGCTCCCCGGATGCCGTTGAAGCTCACTGGTCTCATCTTCACCAGTCCTTACGAGCAGCAGGCAAACGTTACCAAATTACTATACAAAACCGATTGTTTTCAAACCTCTCTGAACTCATGACTACTCGATCGGTTCCAAGTATCTTCCAAGAATTTGGAAGCAGGCAAATCCTTATGTGGTAAGTCTAATCGCCAACATGGACATTGGGTCTCTTCGCAGTCTCTGGAACTTATACATGCTCGCCGGCATATTCCGGTTGGAAGCGAACACAATGAAACTCGCAAAGAGCTCCGGACGAAACTACGTGCTAGCCTGAAGAGAGACCGCGAATCCTGGTGGTCTCAACTTGCATCAGAGATGGAAATGGCCGCTGCCCTTGGTAACCATCGTAAGTTATTCCGTCTTATACGGGAAACGGGAAGCAGGAGACCTGGTGTTAGTGAAACTATACGTGATGAGAACGGACAGCCTATCCACAACTTATCAAAACGCTTAGAGCTTTGGGCTGAGCACTTTAAAAGGCAAGTTAATCGGTCGGAATGGTTAGATTTCTCGCCGGCCACTGATCGGCCGTGGGCTGTCCCTTTGGATTCACCCTCTCGCTCAGAAGTCGAACGGGAGATCGCACCCTAGAAGTTAAAGAAAGTCGCGGGACCAGATGATCTACCTACAGCCCTCTTCAAATTCGGGGGACCTGCCCTTGTGGATGATTTATACGAGTTACTAGTCAAACTGTGGGAGCAGGAAACTGTCCCAACCGACTGGTGCCGCTCCATCTTAGTCCTAATTTTCAAGGGAGGGTCACGATCGGAATGCTGCAACCATAAAGGAATCAGTCTGATCTCCATCGCCTCCAAGTTGCTTGCCTCTGTCATCCATCACAGACTGACTGGCACTTGTGAAATCCAATTTCGTGAAGAGCAAGCCGGGTTTCGTTGAGGTCGTGGCTGCATTGACCACATCTTCACCTTGCGTCAGTTGTTGCAGCACTGTCACATATATTGGCGGCCTATCGCTGTCGTGTTCCTCGATAACAGTGCACTTTGGGACTGTCTACTCAGGAAAGATGTACCTGAGAAATACGTAAATCTTATCCGAGCATTATATGCGCGTAGATGAGGCGGGGTGAGGGCTTACGGCAAGCTGTCGTCGCCCTTTAATATCTCCAGCGGTGTGAGACAAGTATGCCCGTTGTCACCTTTCCTCTTCAACTTCGCTATTGACGAAGTCATGGGAATCGCGTTCACAGGACACGACTTAGAAGGTGTGGATCTGCTCCCAGGAGAACGACTTCTTGACTTGGAGTATGCTGAAGATATTGCCCTTATCTGTGACAGCTCCCAGACATGCCAAACGGCACTGGACAGATTAGCACTGGCTGTCAGCCGCCTCGGGCTTTGCTTTGCACCATCGAAGTGCAAAGGGTTCCTCCAAGATTGGTCTGGACCGCCTTTTTCGCTGGCCCTTGGTGGGGATCAGCTAGAAGTTGTTCAAAAATTCAACTATCTGGGAAGTTGTATCAGCGTTCGTGGGATTGAAGATGAGATCACGAACCGTATAGCAAAAGCTCGAGGCGCTTTTGCTAACCTTCGCCACTTATGGCGCCAGCACGACATCACTCTCGCCCTGAAGGGTAGAGTGTACAATGCAGCGGTACGTTCGACTCTACTTTACGGTTTTGAAACCTGGCCCCTTAGGTCAGCGGACATAAAGAGGCTAGTTACGTTCGACCACCGGTGCCTTCGTAATTTAGCTCACATCTGGTGGAAATACCGAGTAAACAACGAGCGTGTCCGACGCCTTGTTTACGGCGCAGGAAAATGAACTGAACCGCTCAGCACCGTTATTTTACGCACCAGGCTCCGATGGCTCGGGCACGTGTTACGCATGTCAGCCCACCGACTCCTGCGACGTGTGTTGTTTACTCACCCGGAGGTGTGAATGGAAAAAGAGGAGGGGTGGCCAAGCGATGACTTGTCGAGAGGAATGAAGGCCCTCACTTCTGAGCTGGTCTTGGTTGGAGCGTCTCGGCTCCCTGGTTGGGGTCCGAAAGACGATGAACATGTTTGGCTGGATACACTTGTTAATATGGCAAGGAGCCGGCCTCAGTGGCGTTCGTGCTATGAGTTTCTTTGTCCCACTCCATCCCTCCTAGCCTCACCTTCCATTCAGGATCTCATTATTTAGCATCATAATTTTGCATAGTAAATTGTTATTATTATTTCTGGTGCATAGCAGCCGGCAGGTAGCTTACCGGAACGATGCACATTAGTTACCGGTAGCTCAGATGGCTTGCACCTGTTGCATTTTATTCCCTTTTTTCTTTTATGTATTGCGGCACAGTAGCTGAGGTGTTTCCTACCTCTAGCTAACGTGTATAGTGTGTAGTGATAAATGAGGTTGGTGAGCCGAAACCTGAGTAAAGTCGTCTCAACCTTGCCACGAAGAGTGCCTTTAACGCCTGCTCTATACTCAACTTGAGACGTCCTAACTATGAATGGATCTCTGAGGCATCAATTAATTTTTTCAAAGTACACAAAATTCTGTTTGGCACTGAATTTCCCCGCGTCCGTAACGTTTGAATTGATAACTGACAAATAGTCTTAGAATTGACTACAAACATTGGCAAGGCCGTGAGGAGAAGAAAGTCAGTGCTATTGGAAACAGTCGAGCCTCCAGCTCATCTAGAGCAATGGTACAAAAAGGCCCTCAGTTAGTGAGATAATAGCTGAAAAAGATGGACAACTGATCCATCCTCAGCCGCATCGACTATCCCGTTGGACGGATCATTTTGAAGAGCAGTTCAGCAGGCCTGGTGCAGCATTACCGCCTGCCGAACCACCTGAGCCGACGTAGGAGGTTGATGTCACACTTCCCAGTTTGGAAGATATTCCACATGAGCTTTCTGTGTTGGAATGAAACAAGTCTCCTGGATCCGACGACCTTCATCTTTGCTGAAAGATGGAAATGACTCTTTGTTTACTGGACTTGCTGCTCTATTGAACACAGTCTGTGAAACTGAAAAAGTGCCTTCGGACTGACGACTGGCAATTGTCGTGCCATTCTTCAAAAGAGATTAACGGACTTTTGCGAAAATCACCGAGGCATTGGCCTTATTTCTAGTGCCTCAAAACTTCTCAATGGTGTCATTCATCGGCAACTCACTGGTCCTCATGAAAGCTCTGGTCGTGGTTGCATCGATACGTAGTTACTTTTCGTCAGGTGTTATGGCTGACACAAACGATTGACTGAGCTGGTTTTCTTAGGCCTGTGAACCGCACTCGACTCTGTTGATCGAGTCAGCTTGTTGCACTGTCTTTCGGTGAAAGGTGTGCTAGTAAAACTCTTCTCCATTCTGAAGTCTCTATCTTGACTCGCGAGGCCGGCTAATGGTCTACGAAAAGCTATCTCTTGAATTCCCCCCCCCCCCAACAAGTTGCGCAGCCGCACAATTAGTAGCGTTCCTGCATTCGGTTTCTCGCACCCAGCAGTTCACTTTCGTTTCATCGCAATTAGTATAACGCATTTTTTGACACAAGTCGTTTTGTATTCTAGTTCAGTTTAACATCACTTTCATATCGTTGTTAGGTTGGTGGTGTGAGTTGTGTCAATTGGATCCACCGCAATTCGTTGCTCGGATCAAGGTTGTTTTACTGAACTAGTCTATCTATTTCTGCAGGTGCCTGATGAAAACTTTCTGAGAGATCTCATTGCAAACTTAGAATTCCTTAGTGAGCTTGACAGAAAGGCTGGCATAGAGTTTTCTTCAAAAGTTATGTCATATGAAGAAACTGAAACCTGGCTCACGGGACCTAAATGTGCTCATCGTCAAGAAATCATGATAACTTGCAGATTACAATGTATGTATCCTCGTCAGTCTTTAGTGGTAACGTAACCAAAGCGGATTAACACAATTAATAATTGCTGTCGTGGATCACGGGCTTCTGGGTATGTTGTTCAAAGTACCTCAGCCCATGTCTGCACATAACTTTTGCTCGGTCTCGCAGTCACTAGTGCGCGTGACCCATATGACTAGCCAGCAGCCGATCCACAGAAAACAGTCGTCCTTCCTCGAGGCTCAAAAGGTCTGCAAACAGCGTAATGACACCTCATTCGTCGGTAACCCTTTTAAGAGCATTGTACCAAGTTGCAAGGTGACAACATGCAGCTAGTCATCATCCACAAATGACTCGATTCTGACGGTATCACAAATCACATGTAAATTACAGATTATGGTCCTTTATGTAAAATAGGTGAAATTTTGACACAACAATGTTGTGTGATTTCAAACCCGTTTCAAGTTTCGCTTGAACTAGCCCAGTGACATTTGCTATCGCGTCACATCTAGACTCAGTTGGACAGCCAGCAAACATCTGAAAGAGCACTGTGCGACCGTTTCATCCTTACGGAAATCGTTTGTTATGACCATTCTCCAGGTATTTCAGCTGACCACTACAGTCCGGCAAACGCGCTTTGGTATCGAATAGTGTTAAATTTGCCATAAGCCTAGAACAAATGTGCCGCTTATAAGTAGCAAATACTGAACAACAAAAAACTGTGAGTGACGTGACCGTATGACGGAGAGAAAGTTACTAGTGTGGAAAGCGCCACAGGCAATAAGCATAACCAGGCGTCGGGTATGATCATGCTTTTATTAGCATGTCTCGTTCTGTTGAGAATAAAACATTTATTTATTTACTTACGTTCGGGCAAACTGTATACCTTTGTGGCTAAGAACGAGCAACCACACTGGGCAAACAGAACTTTGATGACCGGGTATGAGAGTCATGCTCGGGTACAGTACGCAGCCAATGGTCCCATGAACATCGGATGGAAGAAAACTCGTGTGTGTCCATCGTTTCGTTTCCTTCTGTGCACAGCAACGCCAGTGATCGAGGTGACGGTATCACATCAGTGGGTTGCATGTGTAGGCGTATGCGACCCAGCACGTGGGGACAACCATGCGATAGCATGCAGACGAAAGACAGCGAAACGGCTGGCCACGTTAGTCGCGAGTCTCAGTGCCGATACTAGGATCGGACTGCAGTGCTCAAGCAATGTTCCTTTCACATGGTTAATTCCAGCAACACTTAAATGAGAAATCAAGACAATTGGGGTGGCAAGAGACTGCTAGATCGCACAATGCTCGCACATCTAAAAGATACCGAATACGTGTTCACTTCCAACGGATAAGGAACGCACCAAACTGTACATTGGGATAGTCCCCTTAAAATTATAGACACAGTTGGGACAATCGACGATAAAGTACAGAATTGGCTTTACACATTGATTCAGTGAGGTGATCCTAATTGTGGAGCCTGTCACGAACCCAGTTTACACGATAAAACCACATGATCGAGCTATGTCCAATTTGAGGCGAAAGTTGGGGTTATGGCGGGTTAACCCCGGGATACACATAATGGGACTAAGTTGCTCCGAACAAGTCGAGAAAGGTTAAATTACACAGAACAAAGCAAACGTGCCCGGCTCCAAAGGACGAACCAAAGAATTACAAATAATCAGGACCGTTGTGGATGGATTAGATACTCATGCAAAAAGAAAGCAGTTAGCCAATCATTCGAGGGTAACCCATCCGAACCGGTTTATGCTGCGTCAAACACAGCGAGCCAGTAGACCACAGCATACCTACACTGAGGCAAACGGATCATTCCAAACTTTAAAGTGCACGTCATGAATACCAATATCCGAGCACTAATCAGCCCTGAAGTTCAACAGTAATCCATTTGCGCTAAATGTTGCTTGTAAGGAATAACTTGTTAAACATGACAATGGAAAATTGGGACATACCGTAAACACGTATATTGGCGGAATCAGAAACAGATCCGTACAATCCGGTCACTTTAACCTCATACGTTCCGGCATCATAGGTGGTCACTTCATCGATGTGTAAACGAACGTCTCCGGTCTCCGGGTCATAAGTACAAGTGTAGTGCATACTGGGCGGCTGCCGTAGTTTGACCGTTGGAGGAGCCAGCTTTAATTCCCTTCCATTCAGTGACCACTGAATGATCAAATCGGACATACGATCCAGCGGTGCGACAGGTTTCTTTGGACGCGGTAAGTGGACCGCACACTTCAATGTGGCTGGAGATCCTTCCTCCACGCTAACACTTCCCATAGGAGTAAGAATTTCCGGTGCCTGACCACGAGGAGCGACAGTTGCGTGGACCACAATGTCACGCTGGCTGTCGGTTTGTGAACGGTCAACTCCGTGAATCTGCCGATGTGAAGTACGGCGCCGTAGCTCATGCGGCTTTACAGCTTCATCCAATTCATCTTCCATATGGCTAGCGTCAATCCATCGCAACAACCGCGTGTATGCTTGCTTACTGATGCTCTCGTAAACATCGCGGTCCACAGATTCATCTCTTACAAGGCCATCAATTGCAGACGGTGGTCTTCGGACTGGCACGGGACTGGCAGGTCTTCGTAATTCAAGTTGGCTTTTAACAATCGTGAACCATGGGTCTCTGAGTGCTTCGGCTGCCGTGGGCCTCTTAGTAGGGTCGGGATGCAGCAAGCGTTTGGTAAACCTGACCATCTTAGGGGACAGTTGCATTTTTTCCATACGCGAGACTTCCGGAGGACCCTCGAAGTCTCCAGTGGTCCTGAAAAGGCAAAGTCAGTGTACAGACGTGAGAGGAGGTGGGAGGACTTATTATAACCCTAGAGCTATCGATCTAAAGTGATGGTCCGATCGTATAACGCATGGAGCATTCACTCACATTTGATATAAAAGCACCCCAAGAGACCACAGATCGGTTGCCGGCCCAATTCTGCCTCGTCTTGTGGGCTCCGCTTGCAGTTCTGGCGGCAAGTACACAGCCGATCGGAACGTCAATCGAACAGGTCGCTGTTCTTCATCCAACTGTTGCGGTTGACCGAGACCAGCAAGAGCGACGCGGCGTTTGGTTTGGTCGGTGAAAAAGATATTTTCAGGCTAAACAAAAAGAGTGCAAGAGAGCGAATCGAGATTGCTTCTGACCAATAAGTGAACGAAGTGCGATCTAGGGGTACACATCACATCACCTAAAGCACAATGTAGTTAGTTGAGTCAATCAGCGTGGGGAAGCAAGTGAACTATACGATGCGCAACGTGAACTTGCGAATGCTAGGGAGGATCCATTTCCTGGCTGTCCAATTGATTTACTAAACCTCTGATGAATATCCTTGGCTCATGGACGGCCATGAAATAAACAATTCACAAAAGTAGAACAGGGATGATTGCACTGCACTTCACAGCTGCAGGTAAGGCTCGGTTAGGTAACGGGGAGACAAGTCCATTGTTTGTCAAGGACTCATGAGATTCGCACTGTATGTGTGTGTGTGTGTGTGTGTGTACCCATGTCACTCACTTGCAGTCCCAAATTGACCACGCCCGATTGATGCATTTGATTGGTCAGATCAAGTAGCTGTCGCAAAATTTCCGCCGCCTTATTCTCCGTAACCGTAATACGACGGCTAAGTTGATGCCACAAAGAACCTCCGGCAGTAATGCTGGAAAAACCAAGGAGGCAAAACGCGTTACCGCAAGAAAAGACAAAAAAACGCAAGTGTGAGTAGAGTGAGTAAAGCTCAGCGAAATAAAACACAGAGGCAGCTACACAGGGACGACTTCTCGCAGTTAAAATGTGATACAGCTGTAGGAGGACAATGTGTCCCTAGATTTTATGACTCCATTTCATTCCTTGCGTCTTCAGCTGTGATATGCAGTACCGCGCTAGTGCAATACTGCCAAAAGGTGATGTCATGGTGTCTCATATAATGGTCTGATACTGACCGGGACCTATCTTGTGAGTCCATGGAACCTATGCCAATCACTTTGGTGCAACATCAGAACCTAAAAACGATGAGCGCGATGTATTATTAAAAAAATGATAAAAATAGCTCACTCTTCCACCAGCGCGATGGTTCGCCGGGCATCTTGGTAGGCTTCATGGAACTTAGCCATTCCTTCGTGTTGTATACGCGAGAGGAGCTTTAACTCCTGCTCCGTTCTCTCACGCCGCCATTGTGCAGACTCTATCAGGCTGGTCACTGAGGTCCGTCGTTCATCGTATCCATTTATGTCCGGAAGTTTCACAGACTGGGATGAGTAGCTTCTCTTGTGCATACCGTCGAGCCCGTCAACAAGAGCACTCGAGTAGATCCGCTCTGTGGATCCCACGTCGGTGTCCACAACTTTACCCAGCCAATGACGGCCGGTGGATTTTTCAAAAACGCGATACAATCCAGCGTATTTCGTGCTATTTAAAAAAGGAAAATAGGTTCGTGTACGCAAAAATCATGCTAACTTTCATCGGTATCATACACCCTGGTATGTAGTAATGACCGAAACTTACCGAGCGAGTTCCCTGGTAATGGAGTACCGATCCTCAAATGACCCATCCGCAAAATATACAGCGTCATCCGTCACATCAAATGCTGAAAACAGAAAAACACGACCAGTGGTACAACTGAAGATTGAGCAAGGCCATGAACCGCTAAATTAGAGAGTGCACAAAACCGGCCCTCTTCACAGTTCGAACTAGCTGCTCAGGACCAGTAATTGCATCGATCTCTTAGCTGAGGTGAAGCGGGCTCGTTCGTGCTCCACAGTCGGAGGATACTGGGGACGGAAGTGCTTTCATATCTCATAGCAAAAGATCGATGTGGCATGGGGAAATTGCGCGCGTCATCTGTGGAAGACCGGAGTAAGTTCCGACCTCAAGAATGCAACACTTTTCAGAAGTTGTCCACTGCACGGTAACTATTTCAACGCCCTGTTAGAAGTTACCATGGTTCAGCTCAGCCAGATACCACAATCAAAAAATCCCCCGAAACACAGGATTGATCAGGGTTGAAAGGATATCTCTTTTTGGTAATTCACGACAGGCAAGTACAATTACAAGGCTGGTCAACGAAACATTACGCCGGCAAAAGCAGAGCCGAAAACGGTTTGGACGGTCTGAACAGGCTGAGACTCAGGTGACAAGTGTTGCGACAGACATGAAACAATCACAATCGGCCATCTGACTCCACGCTAGGAGTATGGTAAGGTAAAGGACTGCACAATCACCCTATGCTTACATAGCTCTAGATGTATTAGCCTGATAACAATCGCTTGGGCCGTCTGCAGAAGACGTTTCCTCATCTCTTTCGGGTATTGCTATGGTGTGGTATAGTGGACCTTGAAGGCGTTCGAGGTAATTAACACTACAAATACAACTAAACTGATATACAGTTTAGGGTTGGAACTTGACCGGTAGTCTGTTTTTGAGACGTCGAACAATAGCCGGAGTGGTCTCCCAAGAACATGTGAGTAGACCGTTGGTTAGGTCCTGGCTGTTGCGAGGAAAGTCACCTGCTCAGGAGTTAGGAAGCGATATCTCCCTTAATAGGAACAGAGATAAACACATCATATTTCAGAACTATTGCGACAGACTTAATGTGTCTGGAAAACAGGTTCTAATGAGGACAATGCTGTAGGCGCTGAATGAGACATGTCTGGGACATAGCCGAGTGAAGTGATAATGCATTGATAAAACAACTTTCGTAAATGGAAATTTATATCCTAAAATCGTATGAAGCCTCCGAAATAAAGCCGTGATTGATTCAACGAAATGAAAGACACTCATCACAATAGCACTGAGTCAGAAAGACAAAATTTAAGAAACACCTCCCCCAGCTGACTGAAACCTGATGCAGTGAAGGTTGTATTTGAAATGAACAACAAAATATGCTTTTCTGGAACTTTACACTGGGGGTTACACCCAGCCAGCTATTTCATGAGGGGAGGTACCAGCTGTGTTCGTTGCAAAACGGTGGTTATGAAAAGTAGATACATAGAAAGGAATCGGAGAGCTATTCACTTCACCAAATAAAGCGCGAAACTTACTTTCCGTGAGTCCAGACGATGGTAATCGAGCCGGATCGGACGACTGACTGAAGGGACCGAACCCATGCCAATTAACCATACACACGCGGAACCGGTAGGTCACACCGGGTTGCAATGGGCTCCGTGCAATCAGCTGCATTGTATCGGCCGGGGTTGTGCCTAGTAAACACCAAGGAGCATCGGGTGCGTCACGTTGGTATTCCACTCTGTAGCCCGTGTATTGGACTTCTGCCTCCAGCCGATTTGTAGGCATTGAAATATCCCAATGGATTGCAAGTGTCCCCGGTCCGTGCGGTAGTACGCGCGGTTTGTTTGGTCGAATGTGGGGTTTGTCTGATTGGCATTAAAAGGAGGATATTCTCATTTAAAGATGTTCAACAGATGGTCCTACTCCATCTGTCTGTAATTGGTTCATAAAGGTATGCCATCGCAATCAACCGCGGTGGGAATCGCCCATTGGACAATAAAGAAGTCACCATCCTGTTGAGTCATTTTCAGCGGTCACTCAACATCGTTACTGACGCTAGGATCAATGTAAAGAAGACCTACACAAGAAGCTAGTCTTTTCCTCGCAAGTGGTTCTACAGTGCTTGCTGGGATTGCATCATTGGGAATAATTGATAAAGAAAACACTGAGAGCATGGTCAGCAGAAACTCCATACTGTAACTGCGGTCATCTTATACTACTATGGCGATCTTGAGTACTCAGCCTTCATGTACCCATACAGCATCAATGTTGAAAAGCTCGCCTAACTCAATACGCACCACCACTAATGTGACGTAAACGGAAGCACCGGTAAAAGCACAATGATGGTTTGAGATCCTTCGAAATGCCCAAGACAAATGAATCGATACTGTGCTGTGACTTGCGACAAATCTGCAACAAGTAAGCGAACTCACCAGCGACGCGTAGACGGAGGTCAACATAATCCTGACCCGCTTGATTCTGCACCCATAGACGATAGACCCCAGCGTCGGCGAGCGTCACACGATCGACTGTTAGCTCAACCCATTGACAATCGCCAGAGAACACCAAACGAGCTCTAGCTTCAAGTGGCTCCGACACATCCGGAATGTCCATCGATGGTAACGCGAGCGTCAACCGTTCTAGCCACACTTTGGTTATCCATTCGTGGCCTGAATAGTAACCAGAGTTATCTAACGGTATTCGGAATTCCCACCGGTCGCCGTGCTTCAGTTCAAACTCACGTGGTTCAGTCGTCCATCCGAAACGAGTGAACCGAGGTACGGCTATAAAAGTAAACAAGTTCACCATAAGGGATTCTTAGTGGCATAGTCAAAGAAAATATTACAAAATGTTGACTCAGTTGCTGACACGACAAACACGGTTCTTAGCAACTCAAAAGGTCTCATGAGCCTCAAAATAATGGAACAAAACGCGTACCGCACACGATTATTTGCCAAGAGGTATGAATGGTTTCGTATGCGTTCCATGCACGACATTCCAACAGGCCAGCGTGACTTCGTTCAATGCGCTCAATTGTGAACTCATACACACCGACGCCGACCTGTCCGGCTGTATATCCTGTTGAAAAACGGTCATCCAAGCGAATATTGTTTAAAAACCTGCAAGGTAGAACAGAAGGTAGGTGTAATCTGCGGAACAGTGGGACTCGAATAGGAAAAGCGAGTTCAATCACCGCCAGTTAGCAATTAAAATAAGTTCCACAATATTGTGCGGACTTTCCGGTTGGGTTGGTACTTACCAGGTTAAATACGGTGCCGGTTCACCCTCCACCTCAACCGTAACGGTTAGGCGTTGTCCAAGTACGGAGTAGATTATTCGATCGTCTTTCAAGTTGAGGAAACGTAGTGGCTTTCGTCCTGTGGAGAAGGAAGGATGTAAGCAAACAACAGGTCGATTAATGTAAATAGTCTCCACATCCGGGAATAAAAATGGGCGTTCGAGGCATGGTCCCCTGAAGCCAGAAAGTAGTCATTCAACGACCCAGAGTAATATTGGGTACGCATAGCTACAGACAACGGCAATTTCTGTTATCCACTCATTGAAAGCGTCCTTAAGCCTCTGAAACTATCGCTGTGCATTAAAGTTCAGAGCTGTTAGAATACGCGCGAAAACTGTCAGGATTGTTAATACCGAAACGTTGTGCAATGCTGCAAAGTCGCAGCTCTTAACCTCTTCAATCAATGCCAGTTCAGTTGATGCACTCGAACGATATTCGGTGAGATTTAGGGATCGCGAAAACTGAGTTCCTGTAGTTATCTTATTCTAATCGAGTAGGAACTAAAACTTTAATTGACTAACCCACTGAATCGTCTATCATTCTGCGCTCAGTAATTATATTACCGAATCGCCAAATCACATGAAGTGGCTCTAACTTATCGATTTTCAGGTTAGTAAACTTTGGTGCACGAGGCAGGCGTGGTGTTGGTGCATTCAGTACTGAAGCAACGCCTTCCGAGAAAATGTTACAAGAACACGCCCTTCGGACTCGATCTGGAAAACAGCCTAGAACACATGGAGTAAGCAGGAGCCAATAATAAAATCGCTATATTGTCTACGTCAGTGGTTCCCACTTTTGTGAGGCTGCCACCTGTAATTGGGTTCCATATGAACAAATACCCCAGAAAGTTGGTCTAAAAAGTAAAGCAGCTATTGGCAATTGTACTTTTATTTACGGAAAGTAAAATCTGGTTAACTATTTCAATCAATTAGAAAGAAAACACCCAATTTTGAGAAGTTTTGCCATCAAAGTCAGTTAGTGTAAGTTATTGAGACGGGTGATATTGTTTAGTTCTAATAATTTTTTAGCGTTCAGTGCAGTTTCGGCTAGTGCACATCACAAGTTGTGCACCAAGTTAAATCGGTTCCTTGCTTTTGTTTTCATTGTCACCATTGGTGAAAATTCACTTTCATGCCTGTTATTTGTGGAGAATGAGATCCGTATTTCCAGTCTTTTCCGCTACTAATGAATACTCGATAATAACCTTTGCCCAAGTTGTTGCTGAGTGTATGTATTCGAAATCAGTTTCAATGTGTTTTCGTGACATTAACCTCATATGTATAAATTGGTCATATGGCGGCAAACGACGACCTGACCCAAACGAACAACGATCGACGAACAAGCCAATAGACGCGCTATCTAGCGGCGCTGCCCTGCATGCTTGTATTCGTATTTAGGTAATAACATTTGTTATCTAAAATGGTCTATTTCAAGCACTAATGATTTGTCACTAATGACTGATTATTAGTGAGTAGATAGTTGGTTAGATGATCTGATACAGATGATTTTGTTAATAGTTTCGTGACGTACAGGGAAACGTGTCTAAGGCGACGACAAAAGTTGATCGTACTGATGAGTAGTTAGGATTTTGGCGTAATTCAGCTGAATTATTCAAAAATCCTTACTACTCATCAGTACTGTAAAATCTGTCCGTATAGCTTCTAAGTCTTATGCGGTGCATTAACGCTATGCGGAAAGTCCTAGCTCGTGAGGCTAGCCATTGTCCCGTGCACAGTTCGTAACTGGCAGGGTAGTGGAAGATGAGCCGGGCTATATCATAGTCAACTGTCGATCACGCAGGTCCGCGGGGCTGTCACTCATGGTGAAGTGGCACTAGTTGCTGGCATCCTGAAGTCATGGGGACGGAACCCTGCAGGGGTCCGCTGGGAGGCGCACCACTGACGATACCCAGAAGGTCGAAAAGCCGACGTCTGGTACTTTTCCAGACTAGCCTAAGCCTGCTGATTGGGAGTGACGATGATGAATTGGCTGAAAAATTGGTCGCCTTGGACAAGTGGTCGCCATAGACAGGTTCGTGCATAGGGACGTAGTCGCCATAGCAGGTTAGCCTGGATTTATCATTACCCCTCTTAAAATCCCTTTGGGGGTAATTACCCCTCAGGTAGAGAACCATCAGTCTACGTACTCAAGCCGAAGTTGTATATTGTTGCCGCCTTAACTCACTCGGCACATTTCCCAGTTCGGTCAACGGGGTAACTTAGGTGCTTAGTAGCGGCTGTTACAGCCCACAAAATACATCCAAACGTGAGTGTTAATACCAGTATGAAACCTAAATTGGCGCGGATGGTCTCTTGGAGGGTAGTTTCGTTGTAAAACATTGATTGGATTCAGTGCGGTGATACGTGAGTTGTGAAGTTCACATGTACAAAGATCATCCGTGCTAGAAAGGAATTCCTGTGTCAGTATTTCCAAATTAGTAGTCAACAAGTCGCTTCCGTCTGTGACGGTTTTCGATCACATGCCTCTTTTGAATATACACTTTAATATAGCAACGCTACAGTGCAACTATTAGGTGTTGAGTTTGTTGGTGTGAAGCTTTTCTGGTGAAAGATTCACGGAACTGTACGAATAAGATAGCAGGTGAAATGTAGCCAAGTAGAGGGAACGGAAGTTAGCGTTCATTACGTGACAACAAGCGGTTTCGAATAAGAGTACCCAAATGTCCATCGCCTAGGTCTGTGCTACAGTTGAGAATGAGGGTAGAAAAATACAAAGAATGAAACCAGCTATTCTAGGAAAGCATGACATACATGAGACTTCGGTACTTACGGATGGGCGGCACAAGGCTGACGATTTCCGGGATCTGAACTGGAAGACTAGTGGCTTCGTCTAAAAGGGTAAATGCACGAAACTGCCAATGGCGCCTTTGTGCTTCTTTTGGAGAAGACGGTCGTCGTCGTCGTCGTCTCGTATCGCCTCGGGTATCATACGTTTCCGCATCTTTCGCTTCCAGTGTCAAGTCGGTAAGCTTATCCAGAGGGATGAAGTGCTCAGTGCCAAAAATACTTGACGCAACTGTCGTCCAATCCGACAGCCCCTTCCCCTCAGAATCAACAGATCTTGCCTCAATACGATACCGAATACTTGGTCTGGCGTGTTCTGGAACTTCAGGAGGCAACCAAGTAAAGCGGATACCCTCTCCGGTAGAGTCTGTTTTTACCAGCGCCTTGAAATGCTCTGGAGGTACTAACCGAGTAATAAGCTCCTCTAGACTGCGCTTCGTGCCAGCGGTAGTAACTGGTGCGGATAATTGAGCAGTTTTGATACTACGGGTCCTTAAATCAGCATCCCATTCAACCAAACGAAAATCGTAAGTCATTCCAGGTCTCAAACCGTGGACCTCGTAGCCTGTACTCGATAGAGGCAATCGGGCCACAGGTTCCCACACACCTAAGCCATCCTCCGGTGATCGCTTCTCTAGTAACAAGTACCGATCTCCATCTTGCTGCGGCACCTCCATCGAAAGCCATTCCAGTAAAACGGTCGAACGGCCGATATGAACAGCAGACAATCTATCGGGTACAAAGCGGCCAAGCTCCAGTCCGACGTCAACCGAGACCCGGCGTCCACGCGAATCATATCTCCTTGGACTGATCACTTCCAATTGACGTTCTAAAGCTCTGTCTTCATATGGCACGGTTATCCAGTCGGAGAGAAGACCCTCGTGTGAGGGGGCATATTTGCGCTCAAGATCGCTTTCAGTTGCACGCATAAGGACAGTGCGAACTCGAAACTGACTGGTGGTGTCCAAAGGTAGAAGATAGTGCAAAGCACGAGTACGACCAACTTCGTACCACATGCGTTTATGAGGCAGCCGCTGTTCGATCACAAACTCAATTTCATCTTCCAACTTATATCGTTGCGTGGAGCTTAGCTCAGTGAGTATGCGGGGCATGTACCAGCTAAGGCGGTACAAATCAGAAGATAAGCGGTCCACGCGTAAGGGACCATGTGGTGCAGGTAGTTGTATACGATCATACATCATCTCTTGTGTATCGATCAGTAGTTTTGGGGCTGTGTAAAGTTGTGTAGATTGCAGTGGTTGGCCGTACGTATCATCTCGGTATGGAAGCACACGAAAACGATAGGAATGGCCTGGAATGAGACCGCTGATAGTGACTCCGGAAAATGGTGCTTGTGCCTCTTCGGAAGGAACGCGAGCCACTGTTCGCCAACCAGCCGAAGTGTCAAAGTCAAACAGATCTACTGAGTATCCGGTTATTTTCTCTTTGATTGGTGTCCATGTCAAGGTCACAGAGGGTGTATGAGTAGGCCGGGATACAGGCTCCACGAGCAAATCGCCAGTCAAACGAAGCGGAGGTACTGGAAAAAAAACATAAATCCAAGATGAGTTATCAGTTGTCTAATAAACGGAATGTAAAAGACGAGTAAACACAATGATGACCAGCTGTTGCGGTGCTCACTGAGCTAGGGAATACGGCTGATAAGGTTTTATTACCATTCGACGTGACCCTATAGTGCAGCAGTGTTAACAATTTCGTAACAGGCCCTGGTGGAAAGCAAACCGAAGGATGAATCCATTCTTGGAATTACCATCGAGCATCATCTATTCTTGCACTGATGATATCACCAAGAACAGTGCGGAAACGTGTGACTCGCTTGGTTTCACATCATGAGGTCACTTGTAACAAGCGATATCCCTGAGTGTTTCACACGTGGCACAATTGTGCCTTGACTTGCACGGCTTAGTTGTCTTGTTTTATATGTGTTAATCTGTGTCCTTACTAGTTCGTACTTGTAATAACCTTGTGTGTGACATTAAATACTGAATACTGAGAACAGAGAGCGAGAAGATAGCAATGTATGTTGCTTCATCGTAGGTGGATCGGGCACAGGCACGGAAGCACGTCGCCGATTCCTGCGCGGTGATATCATATTGCAGCTGCAGTACATATCATCCGGGTGCGATGCGCTCCCTATACCTGTAGTCCGCAAAGTGGACTTCAAGGAATCACTTAAATTCCTACACCGATTTCGTCTCGACTAGCGTCTCCGGCAATTTGTTCCAAAAATTGCACCACTCGACGCTCGAAGCATAGAGAGTGAGCGATGTACTTTAAAGCCGGTACTACTAAGTTTGTACTGGTGTCCGCGTGTGCTGCTTGGTGCGCGAACGTGCAGAAGCGGCCTCAGCATGGGGAAGTGGCCCAGCTGCAGTATCTGGTGCGTCATTATGAGATCAAATCGAAGCTGACGAGATGACAGGGTATACAACCTTAGTCTCCTACATCGGTCCTGGTACGACATATCCCATAAACTGAGGATGAGCCGGGTAACTACATGCTGGACCCGTTCCAGTCTTTGCACCTCACCTATTGTGATCGGACAATAGGCGGGTGAGCCGTATCCAAGCCCCGATCTTATTATGAAAGAGAACAGACGGGTGGCAATCTCTTCAGAGCAAGTGCAGAAGCTGCGTCGAAGTGTCCGAAGCAGGCGTAGTCCGTTTGCGTGCAGTCTGTTTGTGTTGTCGACAGACTTCAGAGCACAGCGTGAGAATACGCCTAGAGCTTTAAGGAAACTGGTCGGAATGCAGTGGGTGGCCGACCAGGGTGTATGCACGCCCATTATTACCCCTCCCAGGCTCATAAACGAGGACTTGGTTGTGTTGACCGTTATGTCAACTTCTGCAAATCACCGGGATAGGCGATGGACGTTCTGCTGAAGGACGTCACAGTCGCCGAGAAAATCCATAATCCTCCAAAACTTCAGGTCGTCTGCAAAAACTGCGCAGGGCGACCGAAGACAAGACAGGACAGCATCCAGGGACGAAACAAGCTTCCGCTTAACCAGCGTCCCGTTTCATGTGCAACTAAGCGAAAAGAGCCCCCAGCTGAGGTAGTTCGTTGATGTGGATCAGGAATAAAATGGGCCCCAATACTGTGCCTTGGGGTACGCCGCTAGTGGACGGGTACCGTTCCGTTAGACGGTCACCCACCCGAACCCGTCATCTTTTTCCAATAAGGAAGTCACTGATCCATCATCATCATCATCATCATCATTACACGTTAGCTGGAGGTGGAAAATACCTCAGCTATTGTGCCGCAATACAAAAGATAAGAAAAGGAAAACAAACGGTGGCACGCCCGCTGAGTCCCCAGTAACGGATGGACATCATTCCGGAGAGCTAACAGCTGGCTGCCGTAAAAGACTCATATTATACCTATCAGGTGAGATCATGATTGGCTTCACTACCTGTAATTTCCAATCGCTCGGCAATGCAACCTCGGACAATGATCTGTTGAACAGACCCGTCACTGCAGGTGAGATGATGGTCGATAAGGACCTCAAACTTAGTGAATGAAGTCCCTCTGATCCTGCAGGTTTCGTGCCGCCAAGACTGGCGAGTAGACTGCGAACATCTTCTACACCGCAATCCAGGTCCTCGAGTTCAGTAGGAGCTGCACACATCGAGCTCGGCAGAGGCGTATACCCAGTTGTAAATACAGAAGCGAAGTGCTCTGTCAATGCAGACGCACGTTCTGTGCTGGATGTCAGAGGTAGTCCGTCAGTGCCTTATAACATAGCTACGGCACTTGCGGGTCGCTTCACGTAAGCAAAAATCTTCTTAGAGGCCGTCTGCTGCGGTTGCAAGCTTCTCTTCGAACTGCCGACGCTTTAGCGCTGTTGCATAGTTTTTGCTGCCGTGTACACGCCTCATAATCATCGGCAGAGCCAGACACGAGGAATTTATTCCACAATACGCGTCGCCGTCGAGCCAACTGACCATACTCCCTGCCGAACCAATGTGGCTTCAATGGTCCAACTTTCCGATACTTGAGGGGTACAAAACGAGCGCACAACGATTGCACATTCTCTTTTATAACAGACTACCAGGCTTCAACGGATGAATCCTGCGGCAGCGACCAGTCTACTTCACTGGCGGCTCGATTTAGACCATTGAAGTCGGTCTTCCAATAATTGTAGGACGGCTCCGGCAGACGCAAGTAGGGCAGCCGCAGCTCTAGGCTGGCTAAAACCATCGAGTGGTTACTAGCTGCCAGGGGCTCCAGGCCCTGAATTTCATCTAGACGTTGATCGCAACTTATTAGTAGCAAGTCCAGGCACGATGGAACAGAATGCAATGTAACGCGCTTCGGTTGGTAGACATGTTGTGCTGCCCCAGTTTCAAATATCATCTTTGCAAACTGCGTCTCGATTTCATAGTGCCTGCGGAGAAGTTGAACCTCAGGCCACCGTATTCGCGGGAAGCTCAAATCACCCATACGCAGGAAGTGGGGTCGACTAATGTAATTTCTATCATGCGGGAACCAATCCGGGCATCGACCTCGCGGACTGCGATAAGCCGCACCCAGCAACAGTTCACTCTGTCTCAGGCGGATCGAGCACCATAACTGTTGGCACAAGCCATCCACGCTACGGTTGGTGTGTACCAGTCTCCCGCACAGCGAGGACCGAATGTATAACAGTAGACCGCCTCGATCCTTTGATAGTCTGTCGCACCAGAAGCACGAGAAGCCACGGATCAGGATATCCTGGGTAGTGACCCTAGGATTTAACCAGGTTTCGGTCAGTCCTAGTACCTCCGGACGACGTGAGGCAACAAAGTGAAATACATCGTCACGTTTGTTCATTAAACTACAAACATTTGTGTAGGTCACACGCAAGCTGCGGTAGGAACCGGCAGACGTGCATAAAGCGTCACCGGTCTGTTGATCCGGGTTCGACGGACCCGGGGAACTACCCGAAAATTTACAATGTGCAGACTGGTTTCTGCAGTATCAGTCCGTCGCTTCAACTGCACGATAGCGGACTTCAGTTTCTCTCTGTCCGACGGATCCAAATCGGGACGAATATGGATCTTTACTTCTTAGCCTACCGAGGCGGGATAGTATCAGCCTCGGACTCGTTGTACCAACAAACATGACTCGCAGAGTCCGGGATTTCCCCTCCCCTATCCTTCCAAGACAGGTGATTTACTTCACCCGCAACCCTGTTCATTCACGTTGAGAAGCCTGACAATCGGGCTCTGCCGAAAGTCCACGTCGTGGTCATAATAAGGCTGAGGACTAGCATCTGTCGACTCGGGCGCGTGAAATATCACAAGGTTATAAAGTCGCTGATTGCTGGCAGTTGTCCTCCCCTTTTGGCTTCGCTGCATTCTCCATTGGCCTTCAACGCTTGCGCTCCCCCACACCGGTATGTTAGTGACAGTAGGACGCAACACAGGCACGCCAGCTGAGTCTCCAGCAACGGGTGGATATCACGCTAGAGAGCCTGCAGCCGGTGTCCAGGTGAGCTCGTTCGAACATAGAGGTGGCTGGGTTTCCGTTTGCTTGGATGAACCCACGGAGCTCCCCCTTACGGAACGTTTCGCCCGTCTTGTAGGCTCGCGTGGTTTCTCGGCTGTTTGTGGCTGCAAAGTGGCTTAACATTTCTTGCACAATATTTGGACAATGTCATGTTGGATTTCACGCAGTAGTTTAAAGTGATCTAAAAACAAACTAATAAACGAAATGTGGAAATTCACACCACACGAGGCATGCAATGAAGTTGGTTAAATACCCCAATATTTTGTAACAATTGCCACAAGGAGTCAGCTTCGTCATTACTGGTAGCTTAGCAGATGTGACGATAAAGGCGATAAAGTGAACGATAAGTACACGATACAAATACCAAAATAAATTGTATGGACATGAAACAAATACACAATAAACAAATTCCGAATCGCAAAAGAAGCTAAATTTGACAAAAATAAACAAGAAAAATCTGCTCTGCACAAAGTAATGAACGATGCAGACTGGTCTGTGTATTCCGTGCTCGCCACAGCTTGTGTGTCCGGTAGCTACGCTGGACCAGTACCTCTCAATCAGTGAAATTGCCTGTAGTTGTTTGACTTCGTCTGTTCAGGTGTGACTGCCACTTGCGTTTAGTTCACTAACTCAAGCAATCAGATTTCCCAAATCAGTGAACTCCGCAACAACTGGATAAGCCAGCCGACATGTTAGTAGTTCGAGTAATCTCGAACAATAATGCTCGCATACTTAGGGGAGTTCAAAGTGCTAGAATCTCCTAAGGAGACATCTGGAGCTACCACTGGGATTAGTAATAAAAATCATACAATGTGATCCAACGTACTTCAGTTTGGTCGAACAAGGTTGCATGGATGCCTGGTAAATGCCATACCTCCTCCCATGGTAAAACTTGCCAATTTTCAAACGAAGGAGAAACGTTAACAGAAAATTGGCAGCACCTTTCCCCAATCTGCATTTATAAATTCAACTCCAGTGATTCAATGCTGCGCTTCACTGTTAATATCCGAAATATCATTTTTGAAAAAGCAATACGCTCAGAAAACACTGCAACTGACCTCTGGCTGATGGAACCTCGAACGGTTCCGATTCCACGGGTTCACTGATGATAGAAGGCGTGTAAGTCCCACGAACCCCTCGTCTGAGTGGTGCGAAGGCTGGTAAACCATCCGCGGTACGACCAACGGCCATTATTCGGAAAATATAACGCTTTCCGGGTTCCAGGTCGGTTGCTTCGAACCGAGTTTGCCACGATTCCAGGTCCGCTAAATGCTTCCAAGTATCAGGTCTTTTGCTAACGTCCGGAACATTCTGGTACTCCAGTATATAACCGGCTGGTGGGACCGTCAGTATTCTGGAAATTTCTGAAGTTGCAGTTGGTGACCAGGATCTCACTCTGGTGGACGTCAGAGGCGGGAGCCAGGTGATTAATGCCCCAGGGCGTCCTGCGCTAAGTGGCGTGATTCGAAGACGTATTGGGGGCTCAGGGATCGCTTGAAATAAGAAGAGGCGAGATCAACTTTGCATGATTCGGGTGAAAAGTAGCTTATAATTTTCACATCCAGACGGCAGCTTAACTAGTCGTGTGGAGGAAGATAACACAATGCAAGTCAATTCAATGTAAATTTTAATAACCAGAGAGGGTACTTGTTCAGCTTTTTACAATATCCACTGCGGATGTTTTAAAGCAACATCCTTAAAAATGCAAGATTGCACAACTGGGAAAATGGTATTAGGAGTGCAAGTGTCACCTAAACGATCCCAAGTCTGCCTCCTGTGGATGGTACGGTGTCAAGGACCAGTTTATCGATCCGAACGAGGGTTTCTAAAGTTTAAAATTCGCCTTCTGATAACTTCGCACAATATGCGTAGTACCTCAAAGTTCATTTTCAAAAATCGGTGGGGTGGGCATTAGTCACCTTGTGACTAGTCCAGTGGAATAAAAGGTCAAGAAGTTAAGTGAAAAATGGCTAAATCCGCAGTAGATAAAGTAATAGTGATGTTCCAGTGAAAATGCAACGGCCGATTTAAAGCCCCGCCATCTATGGAAAAGTAAGCTTGTGTCCGAAACGGTAGTGGCGCGCTTGGTTCCTGACATGTGGCTACTCCGTCGATGTAGTGAGTTGGCTCACTGTCTAGAATGGAGCTGAGTATGGATCAGAAAAAAATTGGAACCCGAGCATCATGCGAACAGTACATAGCAGACTTATTCCGTCCCGTTTGTATCCGCCAAACGACTAGAATTGTGTTAACAGGTGACGGTGGTTAGCGTGGATCATTCGGTTTTCAAAGAGACCGGCCGGTCGATCTTTCGGCAAACCAGATTAGACCTAATGATTAAGTCCACATGTGATGCGGTGTGGTCTATATTATCAACGGAATGGAATGTCACATGAGTTACCAGATATCCAGTTGCACCGCATTTCTCGTAAAGATGCCGTTACAAAAATATTTTCCAGTCTCCGTTGTTCCAACCGATTAGATAGTATTACAATGGCAAAACGATGAGGATCCCTTGTATTGAAGAGACATTTGATTAAGTGTATGCTAATAACATGTGGTCGGATATACAGCGAGCGGAAAGATTCCATATGGTACCTCTAAAGCTCCTGATTCGAAGGCGACCAAAGGAGACGAATGGCACACTCTCAGTTGTTTACCATGTTGAATCAGTCAAAGCCGGTCGATGTTTACCGACTATTTTGTACCTACTTAGGCTACTAATGAGAATGAGGAGGACGGTTTGCAGCTCATAGTACCAAGAAGTAATACAATTCGTACCTAAGAAGTTAACACCTCGGAAATATGCAACATCAAGTTAACATGGTCCGATCACAATAATTCCCTAGCCTCGATAAAATTCCACCAGTCCTACTTAAGCATAGTGGATCTGACATCCCCACTGTGCTTCGCACAATATATTTACTCTCTTAACGAAATTTTTCTTCTGCAATGGAAGTAATATCTAATAGCCTTACGTCATAAAGGTGGCCTAATGCAAAACACGGAAAACTACTGTCCCATATCTCTAAAAGCATGATGGAACGTAAAGTTACGGAGAGTCTTATGAAGTACTCGAGTTCCTCGAATATTTCACTGGCCATGAGCAAGGCTTTCTGCGGTGAAGGTCATGCACCGTTTGTAAGCCTGATCATCTGGAATAGGTCAACAGAGAAAAGGATCTTTGAAATACCTTCGTCATCGTATTGTCTGATATAGAAAAGGTGAATATTTCATGTCTGAGTTTAAATTTAGCTAGCCAACAATTGGATGCCGACCCGTAGCCTAAAGGTAACGGCGGCGCGTGTTCCAGCCTGCGTAGGGGCAGGGCGACCCTCGCATCCTTAGCCCCCATGCGACCGGTGGTGCTTGCGCCGCAGCGAAGCATCGGAACTCCGTGCCGGCGTACTGCTGACGTCTTTTTATTGGATGCCTGGAAATCTGTCACCCCAAATACTTGCGGGAACATTTTAGCAATTTCTCGAATGATTGACCCAAAAATTCGAAAGTTAGCTGCCCAAATTTACTTGAACTAGAGCAACGTAAATTCATTGACTTCGTTGTGTGCAGTTTTCTGCCTTTTCTGCTGTAAATCTTCACTTTCATTACCGTATCTCTCCAAGTACTCCGGTTTATATCTTTGGATGTTGCTAACTGTTGTCGTGCTAACACCAACATGCTCTGCTGTCTTTCTTTGGCTACCGCTTCCCAGAAAATGTACAGACTAATCTTTCTCTTCCAAGTCAACTCTCGATCTTTTCTTTTGGGCATAATGGTGAATTACTCATAATGACCGATACTAAGCTGTTTGAAGTACGGAGCGGATCTAAGGTCTATGATTCTATCTACGTAACATTGACTACACACAGTAACTATCCTCAATCGCTCTCACCCCGTCGACGCCAAATAGAGCCGGATAGAGGCTCGACAACTAATGTGGCCGTAAACGTCAATCACGCCACAATCGGAGGTGCTAATGCGGTGGTGTTTAGACCGCTGGTCAATCAAGGGTTTGTCAGTCACTCAAACTCCGGACTGCGGCGTGCGCGATGAGTGGACACATGTTCTAAGGGGTAGACGAAGGCTTGCCTGTGTATGTGGACAGCTGAGTGAGGTTGACCACAAATCGTTCTAGGTCATGCCGTAGTCGTGCTCCTCTGGGGTCCCACATTGATGAGGGTAAACGCGTACGTGTAAACAGCCGAGTGACAGCCGAGCCAAACACGCACATACACATACACACAGAGAACATGATGTATCCTCAAACCTCAAGTTCACTGATTTAGGAGTCAGAGGTCCACACATTGCGGTCCTGCTGCACACCGTGTTGTCGGAACAAACAAGCCATTGAGGAACCATTGGATGTCAAATGGTCAACTTATGACGGTTAAATTAGTACTGACTGCCACAGCCCAAGTGGTCAAGATAAAACCTACAGAGGTGATCAACATAGAGAGGTCTTATTCCATAGGATCTACACATACTGACCGTTCAAGCTATGGAAAGGTGGTCAACGTAGAGAGGGGATCAGCATATAGAGGTGGTCAACTTTAGAGGTTTTACTGTAGTTGAAATTGCCGACCACATTGGTGGATGTTTGTGAACTCACAGCCATGTCAGAACACTTTTGATGAAAAAGGCAGCGGATGAGCATTAAGCATACGTAAAACCACCACCTGCACATATATTCAAAGGTATCCGCCACCGACCTTGTCACAGAGTTTGCTCACGACTACCTTCAATCACATTTTCCTAAAAGTGGTCAGCCCGTTCGGTTAGCTGTTCCAGGACGTCCCAGTGGATTGGATGATTTTAGGCTACTAGACAAACGAATAGGTGAATACCGGTTAGTTTGTCAGTTTCGAACGATCAGTCGCGTTAAACTGGCATGAAGACTGAGGAGTTCTCAATTGAGACCCTCCAGTCAAGATGCAGATACGCTCGTGAAAGACATAATCGCTCTGATACCGTAATAGGCGCTGTACTACGTCTGACACCTCAGTATGTTTTGCCACAAGGAATATGCACAGTATCCTTATACACCACTCTGGCAGGCCTTCAAATTCGGCCATTGCTGTTCTCCTTGGAGTAGTTTACACTACCGACTGCAGATTCTATATCTAATTTTTAACATTGAAACAATTTTTATTTTCTGACCAAATCTCAAAGTCAAGGTTGTCCTACTCTGTCAACCAGTTGAAAAGTTACGTGTTACTGCCTTAAACCCGTGCTTCATCGAATACGGCCATAAAGTCAGGAACACCTTCAAACATATTAGGAATAAATCTCTTGGGAAAAAGCGAAAGCATCGTGCTGGCTGGTAGTCTGACCTCAGTCGTTGTTCTGTCGGCAACGCGCAAGTCCCACTGATACTTTCCAGTAATGTTCGCTCGCTCCTTGATAAAATCAGTGACCTCAATGCTCAACGAAATGAGTATGTTACTACAGGAGTCATACTGTTAAAAGAAAGCTGGTTGCATAGTGATGTGGAAAATGGGGCGATGCAACTCGGTGGTTATTTTCCCACTAAGTCTGACCGCCCCGGGAAGCCCCAGTTTCGTGGTGCTGGTGTTAGAACTTACGTTAATCAAGGTTGGTGCAACGCAGCGATCATACTATTTACGTACTCAACGATTTCTATAAGCTGACACTTCGGGGAATGCAAACCCAAGTTCTTAAGTGGCTTTCGATCAGTCATCGTTGGAAACGTATACATCGCTCCTGACACAACTGCATCGGAGTTGTGGCTTTTTGAGAACCAACTTTCTTCAATGCTACTGCCTAAATTAAATTGTTTTATTGGTATTGTTGCTGGCGACTTAAATATAAAGGATACAACACCCTTAAAGACACTTGGCTTGGTAGACCTAGTGACTGTTTCGACCAGACAAGATGCCCAGTTGGACGCTGTATTCACAAATAAACGACAGTTTGCCATACGAAAGTGGGCTCCTTTGAGCAGCTCAGACCATTGTGTTTTAAAACCGTGTCCAGTCATATATAGCAGATGTGATTTTTTTAAACGCTGACAAGACCTCCTTACAAGATTGTTAAACGGCGAAAATGCTCCTTGGAAAATATCACGAGGCTCCAGACAATGTCTTCGTTAACTGATTTTTCGGTCTTCAACGACGAGGACTTGTCGCTCGAAGGTGACCATCTTAGGGACTACATCAAATATTGTTTTGTCATGTGTTGCTCTGTTGAAACGATCTACCTAAGAGCAGATAGATTTTCATCACCACTATTAGAACGACTTCGAAGGATGAAAGAATGGGCCTACAAGTGCAAGAATGCTACCAGTGTCAAAAGCCTAACCACAGCAAGTAAATCCGAGATAAAAAGACTAAACCAATTATACATCGAAGCAGTTCTAGGCAGCCATAACCGTCACGATCTATGAATGCTTCTTACACAGTTCTGTGGTAAGAGCGTTTGTAACCAGAGCAGTGAAGTGGATGTGGATAAACTGAATTCAGAGTTTAGTTCCGCCTCGCTAAGCTCATCTTCCTTGCCCTCCTAAGCTCAAAATCCAGGCGCGCCCTTCGATCAAAGCAACGTTCACAAGGAACTCAAAAGATTAAAAGCAAACAAAGCTTGTGGTCCAGATGCTCTCTCATCATTAGCTTTGAATGAGTATGCTGATTCTGTCACACTATCTTTAACAGAGCTCCTTAACAAATACCTCACCGCGGGTGTGATCCCGGACATTTGGAGAACGGACAGAATCACTCCAGTACCAAAAAATGGGTCGCAAAAGTATCGCCCAATTGCATGTACATCTGTGCTCCCAAAAGTTTTCGAAAGACTGTTAATTCCGTAGATTTTTTCAGCCGCTCCTGATGACGATATCTACCAGTTTGTGTATAGACCCCAGCGCTCCACATTGGATGCAGTGGCATATGTTGTTCATTCTATAGCCTTTGTATTAAATCAGAAATGTAAATCCATGCGGCTTCTCTTCCTGGATTATTCGAATGCCTTTGGAAGCCTGGATAGGGCAAGGTTGCTAAACCTGCGATCCGAAAATGCAGTTCACCCTGGTGTGTGTAATCTGTTACGTGACTATTTTACAGATCGTACTGACTTCACCAAATTGAACGGTAAGAAATCCTCTGTCCTCCGTGCCGACGGTGGTGTTCTACCGGCAGCGATCCTATCACCTTTCTATTTTCCTTGTATGTTGAGCATCTCCCTATACAAACCACGTTTATAGGGTGTAAATAAGCTGATGATGGTGTGCTGGGATGTATGTCCCCCACTAATCAGGATTCCTCATCACTTGAACTTGCGTTGGAAAATCTGATGAAATGGTCTACATCCAGATCCCTTACGCGTAATGCTTCTAAATGCAGTGATGTAATAATTTCTTTTCTCCGTGGCGATAAGTTGCAGATCTTCATAGATCTCTCTCCCACAATTACTGTAAATGAAACTCCCATACCCAGCTCTTCCACCGTCAAGTATCTCAACATTTTTGTCCCAGAACCTTCTTTGGTTCACTCACGTCTGTATAACTTTTCTAAAAATCAGAAAGCTTTCTTTTTATGCCCTCAGACAAGGTGCTTTCAGCACATCGTACTTTAATATTCAGGTTTGTGACCTCTTGTATTATTCCCCATTACTTATACTGCCCTCCTATCATTTTTTCTGGACTGCTTCAGAAAGACTTCATCTTATTGGTGCGATCTATAAGGCATATTTCTATATGCAGCGGCTTGTCTTGAGGTTCTTCAGTTTATTTGATCATTTCTAGACATCTTGATGCCTGTAATGATTTTTCTTCTAAGATACTAACTGATCAATTTCATCCACTTCACAATGATCTTTCCAAAACGCTCTCTTTCCATTCTACTCGCTCGAAATTCAGAATTTTATTCCCCCTTCACGTCATCATATTGTAATACTGTCTTGCGTTATCTCTCAAGTTTGGTTGTCGACACGGTAAAAGTCACAAACATGCTGCGCGAGCGGTTGTTGGAGTAACAGTTCTGCTTGTTTCCCACTTTTCTACCCAAGCATGTGTATTGATATTAGCATCCAGGTGTCCGCAGTGGTGGTGTAAACGCTGATAATGAACCCATTAGGATTCACATAGCTTATTTTGACTTGACTTGATTTGGTAGAATACTTAGACGTGAGACGTGCATTACGACTTTGGGCCAAGTGGAAACAAAAAATGCAGTATTGAACCGAACTTACCTTGCTTTGCAGTAATCGAACGAGGCAACCAGACTGGATGGGGAAGCAGGACATGTTCGCTCCGACCATCCGCCGTTTGAGTCAACACACGGAAATAATGCAAGCGATCCAACGGCAAATCTCCAACTTGTACTTCAAAACGACCTGGTACAGTCTCCGCACTAATCGCAGCCGGACGACGAGCTACGGGCCACCACTGACGTCTCTCCGGACGCCAGGCTTCGACAACAAAATCGGCTGTTGACCTCAAGGTGGATGTCATTCCAGCAGGGGGATGCCAGCGTAGTATTACACTACCTCGCTCAGTATCACCGACGAAGCCTCTATCCAAAACATGGTCTACATTGACGTCAACTAACTGAAATCGCTCTGGGGCCGGTATGGTCGGTATCACATATGAAGGTGGAGAAGTTTGCATTGCTACAGGAGAGGGATACGTTACGGCACGATACTCTTTTGGTGCTCCTCGAGACAACCGTGCGGGTTGAACTGAAGGGATCCAGCTTACTACATCTGATTCAAGGAAGGTTCCAACTCCTTTGTGAGTCACGGGTGCCACACGAAACTGATAAGCATCTGCAGTTGCACTGGGAATGGGAAGTGAGGGCTGCTCAAAAAGACGACCTGTGTCGTAGGAAGAACGAGGACGTGGCGAATGATACACATCAAAATCGGGGCGATAAACGAACGATTCTTCGCCCATTGGCAGCATACCTACTGCGTGCCACCCAATGTCACCCACACGTCTGGCCTCCAACAAATATCCGACAGTAGGAGATGCACGTGCCCCAAGAGACAGATCTGATAACCTGGGCCATCTGAGTTCGATGCGTGGAATTTGAGTAGGACGATCATCCAATAGCAGCCGGGTCTCCAAATAGCCGGGTTCAAAATGTAACCGGTGGATGACAGATTCGCGCCTTCGCAATGGCGGTGAGAGTGGTTCCACCCTGGTTACCAAAGGTGCACTGAATCCGAATTCATTTTCTCCACGGACCCTATACAGAACTGCACTGGGTCTACAGGTCAACCACTCCTGATCAGCCGTAGTGAACCTATCGCCAGATTCTGTTCTGAAGTGGGAAGGCGGTAACAGGGGAACATCGGCCGATGTGCGTAATCCAGGCACACGGCCTAGTTCCACCCATTTCAGATCTGGTTTGTCGGCTTCAGCAGCCTCAATAATGTATGTGGCCGGACGCGAGGAGAGCCGGTCGAGCAACGCAGCGTCCGGAGAGGGTGGTCGCCATTCCAAGTGTAAATCCGATCCGCGTTGTTCATATCGAAGAGGTCCCCGTGGAGCGAGTGGTAACTGTCGTTCAGACTCCAGACCTGACGATGGTCTTGAAGAGGGGAGTAAAGTAACCCCTTCGATGACTAGCGGCCGTGTCGTTCTCAGCGGGCTGCTGGCGCCCATTCGATTAACGGCACGAACTTGATAGGAATGGAGTGGCGCTTTATGCTGCTGAACTGGAGGTAGGGGAACCATCGCACTTGTCTGACTGCCAGGCACGGTCAATAATGGAATCCATTCATTTGTACGGCTTGGTAGAGGTCCGACTTGGCGTTCGATCACATATTCGGTGATAGGGAGACCACCTGTGTCAGATGGGGGATGCCACGTTAACTGAACAGCAAAGCCTTCCGGTATATCAGCAGAAAGTATACTGGAAACTGAACGACTTGTGTCAAAACTGCTTGTGAAAGAGGGGAAACGTCGTGGGACGATTGTGGTTGGTGCACGGATTATTTCCGCCACTAATGGTCCTCTTGGTTTCGAAGGTGTATCTGTTGGAGAGAGAGGGGGAAGAAAGCAATAACCCATGAAACATTCCACAGAAAAACACGTAAGCGTATATTTGACAGTAGATATTCTAGTTAAATAGATCTAAAAAAAGGTTAAACAAAGAGAAAAGTGCAAATCCGATGCTCCTACTTGAGGACCACAATACCAGTAAGTGTAAGGCTACCGATGCCAGCGGCAGAATGTCTTGCAGGGCATGTTTATTGTACTCAAAAAAAACAAAGCAGCTGCGTTACTTTGTCGTATTACGGGAAGGATACTGCGGCATCCGAAAAACGTGGTCGAAGTCAGTTCGGCATATAGTCATTTAGAGAAGATGCAACGTAATGTATTCAAGGAGCAGGCGTCGACGCCTGATGAGCGCCTGTGACACATGATCAGCTAGCGAGTTCTTCAATGAACGAAAAACGAAATCACGCACCCACAAAAGAAGTATACTAGTGAAGTAAAGATGGTAAACTTGAATTGGACTAAGAAAGACCTGTTCATTATATGTAGCCGGGAATTGAAAGTGAAAGATTTCACTCACCGTATGGTGGAAGTAAGCGGTATGGCACCACATCGGTAACTGGGGTGAGGCCTTCACCAGGTGTTGGACGCGCTGCGATCCTCATTTCAGTCTGCTGTCCTGGTTGCAGGCGATCAACGATGAATTCGTGGAAATCGAGTGGCTGTGGACTGGTCAAACGTGTTTCTGTTGGACGGGGTTCATGTTGGATGGAACGCCAAGTGAGGTCACTAGGTCGTCTCACTTGTAAGTGGTAGTCTCGCATTGAAAATGTTTCCAGTTTTGTCCTCAAGTCCTCAGGAGGCATCCACCGCACTCTGACGACATCCGGTCCTTCAGGAGTGAAAATTAACGACGCGGCTGGCGATCTACCATGTAAGTCGGTGAACAGAATCCTGGTCTTGTCCACCTCAGGAGGCAACCTTATTGAATCCAGAGTTGAAACAATTGGGCCGATTTTAAGGCCGGAAATTGGGGCGACGCCTATCATAAAATCACGGCCAGGAGGTAGCCTTGATGATTTTACTCGTGCGGTGGTAGTGGTGGCAGGGACACGATCTAGTTCCCTCCAATCGGCCTGCCCTAATGGTCGTGCGAAGACTGCATACTTTTCTGGCCTTCCAGTCTCCGTTTCAGTTGTGTAGTGACTTGGTGGCTGCCATGCAATTATCAGTTCAGGTAATTCTGCTGCCTCCGGGCCGGGGGTGAATATGCTGGCACGCACTTCAGATGGCTGAGGCAATGGATGCTCGTCTGCGGGGGTTGGTTTGTATCTGGGTTTTAATGTAGGCAATACACTCTTTGGAATAGTCAGCACTTCCTCCATGATGTCGGACACTGTGCCGACTCCACGTGCTCCTTCTCCGTATGTTCGGACACCGACGTGAATAGTTTTCGCAACATCATCCAACAAGTGACTAGGCAGTTTAAATTTCGTCTTCGTTACATCAACTTTGCCCAATGGATGCCATCGGGTAGCGTAAGGGCTGCGGTAAAGGACCTCGTATCCGGTGACCCTTTCGGTGTCATAAGGAGGGTTCCAGATAAGTTCCAACTCTGGCTGTAACTCATAGGCCTTATCTGACGGCATTGAGGGCTGCGTTCTCGGTTTAGGAGTGATTCGAATAGGACCTCGAGGCAATGGTAATGGCATGTAAGAAGTTACACTGAAGTCAGGTAAACTGGGTGGGGGTCGGTAATAATCAGTGGGCCACTCGGTGCAATATAATGGCTCGCTCCGTCCGAACTCGTTCTCAGCCAGTAATCTGAATTCATAATCCCGCGGTTCGCCGGTCAAACTAACAACATCAGGACCCAGAAGGCCACGGGAATAGCTCGGTACTAGACGTTCGCTGAGGTGGGCTTCGGGGTGGACAGTTAGAGCGGAGGCAGGTCGTGTTTGCAAAGAGCTGATAACGCGGTCTACAATCATAGACTGGGGACCAAAGAGAATCTTCAAACTTGGTACTTTGGTTGCCGGCATTCTACTCAATAATGACCAGAACTTTTGATCTCTGCGTTTTGCTTCGATGACGTACGCTCTTATAGGACCTGCAACAGGACCCAGCTCAGTATCCATGGGAAAAGATGCCCAGCTAAGCTCTAACGTGCGGAAAGCAGCATCCGTTGCGGACCGAAGCTGAGCGATGCTGTCGTCTTGTGTGATGGTGGGCTTCAATTCCAATGGTCCAACGGGTTTTACTGGTGGTAGCGGTAATCTGTACGGACCAGTCTCCTTCGCAAGCCGAGGTCGAATGTGTTGTTGTAGAGGCACCGGTGAACTAAAGCCGGCTATATTTTGTGATCTTATCCTGAAACCATAATCGACGTCATCTAAGAGATGGGGTACTTCCAATGAATAGATAGTAGCAGGCACCTTCTTGAATGGAACCCACTGTTTTAATTCAGAGCTCCACATTTCAATCAAATAGAAATCAACGGGTGCTTCTGAGCGAGAAGGCGGGCGCCATGATAGTATGCACATTGATTGATCCGTTCCAACTTTACTGATAAGATCCGCTCGAAAGTCAGTCGGTGGGAGGGGTTTAAGAGGTAGTCCAGGGGTACCGGGACGTAACGGTGCGGTGGATGTTACGGGAACTGAGTCGCCCACGCGATTGTATGCTGTGATCGTTACGCGATGGACATGATCTGCGTCAAGAGGTCCTAGACGCACGCTTGTTTGTTGTGGACTGATAAGCATTTCATGGTCTTCTTCCGCGTCGACATCGTACACAATGAGACGGTAACCCAAAAGCTTGGAACCTCCGTCATTACTCGGTCGCATCCAATTCACATCCATATAACCTTGAGTCTGATAACCGGGTGTGTAAATTGGTGACAATTCCACACCCCACACCGAGGATGGTACTGTGATGTGCCGTAGTTGAGGATGTACCGGGATATCCATCTGTAGGGGGACTCCACATGGCTTTCCGTCGGAACCCAATGGAACCACACGGAACCACCATCCTGCGCCGTCATCGGGTACGAGTCCCGTGACTGTGTACTCCGTTGTCCCCGATTTCGCCTGGCCGACAGGAATCCACTTCGAATTACGCACATCCCATTTCTGCACGTCAAAAGTGTCTGGTATTCTTGAACCGTACGGTTCGATAGCGTGGTCAGCCCAACTTAGACGAACCGAATTCGGTGTGATCGCCTCGCCACTCAACTTCCCAGGGGGCAGCGCGCTCCGAACGGGTGTTCGTGTGCTAGTCCGTGACGATACTCGGTCCATGGGGATTTCTGGGCTCCATATTAGGCCACGATCAAACGCTTGCTGACTGGCAGCACTACGATGGCTCAAAGAAGAAGCCAGATCCCTGCGAACCATATCCTGAGTCCGCTGTCGTCGTTGACGCACGAACTCTTCAACTTCAGGAGTTCCTGCGCCGAATCCGGTAATCATTGCTAATTCTAAACTGAAGTCACTCTCGTCCATTACTTTCGATATATGCTTATCGGCCGCGGGTAACTCACTAGGGTGACCAGTGGTGCTTGGTAGAATCCTCCAGTCAGTAAGGGTAGGCGATTCAAATCCTCTCGTTTCTACTTCAACGGCTGGTGGCTGTATCTTAAATTCAGTGGGGACTGAACGACCAGATTCGCCCCGACTTATTATTCGCATGCTGTATTCTTTGTCTAAGGACGCTGGTGCAAGCAGGCCAACTTTCTGAGGGCCAGATTTCGGAATATCAAGAACGGTTTGCCATTTTTGGCGCTTCGAATCCCAGTCTTCGATGCTGTATCCACGGATGACATCTGCTCCAATTCCTTTGGGTTCCTCCCACTCCAGTTCGTATGCCAGTCCGGTCTCGTGCTTGAGCCGAACTGAAGGAACAGGCGGTATGTAGTCTTTGGAGACTGCAGACGGAGGTCGACTGGGTGTAGATGAACCAGCTAAAATTAACCCGGTCATGACCGGCTGACTGCAGCCTTCCGGATATACCGCAGACACTCGAAACTTATAACACCCGGTGGAGTTTGGAGCAATGGACTGATGGACGTAGTTCTCTTGTGTTCTGTCGATGATCGGCACAAAATCCACAGGTTCCCAGTTGGCCATTCGTGAATCATTATCGAGTCGTTCCACGTTGAAACCAGTGGGTTGAGGTTCAAGTGTCGAAGTAGGGGGGCCAATCCACTCTACTTGCAAAATTGGCCTGGATGATATTGTCTCGTCATCTGACTGCGGTAATCGACGTCCCCTTACGCATTTAGGTGGGGCTAGTGTGACACGCTTAACATAACTGTCCTCTGCGGTTAATGGCTCGCCGACACCCTCCTTGTTTGCGGCCGAAACACGGAAGAAGTACTCCCGATTCGGCTGAATCCCTGATACAATGTAAGAAGGCTGGTGTTTGTGCTCAGGACCGCCGCAGACCAGTTGACCATCGGGAGGACAAATCTTCCAATTGAATGAGCGCCCCTCACGCACCTCCAATTGATAACCTAAGATTGGTGATCCCCCGGATTCAGTTGGTGGTGACCAGGTCAGCTCTACGGAGCCCAGTTCACCCACAGGTTCACGCACCCGCATCGGGCCGCGAGGTGGACCAGGAACATCTAGAGCAACATAGAAGGAAAAAGGCGTCAGTTGTTGTATGGTTTGTCATTTTGACAGCGAATCCACTGACCAAGAAACATGCAGAAGTAGTTCAAACGTACAAGTTAAGTTTCAGCAAAGGCATTTAACAAGTGTGCATCTGCTTAAGTATACTCTGGTTTGCTTACCGATAGCTTTCGTCGGGTGGATGTTTGCATGGGTATCTAGGGGTTCTGACAGACCGTTCTTGTTCTCTGCAACTACCCGAAACTCATAAACTGTTGCTTGCATCAAGTACTGCACGGGAAACGTCAGACGCTTCGCCACTGGTAGTCCGGGAGTCTCAGCTAATCGACCAATCTCCTGCCAACTTCGGCGATACATTTCCCGTTTATAGATTCTGTAGCCAAGTATAGGGCTGCCACCGTCACTAGCAGGACTAAGCCAGGATAGGGTACATGAAACATCAGTGATGTCCTGTGCTCGAAGGGGCCCAACGGGTTGACTTGGTACAGCTGAAGATTTAAGGGGACAACACAAAGAAACCAGCTTGATACATCATCGGATCGGGTTAGACCACACATCTAAGTATCTCATTCAGAAGGGCATGATACGTACTCGTTATAATTTCGGGTGACACAGGTTCTCTGGTAGAAATGATTTCTCCTTGCCCCGACTGGTTGACAACGGCTACTCCGAAATAATACGCACGATCCTGTCGTAGATCCCCGACCACCAGGCGGTTAACGTAGTGGTCCAGCTCTGCTACCATTTTCCAGGGGGCTTCTGGCGCACCGGGTGCTGAAGCCGGCCGAACGAATACTCTGTAGCTATCTATCGCCAAATGGTGGGGACGATTTGCGCCATGATCGAGGCGACAGTCATGCGGTACGAGCCATTCCACAGTGACGCTGTCGGCAGCCTTACCCACCACTCGAATCCAGTCTGCTTTGGGTTTGCAGCCTGTGTGGAACGACAAATATTTTAATTAACCATAAAGGGAATAATAATGAATAAACGATAGGATCGTTTGGATTACTGAATTGTGAAATGTGTATGCAGATTAAAGCGATTACTGAGCCATGCGGACGATGGCTAGGATAATAAAATGCCGTTTAGCAGATCACTCACTCTCGTCGCTTGGCATTTCAAATATTTCGGACTCGAGGAAATTGCCCGTTCCAGCCTCATTGACTGCTGCGACCCGAAAAACGTATTTCTGTGATTCCATCAAGCCGGTGACCAATGTGGTGGTGGAAATACCTTCAGTTTCGGACTCTGTATCCGGCGCTTTTCGACTTATCCGGTGCCACCCAGTAGTGTTCGCATAACGGAGCTGTGCAACGTAGCGCAAAATTGGTAGCCCTCCAGTATCGTCCGGTGGCTTCCATGCTAGACGAACAGATCCATCTGCTGGGCTCGTACCTCTTTGTACTTCAGAGATATTGAGGGGACCCACTGGTGCACTCGGAGGGATAAATGGACTGATGGCGACAACCTTCTTCTCGGTTTCGAGAGGAGGTCCAACCCCGGCCAGATTTTCAGCACGAACTCGGAATCGGTACTCATCTCCGGGTTGTAAACCAGACACCTTGAGAATAGAGAAAGAGCAACGTCGCATTGTTATCAGAGCAGAAAATGGGACACCTTATTGAGGAGAGAGAGAATCATGAAATGCAACATTTAATGACCAATCTCAGACTGTGTGAACGCATCCACACTTTTTAATACTTCTGTTTATTAGTGATTAAAGCACAGTTCAATTTACAACACCCCTGAGTGCGCAGCGCCAAGGTCACTTACCACTACAGTTGTTCCAACAGCACTGGGTTGTCTAGCCACGTAGGCCCAACGAGCTTTCCGTGTGTCATAGCGTTCGATGAGATACTCATCTGGAGCTCCAAAACCATGTGGACCACCAATTTCAGGGCACTCCCAGTCCAACTGAATTTTTCCCACGCCGACACCGCGGGCCCGAAGTGGACCTTTTGGTGCACCAGGTGGAGCTGTAGGTCTCGCTGGCGTGTAAACTTCGGAATAAAGTGCAGGACTACAAAGGTCAGCTTCATTTCTGGCGGACACACGGAATGTGTAAACTCCATCGGGAAGCAAACCATCCACCCGTTTGTCTAAACCAGTAACATGATCCAGGTATTGCCATTGGTTTCCAGCTTGATCTAGACATGCCTCTATCATGTAATCCTTGATGGACACGCCCCCATCGTCCAACGGTGGACGCCAGCTGAGACGAACAGCATTATCACCATCGGGTAGCAATCGAAGAGGCGCCTCCGGTTCCGACGGATTCGTGACTGGGCGACGAAAAGAGTGCGACTTTTCCGTTTCAAGCCACTCTCCTGGCCCCTCGTCATTTACTGCTCTAACGCGAAACCGATATGCAAAGCCTTGCTGCAATTGTCCGACGGAACAAACCGTGTTATCTGCAGGTACAGTGGTAAGCGGGATCCAGCCTGCTGGGTGTCCAACGTCCTTCATCTCCAGCTGATAACGCTTTACCGGTAGGCCACCGTCATATTCAGGATGATTCCATTGCAATTTAAGTGAACCATCCGAAATATCAGAGCAAGTTAAGGGACCAGTTGGAGCATCAGGAACACCTGGAATAATAAGACGAAAAAGAAGCGGAGGAAGCGCTTGTACCGTTGACTCAAACGAACAAACTATTATATTGGCGAAAATTCATCAACTCACCGAAAGGTGCCTTCAACACTAGTGGTTCCGACAGCAGTGGTTCACTGGTTCCGACCGCATTGTAGGATAACACGCGAAACACGTATTCCACTCCGGGTTTCAGATTAGAAACACAAGTGCTCAACTTTTCAGGCCCTTCTAAACGTATCTGATGTCCGAAGTGACTCCGGCGGTTCCCGTCTCGTCTTTCTACGATATAACCTTGCACTGGTTGTGTATACTCAGCAACCTCACCAGAGAGGAGCGGAGATGGGTTCCATGATAGTTCGACTGTGGCACCCTCTGTGCGCCCTTTCACCTGCTCAATCACCTTCACATCAAGCGGTCCAGTCGGTGGCAATGGCTCAGTGACGATGAGCAATCGAATAGGCAGTGTGTTCACGCCGGCTGAATTTTCCGCCTGAATTAAATATGCTCCCGCGTCGGCCAGAGTCACGTTACGCAGGTTCACGTAAAAGTCATCGCCAAATTGTTCCACTCGACAACGCCCGAGAGCGGAAACACTGAGCTCCTGTCCATTTGCTTTGAGAAGTTTGACGGTGACGCGAGTGGAGAAGGTTACACGAACACCAACGCGGAGATTGTTCCCGGGACGTAAACAGTACTGATCACCAGTAAGTAGTTCAAGGCCTGGCAAGTCTGAAAAAGGGAAGACGGAAGGAGATAGTTTAACGGGATAAGATAGAATATGGACCCCATTCGGAAACCACGTAGACGTATGCAGATGATATTAATACATAAGTTGATGACGAGGAACTGGGAGGCAAAGAGGGATCCCAAGGAAGTGGAGTTGGTCTAAGTGAACGTTTTTGCACTATCGTTCGGTTGTGACTATTTCAAGCTGAGTACATCTCACTCAGTGGAGCTAAATGATTGAGAAGCAGATGATGCGAAGAACGAGTACGATTTCAATATTCCTTAAACTTTGAATCTGCTCTGTTGTCTCTGGGGTCAATGTGTAGAGGTGCAATTCTGAGGAACATCCTAGTCGAGAATCTGTGGCGAACCAAGTCAGACGGAAGCAGTAGGGTAAGCCGGCACAAAAGTAGCTAATTCTTACATTCGGCTGGAATTCGGTTATCTGTTGCTCATTCTTTAGGGAAATTTAAGCACAACCTGAGTGAATCATTTCATTGTTGACTAGATGGTTAGTATTGTGGATAACTGGATTCTGTATAGGGTAAAGTACACGTTAATAATGTCATCACTCAGTAACTTTTTGTCGTGGTACTAGGGCAGGTTGTACCAGTACCCGAGGTAAGCCGTACCATTAACATGAAGCAACGGGGTAAATTGTAACACAAAAGTAACCATGAGATAGAATGTTTCAAATTTTTATTCCATAATCCTTACCAGTTTATGTACAGAAGAAACAAGGAATAAATCAATAGTCACGGACATAAAATAGAATGTTATTCATAGTTAATAAGAGATGAGAGTAAAGATTTGGTGTTCAATCTAACAAAAAATCCCATTTATTTCCACACTCACACAGAGTTGTGTACTAAGTGCGCGCTATTCATGTGCAATTAATCAAACGAATCTGTAACGTTGACACGTTTTCTTCGCTGGCCAGACTTGCCCTTGGTCTGCTTATGAAAGACATTGCAACAACTGGCTTGTTGACAGCCTCCAGTTTACCCGCAGATTAGCTTCAATCTTTGGGGTAAAGTTACAGTAGGTTTTGAATGAACAACGTAGACGCCACCAATGCTTCTACTACCCACAGGACTCAAAATTATTCCCCTATAGGAGAGACAGACTGCCAAGTAATCAGAATCGGCGTGCGCCATTTCCATTGTGGGGTCGATTTTCATCGAATGCACACATAAATAGACCCTGACGCCGTATCTATTTGTGTCCAATACTAACCCATACTATGTATACCATTTCGTGTACTCGTTTTGACAAACACTGATGTGGGTTCTCCGATGATGGCGATAGTATATAAAAATTGAATTTCGGCCCCAGTGACGGGAAACCAGAGTGACCATTTTTGGGGCGCTCATTTAGCGAGCACCGATAATTATTTGGTGAGTGAGTTGTTCTCCCGAAGTTGAATACGTTTGACATGAATCTAGACCCAATTGAGTTCGCTTATTCGTACACATTTTTTGGCATTAGAGATTCTTAAAAGATTAACGAAACATCGTGAATCGCTCACCAGTGACCGCCAATTTCTTTGGCTTTCCAGCTTCTCGAAGGGCAGTTATCTGATCAAGGATACTCTTGGGCTCTTGGCCAGCATCTTCTGGTTGCGTGGGTTTCTCACGTTTCAATAAATCACGTCCGAGGTCCAGTTCGTCTCGTCCTGTTTCATCTGAAATACATGAAAGGTTAGAGTTCAAACAGCTGACAGGTACTTGTGTCCGGATCGAGTTAAAGATGTCACATGAGTTTAAGGCCGTGTCCGAATGACGAGCCACAATAGAGGCTCCGAATCACCCCATAGATAACCGAGTAGACGTGAACGCAAGCACATTCATCTGGTGGATATTGTTCATGAAAATAAATCTAACCTGCAAATGTTACTACATGTGCCCTGGGCCGCAAGTCGCGGAAGTCGGGGGTATCCTGTAGACAAATTTATCGTTCTCTTGTGGCGACAATTAATTCATATAAACCATGCAGTAAAGAGGATGTACCCGATAGGATATTGCAGGTACATGGTGGATACCATTTCGATATGACGACTCAAAACAATTGTACAACAAACGGTGACGCTTGAATGGTGTACAGTCTAACTATGCATGCGTAGTTTGGACCGATCTCTGAACGTTTGACTTGAGAAAGGGTTAGAAACAATCGGCTAGTATATTTCGTGAGCAAGGTTTAGTCTTAGGTTAGTTGGACGGCTGGATGGTTGGTGTCGCATGGGCAGTACATTGACAGGATAAATGTGACGATCGAAAGGATAGTCAGAGGGTAAACGCGCTAGGTATCACAGCGTCATTTCAAGCGGTACGGTAAAAATAGCAGGTTGTAAATGCTCACATATTAATCTCTGGTAGTGGGGGTAGCGTTGTTGATGTTCGATCTCCACGCTGGACCCAAGTCTCTTCAGACACTTCCATTGCTTTCATTCTGTTCAATCAGATATTGACTTCCATCACCTCAGTGGTCATTGGGGGTTGCGCCCTCCCACTGATCGCGATAGTAGAGAAAGCGCATCGCTAGCACTGAATAATTTAAGGGGAAAGCCTTGTGTGCATGCTCGTTGCTCGGAGACCCTGACATTCGTTTCCTGTGTTCTGCTAACGTTGCACTTTAATCGATGTTGTGGAACTCGCATAGCTCCGCAAAACGTACGCGCGGTCACCTGACTTCACAACCGCAATACTAACAGGTCAGCTCTGTCCATTGGAACCACTGCTATGTGTCAATGCAAGCTGCGCAGACTTCGCCTAAGCTCTCCAAATGACGCCGATGTATCTACAGTTTCAAGTTGCCGCCTTTTTCAGGACACCACTGTATATACTAATCCAAAGCTCCACTGACCTCAAATGAGTTTTCCTCAATACACTGCCACTAGGTAGCAACTCATGTGCCTTACCAAAATTCGCCTTCCTCCACAGCTTATGCATTACGTTACATTGAACTATAAAAACGAAAGTGTAGAAGACATGATTTGCCTTTGGGCGAGCCAATAAACGAACCCTTGAAGTCGGCCGACCTTTATTTTTTATGTCTCGGTAAAATCATGCAGGGTTACGATTTTCGTCAGTCTCAGCCTACGTGTGTACAACATCTGGCGACTAAGTAACTTAAGCCGTAGCGATCCGCATACAAATGACTACTAGATGCGTGGGGTACTACTAATGAAGACTGTTTCATCCATTCCAACTAGGAGTAGAAGCGCTTAGGGTGTAGGTAACAAAAGCATATGTGCACGCGGGCAACAAGTTTGCAACCAATTTTATAGGCGTAATTAGTCGTCCTAGCTGAGGATGGGAAGTCCTTCAAATGTACCAACATCAAACGAAACGTATGATCCTTTGGAAAAGCTTCCATTACTTTTGTTACGGAGAGAAAACCTACAGTCAGCGATCAAGGCGAGAACAGTGGCGCATAAAAGTGGATCGATCTACAACTAGAGATCGAAATGCGAATCTATGCGGGATCAGCGGCAAGTTGGAGTATGAACTTGAAGCATTTGAGTTGTGTTAATTAGTAGTAATTAGCATCTCAAATATTGTTGTCTTAAAGTTGCCCATGACCTATTTATTACGGTATGTTCTCATAGAATAGAATCCCTCGGTCCGGCCGTTCCTTGGCGTTCTCATTTCCTTACGGGTTGAACTGTTTGGGGCGACACAACTGATTCAGGCGGATTATGGGTACACTCAACGGGAACCCACAACAGATTTCTGGCGACGGTCAGCTGCGCGTTAGCAGCAGATTAGCCGTATAATTCATCGGCAACCACAACAGATTGCTGACGACGGAGGTGCGATACCGATTCAAGATGGCTATCTCAACAGAAGAGCTGAAAACTATTTTGCTTCAATAGCAGCAACAATTTGAGGCCTCACAGAAACTTTTACTCAGATGTTGTCACTCCAGTATACAGCCATCGCTTCGGAACAAATGCAAAAGCTCCTTCAGGTCCAGCAGTCAACGTTTGAAGAATCGTGGCGGAAGTTGACAGAGCAGTTGACACAGAAGTTGGACATTCAAGCAGAATGCGAACTGGAATCAGAATCAGAATCCGGATCCCTCGGACCGGCTGGTCTTGGTGTTCTCATTTCGTTGGGGGAGGCATAGCAGATTCAGACAGGTTATTTGTAAAGCCAACGGAAACCCCAACACACTTCTGGCAAAGGCCAGCCGCAAGGTAGCAGCAGGTTAGCCGTGCATTCAGCGGCATCACAACGCAGTTTTGTTTACTGGCCAGAAATGGATACGGAAATTGAAAAATTTTGCAACAGTGTGGACCTTTTCAACTTGCAGCGAAGGCCCCTCCTAAGTGGCAGTGGCAGTCTTGGCCTAAAGTAGAAAAACGGTGGCAACGAATACACAGACTATGTAGGACCAATCAATAACCAATACTATCTCGTTTTGGTCGACTCATTCATCAAATGGCCTGATGTGATTCCGGTAAACAATCCGACCGCACAGCACACTGTCAATGAGCTGAAGAAGCTGTTCCGATATTTCGGTCTGTCAGAGATGTTAGTGCCAGACAATGAAACATAATTCTCCTTAACTTCTTTCCGCGAGTGGTGCAAGGTAAAGGGAATTCAGCAGATGTTCTCACCACCATGCTATCCACAATCAAACGGACAGGCGGAAAGGTTCATGGATACGTTCAAAAGTGCACTCTGGAAAGCATGGCAAAGAAGGGCTTTATGGGATGCAATACAATCTTTCCTATGCATGTATCGGAACGCACCAAACCCAAGCGCCCCTGGTGGGAAATCGCCCACAGAAGTGGTATTTGGAAGAAAGATCCGGACGTTGTTCGATAATCTTTTACCAAGGAGAATAGATAAACCGGGCAGTAGTCACCTGGAGGAAGATCGCAAAGTCAGGCTCCGTAACTTCAATGCTGGTGACATAGTTTACGCCCGGGATTTTTAAGGCCGAAGAGGTGGTCGAGCGGAACTGTTACCGTCAGGAAAGGCAGAGTTATCTACGTGGTGATGATTGGACGTGAGAGGTGGATTAGGCACATCAATCAGTTGAGACCGAACCATGGCAAAAAACAAGGTCCCCATGAAACACCAGCTTTGCACTGGGACATTCTACTAGACACGTTCGGGCTGGAAGTTGAGGGTCAGCAACCCGGTGAAACAAAACAAATGCCGCAAACATCAGATGCACAATGCAGGCCGGCTCGGAAGCGGAGAAGACCACAATGGCTGCAAATCGATCCCCGGGCGAAAAGCTACGAACACAATCAAGTTCGAAGGGTCTGCAAGCTGACTCAATTCGAAAAGGGAGGTAATAGAGACGCAAGCGGAGCTGAATTTGGGAGTCGAGTGAAAATTGATAGGCCAGCAAATACCAGACTGCCTCAAAGGAATAGAACTATTCCGTCAATATGATTAACCCGTGGAGTGGAGCTCACTCACACTGGCTGAAAAGCAGACGCGGAATAGTGAACGACCTTGACCTCCTAAATTAGCATGTTTCGATTACTAATAAATAGGGTTAACCTATCCCGTAGAGATACACTCTGTCTACCGAATTCTAGCCTTCTGTATTCCTTCGGTTGGCTGGGCATGTGACTGAGAAGTCAGACAGTCGCAGTCTCCTAGGGCAGCTAGCAGCAGTACAACAGTTGTTAGTGGCAGAGAGCAGATGGAAAAGAGAAGCGTTATAACAACTTTCTTCCCGTTTAGTGCTTCACGGATGGCCACCGAAGCACCCTCTTTCGGGGGGAATTTAACAGTCCCAATCCGCACCGTGGTACGCGGTGGATGTGGGTTTATAATCTTTTGCAACTGACATTTCACTACCCGTGTCGGACGCTCACCATCCATTAATTGGCACATTGCTTCCTACTGAATGGCACTTTTATCCAAAGCCTCGGTGCATAAGATGCGGGCTATGTAAAATAGTGATACACTTGTTTCTGGTAAGCCAGCACTCTAGCAGTGTCCATCGGTTTTGGATATATCGCCGTTTTTTAGACTCCCCTAATCACGATGAACTGAGTGGTCAAGGAATAGCAGTGCACCATTGCAAGATTCTAATTCCGCCGGTGGACCTTGAAGTTTGTCTGCGACCCCTTTCAAACTTCTCCATGCACAAATTTGCCCACAGAGGAGACATCAACGACCCCAGAAGCCTTGATCCCAAGTGTATAACTCCAATCGGAAGCTGAGGTACGCTAAGGCTCAATCGCATTTTCTTGATTATTTAATCTGTCGTAAGCTCTGTCATCCTACCTAGATCATTGCATTTAGACGGCATTTTGATACCTCCGACGCCTCTCCATCTGGTGAACTATTCACGAAGTACCTAAGGTCGAAACCGTTCCTCATTTCAGCTGATTCGATAGTAAGACTTGCCATTTTTCACGTGAAATCATGAGTTCCTTACAAACGTAATTGTTCTCCGTGTCAAAGGTTGTAATAAACTTGTCAGTTATCTGGGCAACTCACAGTCCACTTTGCCTTACGAAGCTTATGTGTTAAAGGCAATACGATGCCCACGAAATGTACCAACCGATCGCCTACAGCTTCCTGAAACCTTGTGTGCATGACCGGATGAGAGTATATTGCATGATGTTGAACACCTTAAGTCTCTTTAGTTCGTGCGGACAAACTAACCAGAATGTTAGCAGAAACATTCCATTTAGCACAATGCGCTTACCTTTGGTAATAGGTTTTAGCCAGTCAGTAAGAGTCGATGGTTCACTGTATCCAACAGAGTTCTTCGCCCGGACACGGAATTGTGCAGCCATATTCGGGTGCAAATCAGTCACGCGCAGCATAGTTCCGGAACGGACTAATGTGGTGGACGCTTGAGTCCATTTGGAGACTGGTGAGGACACTGGGTCCACTGACTCGCGTACCTCAACCAAGTAACCTTGAAGTTGGTCTCCTCCAAACTCCGCTGGCGCATCCCACCGGACAGTGGCTTCACGAGGTGTTGTGCGCTCTGCCACTACGTGGGTAGGGGATGATGGGACATCTGAAAGAAAACAACAGTTAAGGTTAGCTAAAGTGGTCTTTCAACGGGAAATGTAAAAACGGTGTAAATGGTCACCACAGCAATGAGACTAAGCAGGAATACCTACCGCTTAAGGCCTTCATTTGATAAGGTGAATCAATTTCCGTCGGGTCGCTGGTGCCGAGATCGTTTTGTGCCAACACTCGGAAAGAATACACCACATTAGGAGTACATCCGCGTATTCGAAGACGGTCATCATATGGACCAGCTTGTCCAACATTTCTCCACTCCATGTCCCGTATACTAACAGGCCCCTCAGTGCCAGCTACGATGCGCCGTTCCACAAGGTAGCCTGTCAGTTTCGAACCGCCGTCGTTTGGAGGGCGCTCCCATAACACATCAATCCAGTCAGGGCCTTGAGCTGAGCCTACGTTCACAGACAATGGAGGCTGGGGGCGATCGGATAGAATTAACCGCAACGCCATCTGGGCTGACCCGGCAGAGTTTACGAAGCGTACACCGAAGTCACCACTGTCGGTCAGTTGCAGGTCGTTAATCGTGAGATAGGACTGTTGCATCGTAGGCACAGTTTTGATCTGGGTTGCTGTGGCTGATGGTTCGTTTACTGTGACACGCGATAGCAATTCCGGTGGCAATTCCGAGTCTACGCGATTCCCTTTGATGAACCAAACTACTTCGTGACATACAGGAGAAGCCTCACAAGTGGCTTTCAAAACCAGTCGACCACCGACACGCCCGGAGAGGAGCTCTGCTTTTCCGGTGACTTGGTTGACGCCGGTGGATGAAGATCTATCCATATCTAACTGAACCGTGGGTTTCAACCAAACAGTCACGCGGCATTGTGTCTCCGCTAACCCCGACGTGTTTGCAGCCTGACATTTGAATACACCACTATCTTCCAACTTTGCACGATTTATTTTGAGAGTGGCTCGTCGTTCCCAAGCCGAGCTCGTGGAGTATTTCACTTGACTGCGAACTGCTTTACCATCTTTGAACCTGAAAGGAGCAGATCGAAATCAAGGAATTCTTGGTATCTCTCGGTAGTACATGAGGTCATATGCATGTTCTAAAGTATTGAGATCAATTGTGTCGTTTACAAAGCCAGTTGGGGGTCTTTAAAATAATCCGATGTATTGGAGGGACAATCTAAAACGAACGAATTGTGTGTGCTTCACACTTGTCCATAAAACAAACCCAGTCAAGTCGGATGGCTCAAACGATAAAATGGTATCATAGAACCCTCACTACAGCAGGCAAAATGCGTAACGACGTTACGCTCTACGTGATGCAAAATGTAATAACAACGGTCCGAACTGTGCACGTCATTCACAAGTGGAGGTTTCAAACCACAACTTAATTAGGTTTTGAGGGTGCACAATACCCATTAGGTGGTAGCGCCGAAAGAGTGACAGTCCGTAAGGAGATCAAAATGAACGGCAAGTTAATTAACATGAAATGGCCAATTCCTTATGATAAGCCACGATCCTTTGTCTACGGGTGAACAAAACTCCGGTAGTCATACAGGTCCATTAAGCCCAGGAATCGTGTAGGGAATAACAAGCACTGTATCCACACTGCACGTCGGCTACGGTCGCTTTCAGATCGTAGTGAGAAATACAATTTTAGCACGAATGAGCACTGGCTATTGTAGGCGATGGCTGGACACAGTATGAATACGGCGTGAATACAATGAGGCAGACAAGACTGAGATCGAAGGTTTGTGATCAGCTGTTTCACTTTATCGATAGCAACGTGACTATTCCGGTGAATATGGATGCTGATTCGTGCAAGTTACATCGAACTACACGGTAATTCGAAGTGCGGCATGGAATGCAGTGGTTCTGATTCAATGCTTACCATGTAACGTTCGCCTTTGGTTCGCCAAGCTTGAATTCACAAGCTAACTCCGCGGATTCACCGACCAGCAATGTGATATTGCTCAATGCATTTACCAAACAAGGCTTCGCCGATTCTGAAACAAAAGTGAACGATCCAGATGCAAAAGTAGACCAGATACAAGCGACCGTGTAGCCTACAGAGAGGCATGATATAAGTGCATACTTAGTAAAGCTCGAAAACATTCAGCGAATTGGTGAATGAATGTAATCGTACCAAGTATTCGGTATTGAGCCAGTGGGTAGGTTTTGTCAGTTATATGAGCAGTCTAGACCCAGATTGTAACACCCGGCTCGAAAGCACCAGTAACGCCTTAAAAAGATAGAAATCACGGCGTAGATACTGGGGAACGGACTCTGCGCGGAGGATACAGGGTTGCGTGACATTACTTGGGTCTTAGATACTCTAAAAACATGCACCATTGGTACCGAAGTTGGGAGTAAAGTGCAAGCTACGACCCGGCCACAGCCAATGCACGCACTTATCCGTGATTGCAACCTTCCATGTGTTACGAAATTATCAACGGATCGTGTGAGACGAGTTCGTGACCGTGGGGTTGGTAAGCATGCATGACAGCAGACATAAACAAATCCACTTCAGCTTGGAATCGTTCTGTATAATTTAAACCACAATGATCGCGAAATGTATAGACGAACTATTCTGAATGGAGGCTTCAGTCAGAGTGACTCGACATATGAGCTTAACAATACAACCGATTGAAGCGATGGGTTGTGCCGGTTGGGCGTGTAACCTCAATGGGCGCCACGTCGGGAGAATATTTCCTCAAGCTTGCGACCACACGAGCGTGCCGAGTCGTGCATGACGAGTTCCAGCCATTCCAAAGATGACTAACGCTAACTGCGGCGGGAAGAGCAAGACCATAAGGCAGTCCGGACTAGCGCAATGAAAGACGTTCTCGACGTAGCATCAACTACTCTCGTTAGTTTGGAAGTGTTATCTTGTCCAGCAAATATACACGCTGCTTCAGGTGTCTTGTTTATTCAACGACGATCGCACCAGCCCCAGCTAGGAGCACCGTTCACGGGTCAACTGGATGACCGAACACATTTTTTCTAATGACAAACAACAACAAGGTACCAAGGATAAATGTGTGATTAGTGATCTCGATATAGATAGATTTTCAATCCGAGAAAGAGCCGTATGAACGTGAACCAACCATACTTGTAAGCATCGAGAGTGCACTCTTGATGCAAAAATTCACTTTGAAGAGTAAATCACTACGCGACTTATTCCCAACATCTGTAGTGCTCCATTGGAGTAAACATTTGTACGTAGTGCTAGCACTTCCCTTCCATCTTACAACTTCAGATTCCTCACGGTATTCTCGTTGTTCACACAAAGCGAACTGGCTACAGTGTTCAATACACGCGGTCAAGTGCACCATCAAAGGAGAGGCCTTGTCGCCGCTGTAGATGCATGTGCAGCCCAGATTGTAGAACAATCACATGCGTTAAAGCGGCGCCACATTTGAGAGTTGAGAGGAGCGGATCTTAGTGCTTAGATCTGCTCGACGCCATTCCACTCCACTGGATGACTGAAATGACAGGTAAAAAGCCAAACTAGCAGTCGTACACACCCACTGCACGGCATGCTTAAGCCCAGGTTCTTTCAGCGCAACCAGACAGAACTGACGGCTAGAATGACAAAGGAATAACTGAATGTTAGACAGATACCAGCAATTTGAAACATGGATTCCCCTTCATAATTCCAAATGAGAATAGCAGAAAACGAAGAATTCGGGATAGCACTATCATTTCGTGCATACTCGTCAGCCACGTACATGCAACTAACAAGGGATGCAAAACAATGTCACATGGAATTGACTGATTGTCGATTGTTCTCCGATTGGTACGTTGCACGCTGCCACAGTAGATTTAGTGTTACGGTCAGCTAAATTTGGACACAGAGTACTGAGTGCTATCGATCGACAAGTCGAGTAGCTTGAGTATGTGAAGCATGAGGACTGTGAATGACTCATCGGGATTCACCCGGTGAATGGTGCTCATCAAACGCCTCGTAATCTCGGATGCATCTTTGCTTCTCAATTCACCAGGTGCAACCGTTGCGTGTCCTATCTGTTTACGGAGCCACTTTGGAATATGTTCATTGATTGGAAGATCTAAATTTCGACCAGTGCGCCCAACATAGCTGTCTCCACAGCGATATGTGAATTTGTATAAGCAATGGGAAATGCACTGCTTGGACACGGCTGTCTTAACTGAACACTTAAGCAGTGGTCTCGTGGTCACGAGCAAGAGTAGCTCTGCTGCAATGGATTTCCTTTTCAGCGGTGACTTTCATAAGGTCGTCACCTTTGGAAGGGAACTCAATGGAAAGCTGTTTATTTAAACCGTTATCTCCAGATCTCTCATCGACTCACTGAAGCACTTTATGAACTGCAATGGATAGCCATTAGATTGTAACACGTCAAGCAGTAGTTCTTTCTCTGCTTCCAGTTTGTCAGTGGTGCAACTCAAATGAGCTCGATGGAACAACGTTAGGATTCAAGTGCGATTGTGATGGATTGGCGGGAAACAACAGGAAAACGGAGCCCACGAGTCAACATCTGACTGTCGAACCTCCAGCGCACAAGCCACGAGTTAGACGGAGCGGACGAAAGGGCTGGTGAAAAAAGGCACGCTTTTTATGCACTGCGCCTTCACGCATGGCATCACCTCCCTATCCCACGGAGTTCCCCTGGGGATTCCAACGCACGGTTGTTCGCTGAACTCAATGAACATATTCGACGTGAATTTACCGGGTGCATTTAAACTTTTCACCAAATGCGAAGCACAAATGTACAGAAAGCAAGTGGACCCATTTAAGGAATGCTTGTTGGTTATGTTTTCTGAGAGGGAACTTTAGTGGTAGGCATATGTACCGACAAAGTGGGGCTTCTAGAGCACCAGTTGGTATTCCGCTTGTGAAATGGGTCGTTCGGCTCCGGGCTAACAGCAGTATACATAAACAGAATGAAGGAGCAGCTAGGATAGTTCAAGTGGACTAGTCTTGGTTTAAAATTTTTTGGGTACATCGGGACCTACAGAATGTATACATATAACCGAGGCAGCTGACACCAGTTCCCCCTTTTGGTACCACTAAGCAAGTGGCACACAAGTTGGATGCCCTAAATCGACAAGGGGAACAAACAATGGGACCTCCTTCAGTTCCTGGACCTCCACCAGAAGAAGAGGCCATTTGGGCTGGGCACCATAAACCTACATGATCACGCGACACCACGGGTTTAACGGTTTCTGTTCCATGAGTTAGAAACAGGTGTTCACCTGTCTAAGTTCATGAGAGCTCACCGAAGGTGCTCTAAAGGGACAACCGCTTGGAACAAGCTACTCCAAGCGCTATAGCATGCGGACGCTGAATGCGGTGTAGAACGGCTGACTGAGGTGTCAGAAATCAAAAGTCACTCCCTTCGCTTCTCTGCTACCGTATCCAACAATTTGTTACGCGGCCGATTTAGTGCCAATGCATCAAATCTGGAAAGTTCTACGTGAAAACAATCCGAACAGATTAGACGTTCAGGTTATGGTCTCGAGAATTTAAATTCTAACGCACTTGAGTGGCTAGGTGCAGTGGTTGGGAAGTAAGGAATCTATCCATGAACCATTCCAAGCATCTGTGGCAAAACTCGAAAGCAGGTCTCGAGCCTATTCAAATGCACCGCATGTCAGTAGTCACGCGAATCACGCAACCGATTGCTGTACTAAAGCTTCGGCGGTTCGGTGACTGAATCCCACACTGTGCACACAGACGAAACTCGTGATTGTACGCCGTTTAATTGGGGTTGGTAATCAAATTTCTCTGAAAGTGGTACAAACCGGGGTTCAAGTAACCTTGGACCTCAATGGATCTGTCACTGAAACTGCTTGTCCATACATTGTGTGCAACGTAATTGATCGACGTGTTATGTGAAAGCGAATGGAGAGAATAAGTTAAATAAACGAATTCAAGCGTTGACATTTTTCGTCAGTCTTCCACCCTGATTTCGATTGAATTTCGATCCAGAGTCTCTGGAAACAGTCTCTAAATATGCAGTCTGGCGACTAGGCAGTATTGTCGTTCAGCTCACGCAGAATGGGATGCTAATCGAAGAGCCAGTCATAGTTGCTTCAAGATAAGGGTTTCCGGAAGGGATAGTATGATACTGTGTAAAACAGGAAAGCGGACCACAATAAGCCGCGCTATGAAACTGTGGAGTTGGGAGGTTTTGGGGACACGCAACTTATACTTAACTGCCAAGCCTACACGAATGGATGTTTAAAAACGAAAAACCAAAATTCACTAAAGGTGTTAATGATTTATGTTCGTGACAATATTAAATCTCAATTTTACAAGATGGTAATACAGTACAAAAAGGATATAGATTAACCCAAAAAATGGCACTAGGTAGATTATTACATAACGAATATCCGAAATGCTTGGTGAGATATCAGATGCAGGAGGGCCCTAATCCACCTCCAAGATCGAGTACGAAGTAGACATTATAAGTTAAAATTCTCCACATATAAGGATTCATGAATCTTATTCGGAGGGTACTGAACAATGAGAAAAGCAAAATCGTTGTTGAAGGGTCATACGTTGTAGTATTTGAAGGATTCCGTTCCTCCAGATGGGACAAACTATTGAATTTACACCGTCCCTTGGGGGGACCGTGCTCACATGTGTGTAAACCAAACTGCGAGGGAGCTGAGTGCGATTTCAGAGCTCAGAGAAAGTGTGTGTTGCATCCGGCGAGGAAGAGCCTGATTACGAAGCCATAGTCAAAGGATTAGGGATTATCGTGTATGCACTGGATACAATGCAACAAATCAACTTGGAAAATCTCGGTTTCGTCAGAAAGGAGAATCGGCGTAACAGCATAAGAGACAGTTACTGAAATGGCGGAGATCGTCAAAGTCCGGAGCGAAATGAAAGTAGAATACGCAGGGGTAAAACTTGAAAAAGAGCCGTGACTAGTTCTAATCCGATCTGTCTGACTAGTGATGGCATATGGACTTGCGTTGGAGCTCACGGGCCACATGATGTCTGAAATGTCCATTGGACCAATTCTTCTGTTGTAGCGAGATCACAACCGAGCTAGAGTCCCTGCGCAAGTCATGTCCACACGTGTACATGTCCCTGAAGATATGATGTCCAACGATCAGGTCGGTCTTGTCGCGTACCAATCACACATTGGCGCACAGTACTAGTAGGGTATCGCGAATCACTATACGCGGGTCGCTCTGAACAAAATGCTACCTAGACCTCAGCAATTTACGGTCACGCACTGTGAATTTACACATTAGTTCTGAAGACATGAAAAAATTAATGTCATAATGAGTTCAATTCCTACTTGGTTGACTTACCGATGGCCTTCTCCGGAACACACGGCTCGGAAACGTCGGACCAAGGACCGGCGCCCACAACATTCACAGCAGCAACGCGGAATTCATACTCCTGCTCCGATTGTAAATTTGAAATAGTAAACCCTGTGTCGATCGGCTCTTCATTGACAGTGTCCCAGCTTCCTGTTATCGGCGTCTAAAGGGGGATCAAGCATATGAAGTTCAGGAGATACCCGACATTCAGTTAGAGTAGTACAAGTTAGTGGACGAGCGGTTCACTTACTCTGTACTGTACAAGATATCTCTTTATGGAGTCACCACCGTCATCGTACGGGGCTTTCCAAGTAATGGTAACCGACTTTTCTGTGACAGTTTTCACCGCAGGACGAGATGGCTTGCCTGGAAGTGCTGAAATTAATAAATAAATGAAAAACGACGATGTCTAGAGTGTACATCTGTTGAGGGTGACAATCCATAAAAATGAACAAGTTGAGCTATTATAGAAATAGGAAAGTAAAGTGTCCACTTACTGTAAGGCACCTGAGTCGAAATACGATGGCTTGGTTGTGAGAACTCACTGACCAAACCATCCGCATTCTCAACTGCCACACGAAACTCGTACAGGTTGTCCGGAACAAGACCAGTAACCTTCACGCTATGTGGAGAGGTGACTTCAGATTCTGGAATTGACAATTTGCTTTCGGTTGCACGAACCCAGTTGCCTTTCTGATTAGCACGTTTTTCCAAGTGATAGGTGACCAGTCGAGCTCCACCATCGGAGCTGGGTGGTTTCCAAATTACACGACAAGAGTCAGTTCCGACATCCGTCACTTCCGGTGTTGATGGGGGGGTCGGAGGTTCTACGGGGTTACAAAGTTGACGTGAAATAGAAGCTTATTTTGATATGGAAGATGGTGAAAGAACTGTACGACGATTATACCTAAGCGAGTGTTAAAACACGTGCGATTGGTGATCTAACTGTAATCGGAAGGTACAACTAGCAAACTTTGAAACCCGGATTCTCCAAGGGTAAAATGATGATCATTCGTAATAATGCAAATGCACTGTCGACATATTCTACGATTCCTGTCTGATCTATCCTCTAAGCAGTTTTTTAAAACGAGTTTCGACTGGATGCTAACACGCAAGTTTCCTAAGTGTACACATCCGGTAGAGTGAGAAAAATTGTTAACCTACAGAAGTTGGGCTTAAAAGAATAATTTCATTATCCACTTTCGCGCCACTCAATATATGCATATATATGTATATATAAGAGATTTCCCGACGCAATCGTATGCCTTCGCCCAAAGTGCTCAACATCGAATGCTGGAACGTGCGCACATAGCTGGACCGGAATACGAATGAGCACCCCGAGCGACGCACCGCAATGGTCACACTAGAACAGTCGATACGGAATTGATATCAACGCACTTAGTGAGACTCGGTTGGCTGACCAAGGCAAACTGCATGAGGGCACTGGTTACATGTTATACTGAGTGGAAAACGCCACCGCAGCACCACGTGAGCAATGGGTCGGAATCGCGCTATCGGACCGAGTAAATGGCCACTTGATGAAGGACCTGATTGGTACCGCCCCACGACTGATGACTCTTCGTCTATGCCTCGAACGTGCTAAGCCTTCAGCTTGTATTAGCATGTATGGTTCACCAGGTGTTCTCCTGATGGGACAAAGGATCAGTTGTACTCTCCGTTGTCCTCCGTGATACGATCCGTGCCAAGGAGCGACCGGCTATTCCTAATGGGTGATTACAACGTCAGTTAGGCATGATGCCGCGGTGTAAACAGACGTAATCAAATAACTTGGTATTGGCTCAGCCAACAAGAACAACGACCATCTGCTCTCACTGTGTGCCACTCATGGCTTGAGTATCATAAATACGCAGTTTCCAAAATATGCGCGTGAGATTGCTACTTGGGTGCACCCGAGAAGTGGTCACGCTCACCTGCTCGACTATGTCATCGTACGTCAGCGTGACAAGCGTGAAGTGCGCAGGACACGTGTACTGCGTGGAGCTGAATGCACACTTATCACAAGTTGGTGGGTATCAAATTGTATATATATTTTCGTAAATTCACATTTTGTTACCCTGCGGTGAATCGGTGGAATTTAATATTCGTTCACGAATTAACATTGAATAAGGATCGAACTGGAGAATGTGATGGCTATCCGCCCTATCGACCTTGGCTCAATGGTCTCATTCAGATGACTGCTGTGATCGAGGAGATGGTCAGGCGCGTAACCTATTTGCAGTCCGATTGGTATGATGGCAGCGATGTGATCATTGGCGTAGTGGTGTCAGAGATGAATGCAGCATCTGCTGCGCGTGCGGAGGAGTCCGGCAAGTCGGAGAATAAGGAGATGTTTCACAAGATGGATCGCGTCAATAGTCCATGGTGGGCAGAGAAGGCTGTACTAGCACCTTGATGCATGTCCTTGTTATTGCGGTTATCTTCCTAGTTCGGCGTAAAACGCTGCTCCAGCTGTATACTGATTCACCTCACCTGACGCAGCTTTTGTGTAAAAAGCGAAACATTGCCCAACACATCAGCTATCTGATTCTTTCCAAACCTCTCTGAACTCGAGTTACAGGACTCTTTGAAGACAGTGCATTGACCCGCATTGCAGCCGCTGAGAACGATGGTGGACGCTACTTCGAGTACTGTCTACACAAACCGCCAGAATTAAGCACCTACGGTGTAAGCACTTCGATTGAACAATCGTTCAGAGATAGACTATCTACGTAGCACGGGCTACAACAAAAATTATGAAGGGCGGTATTGCCATCACCACGACCCTCTGACACTCAATGACATGTAGAGAGCACTTGATCAACTGGGAAACGGTAAAGGCACCGAAACCGACAGGACACCGCTAAAAGTGTTGAAACAAGGTGTATTCGCATTGATACATGCATTGCACCAATTGATGCAACGCGTAGGGTTTGACAAGGAGATTCTGGCTGACTTGAAGGATGCCTTTGTGGTAGCATTCTACAAGGGCAAAGGAAGCAAGCAATGTTCCTATAATTACTGTGGCATCAGGTTGTCAAGCTGCGTTGGGAAGATGATCTCACGAACCCTGCTCAACAGCCTCGTCATTCAGGTCGTTATACCGCACGTAGTGGAAGAGCGATGCAGTTCCGTCCGGGAGGCAATACCACAGAGGTAATCTTCGCGGCTCGTCAGTTGCAGGAGAAATGCCGAGAGCGACACCAAGCATTATACTTGCTGTCCATGGACTTCGTCAAGACATTTGATACGGTGAACCGTGAGGCACTGGTGTTGATTGTCCGAGTAAATCTGTAAGTTTAGTTGTATGCTTGCACAGGGGGATGCGGGCAAGAGCGAAGTTATGTGAAGGACCCTCGGATAAGTTTGTTTTCTCAGATGTGAAACAACGCTGGTTAATGGGAACGGAAATTTGGACTACACGTTGTGTGATTGGATTGCGACGCGCAATCGCTGGAAGACGGTATACATGCCGGATGAAGAGGGGATCCCGGGCTTCAACAACTTCTGGAAGGATATGCTCTCGCAACCCCCTGTATCTGATAAGCGGGGAATCTCGTAAAACTCATGACCATTGAGGAAACGAGTTCTGTACTGCAAGAAATGGATGGACCTTCACCCGGAGTAGATTGTATTACACCGAAGAACATGTCGAATGGATCCGTGATACATTACGTTTTTAAAAAACTGCTTATTGGCTTGTTCCCCTTATCCTACTCACAAGAACTTGGCCTGTGCAACGTTTGTGCCAAAAAGTCCCAACTCTTCCCACTCTGAAGACTTTCGCCCAATTTCCGTAACTTCAGTATTCACTCGTCTTCTTCCTCGAATTTTATTCGTTCACTGGTTTCCTACATTCCCAACTGACCGTCTTCAATTTGGTTATCTTCGTAAAGATGGCTGCTTTGAAGCCCTCCACGAGATTATACTCAACATTTAGATATTTACACTTGAACGCTATCCCTCTGTCCATTGCTTCCCTTGACATTTCAAAAGCCTATGATCCCATCTCCCACGCTTCGCTGCTTTGCGCAGCCACACCTCTCGGTGCCCTCTCTTTTCTTCTACATTACCTAAAGTGTTATTACTCCTCCGGAATTGTAATCCTCAACGGCCTGAAGATTCACCCAAGGCGTGAAATCTGTCAGGGAGATCCGGTTTCTCCCATTCTCTTCATCATGGCAATTGAGGAAGCATTACACACACCGACTGACGCAGTGGATTTTCCCATCAGGTTCAATTCATCATGTCGCTTACGCAGATGATGTCGTACTATTTGCTCGTGACCGAGAATCCCTGATTGAACGCCTAGGGCGATTTAGCCAAGACATACAGCACCTTGGATTATCAATTAACTATCTGAAACCGATGGTAGTGGATATCACCGTCGACAGCAAAAAATCTGCTTATATTGAGCACTGCACACCTTCCCTGTGGCGCCCTCCAGATCCCCCCGATCCAGCCATCCGGGGAATTCCGGCTACTTGGATTACCATTTGATTGGAATGGTAAACGCCCGTAAAACTCGTTCGACCAACTCAAGGCACAGCTACGAGGAACACCTCAATCCCTACCAGCACATGGACATCTTGTGCATCAATTCTACCGCGTCATACACATTGCCTCGCATTGGCGGCGGTGCACCGGTAGACCTTCAAATCGATGGATAGGCTGGTCCGGGCAAGTATACGAAAATGGCTACAACTCCCCGAGGAAAACAGCGTCGCTTTCTTTCACGCATCAGTTGAGGATTATGGCCTAGGTGTTCCGTGCCTTTCTAGTATGATCCCATTGCTTCGGAAGGACCGCTTGGTACCCCCTTTTTTCACTCTCCCACCCAATTACCAGCTGAGCGATACGGAAACCTTCAGCTGCTACGATGCAGCGCCTTGCCATGAAACCCGTCATCATTGGGAATCAAGTCGTCATGGACAAAGTAACACGAAGGAAGTATGGAAGAAGTCACTGCTACAATCTGTAGGCGAATTCTTGCTTCGGGGGTATTTGCGACGCCAGCGTCTCATAACTGGATAAGAAACCCCGAGCGAATTTTCCCCGACTTTGGGATCCCAACTTCGAGCAGGGATGCTGTCGAGAAACTGTCGATACTCCAGAGGATGACCACCCCCGAACCGAACCGCTGCTAGGGCGTATGCGGATAAAACGAAACGCTTTCCCACGTCTTATAGTTCTGTGCAGTAACCCACGATGCTCGCTGTGAAAAAGGCACAACGATATCACGAAGCCACTAACCAACACCCTTCGTCATAAAGGAGCCCCGCATCCTAGCGGTATCAACGCACATCAAGCCGAATATAATCGTCATCAAGAACTCCTCAACTCACGTAATGGACGTGGCAATATGCGACACCTAAAGTGTGACCCGTAGCTACTAACTAAAAATTGACAAATACGGTGTAAGTGCTCCCGGGGAAGCCATAGTCCGCATTGTGCGCTCGGAATTTTTTACGGCATTAACTATCATCCGATAATCATCAACAACCGGGGTCATATATTCCCAGTCTCCGCAAAGCACGTGTTGGCACTGGAGCTCACTAAACTTGTCATATCCGATCTGTGTGCGTCTACCATTGTAGGATCCCTTCAAGTTTACGACACCCACAAGCGGGGTGCAATGTCACAAAACACATCACACTAACACCGTACCCACTAATTTTGGTGTTTTAAATGCTTACTGTTTTAATATTACGTCAGGAGATTTGTCCAATCTCGGCGAATTTATGTAATACCCAGGCCTTGGGCCATGCGTGAATTTATCAAAAATATATGTGTATAAACCGCGATTGACATTGAAGGAATCTTGGTCACTGCAACTGCTTGGACCGTAGCCGAAGTAGATGGAAATTGGATGTTGTCCTCCCGAGAACACTGCACAACTACGACGCGTTTCAATGTCAGTCACCGTTGTGCTAAACGTTGCCCGCCGTGTCCCGGTAGCCAAAGGGGCTACTGTTCCAATGGTTGTTATCTCCACCTGATGAGATGAAATGACATCGAAACGCGTCGTCGTTGTGCGGTGTTCTCGGGCGGACAACGCCCAATTTCCATCTGCTTCGGCTACGGTCCCAGTGATCGCAGTGACTCTGGGGAGCATTGAACACCTGTTTGACAAAGGAACAAACCAAAGGCGTATGAACTGAGCAACAAGTCACCGACTCCCAATGGGCGCGATTCCCTGAATTCGCTCCGTTGCCTTGCGGGCAGGCTATTCAACCAAAGACTCGGGGTGGTGTCTCCTAAGTCAACACCCTACTTCGACTTGGGCAACCGGGTAGTATCTCGCCCGCTGACGAAACCATAGACCTTGATGTGTTGTGTTGTGTTTTCTTTTAATATTTCTGTATTTTCTTTTGATTCCCATGTTTTCTGATGGCTCTGTCTATTCATAGACTGTTGCAAATATATGAATCGCAGGGACCAAGGTTCACTTCAATGTGAATCACAGTCTACATTGAGACTGTGGGTCGCAATACCATCACAGAATGTGTAGTCCAAAATTGGCCCTCCAATAAGTTATTCACCGTTGTGCCAAGTGTTGCCCGCCATGACCCGGTAGCCATAGGAGTAGAGGTTTCGGCTACTGTTCCAATGGTTGTGGGTTCGAGATCTGCTATCTCCATCTGTTGTGAGGAAATGACCTTGAAATGAGTCGTGGTTGTGCAATGTTTCCGGACGGGCAACACCCAATTGCCATCTGCTAAGGCTGTTTAATTTACCTAAATGCTATGCTGTCCTATGCATTTAATACATGTGATTACGGCGTCCATGTGAAGCACCGTACTGATGATGCGTTACTGAACATGCATGGTTTTGGGACGAGAACCCAGCTGCATGAGACAACCACCCAAGTGTTTTTGTTTGCCGACGATTGCACATTGTTTGCATACGATGAGGATGAGTTGCAACGTAGGAAGACGGCTCTCGCTTCCAACGGCCGCCAAGTTCGGACTCACTATCAACACAGGTAAGACTGCGTGCCCTTTTTCAGCCATAACCAGGAGTGGAATCCGTGGACTGCTCCAAAGGGAAAATTGCTAGTGAGGTTTTGGAGAACGCGTCAGCATTTTGCTACATCGGAAACACCCTGTCAACAGACTTGCAAATGACCAGTGTGCTGCGCACACACGTACTAGAGACCTGTGCGACTTTCAGCAAGTTGGAACATCGTGTGTGAAGGAACCTTAGGATTAGTTTAGGAACCAAGCTGATGACACACAGAAATCAGTGGTGCTCTCGATTCATCTCTGCGACAGCGAAACACGGACGCCCTACAAGAAGGAGATCCGCTATCTGGACGAGTTCACTAGCAATGATGACCGTGTTGGATTTCACGCATCATATGGAGTGACCGAATTCCTAACACAGAAGTGCGGGAGTCGCGTATACAGAATGGATTGTATGTTGATGCTGCGACATCTGAGCTGGCTCCAACATGTCCGTCGTATGGAGGTGACTAGAATTCCGAGATACTTGATATATGACCAAGGTAGTAGTACTGAACCGGAAAGTGAGCGAACCGAAGCTACGTTACCAGGACATGGTGAAGGTGAGGTAATCACGAACTAGTACTGACCTTGGGTGTTTGTAAACAATCGCAGTGGATTACCACAAACAGTATGATCACACCAATAATGTTCTGTTCCGGGTTCATGAAGAAGTACTGTTGCACCAGGAAGAAAAACGCCGTTGCGCAGGCGTCAGATGTAGTCAAACATCGCCACTCGATCCGACTTGACATGATACATCGATGAAATAGTACCACACTCGACCAACAAGCGTATATTTAAGAAAAGCCGCAAGCTGGGGCCTTTAAATCGGTCGCTGCCGTATTCGCCGAACATCATTTTTTTACAATATCTACTGTAGGTATATCATATTTTATAAAAGAAGCTAGCAGTTATTTTGTTAAATCAACATTCATAGTTACTAAGACCAATCTACTCTATTCACACTCCGAATATAAACGCCGAGATATCGCGCACGATCCCCGCTCTACCCCATATTTGGACACAAAAGTTTTATCTCAACTGTAACGCGTAATGGAACTTTGTCCTTTTGAGTGGACGCAAATCCCAAAGATATAGTGTAGCGTTGCCTGATCATTGCTGCATTCATATATGACTATGCCGTCATCATGTTTCTATCCATTTATTAATGTTAGCGTTTTCGATAGTGCCCGTTTAGTACACTTAAAATGTTAATAGTGTAAAATGCTAAAAATGCGCCCATTTGGGTACATAAAGCTTACGCTGACTTGACTTGAGTTGAAATTGCACTATCGATGAGTTCTAATTAGGAATGCAATCGCGTGACCTACCTGCTGAAATGCAGTTTTAGGAAAAAGGTCACAAAAATATGAAGACGAGAGAAAGCCTTTCAGCTTTGTCCATTTCCGCGCACCTTTAAGGATGTAAAGCTTCTCAGAATTGCCGAGTGGTTGCAGGCAAGCGTTCAGTTAAAAACACACTCCATGAGTCGTAAACTACGGTTACAGGATCAAAATCGCATTCCTTTGTCTGTATCCTGAGAATATACTTGGTGCTAAAGTTTCACCGAAAATCCCAGGCATTCAAGTCTGATTGCAGCGTTAAGCAAGAAGCAGTTTGCCTGAACGCTTTTGACGTGAATTCTCACTGAGTATCACTTGCGACCGAGGTATGAAATCACCTATCTTTGTGGCCCACATTAACTGTGTTCGACCCAACTACGATTTTGTCATAGATCTGGTCGAAAACTGCCTCCGTTAATCCACCTAGGGGGACAGGATTGAGAAGCATCACAGATTGCAACAATCTTATAATAGTCCAATTTGTCTTATACGACGGCTATGAGTTGGGGTAAACCAAGGGCATCTAAAGTGATGAGAACTCACTTGATGTACACTTCACAACAAAAGGAATATCAGTCTCGGTTGGTTCTGAACAACCGGAGGCGTTTTGCGCCATGACTCGGAAGAAATATGAGGTGTTGGGAGTCAGCCCGGTTACATTTCGACTCAGACCTAGTTCAGCTGCTCCCAATGCAGTCCAGCTTCGTTTGTTCGCCTCGCGTTTCTCCAAAAGGTAGCCGGTGATTGGTGACCCACCCTCATCCTTCGGGGTGTCCCAGGCAACGGTGACCGTGTTTGGCTGACTCTCGTCTACAGAGCACCGTAGATTCCTGACTGGCTCTGGCCGATCCAACACACACACGTTCAGTTGGAGGGTGGCTTGCCCGAGCTCATTGCTCACCTGATAAAGGAATTGAACAAATGTGCAACGATACGGTTTGTGGCACTACAATTTTTATTAGGTTGTTCGGAAAGTTATTTCGTTTTTTGGATGAAAATGAAGGATAACTTTCTTATAGTGAATAAATATGTTATTGAGGTAAATATTGTCCATTCTGGTCCAATACCTTTTACTAACTTTCTGGCAGTAGCATGACCCACGACGACAAAAGGTTTGTTCTTTGCTGGCAAAAAGTTGATCCAGGTGGTTTATGACCTCAATTGAAGTAAAGGTTTTACCGTTCAAAAATTTCGTACAGAAGAGAACAAATAAGGACCAGAAGGTGCCATACCTGGAGAATATGCTGGGCGTGGCAGAGCAAAAGCATTTGGCGAGTTATAGTGTTGCTCATCCCAACACTGGCACCCCAAGGCCACGGTTTCGTCCTGGTTGGGACTCATCAGTTGGAGATAGCTTGAGTTGGGCTGGAACTCAGAGCCTAGTGGCTCATAGTTGACGCCATAAGCATTATGCCACTGAGATCCGCGAGCAACGCTTGGTCCAGCGGAAACGAATGCAAAGTTGGGTTCTCCAAGTCCAACATTGCATTCGTTCTCGCTGGACCAAGCGTTGCTCGTGGATCTCAGTGGCATAGTGCTTATGGTGTCAACCATGAGCCACTAGACTCTGAGTTCCGGCCCAACTCAGGCTATCTCGAACTGATGAGTCCCAACCAGGACGAAACCGCGGTCTTGGGGTGCCAGTGTTGGGATGAGCAACACTATACTTTTTATTTTACTTACGGTCTTTTTGATCGGAATGACCGAGGTCCACCTCAAGTGAACCGAGGTCTCAATAGAGGTTGCTAGTAACAACCCAACCGCCAGCGGATTCTCCAAGTCCAACTTTGCATTCGGCGAGTTACCAAACTTGTATGAGGTCTCACATTATCTTGGTAGAAGACTACACCGTTTATATTGATTAATTCTGGCCTCTTCTGTTTATTTTTGTAGAAAGTAGAAACCACGATTAAACTTTGCACAGTAATCTGCCTCGACGGGGAATCGAACCCCGGACATACGGATTACTGGTCCGCTGCTCTACCAACTGAGCTACCGAGGACTGACGACCAGGTGCGCAATTTAATACATGACTTCTGCTTATTTCGCGACGTATAGCCAATACGTTTAAGTGACTCATTCAATTTTTCCAGATGATGACAGAACACTTTAGAGTTGACCGCTGTGTTATCCGTTAAAAGCTTAAAAAACGATTCCATTGCAAGCCCACGAAACAGAGAGCATCACCTTTTTTGATAAATATCGGCTTTCGAAATGGTTTGAGCCGGTTCATCTTTGTTACTCCAGGATCTCTTGTGTTTACTATTGTTATAGACAACCCATTTCTTGTCTCCAGTGATGATGCGCTTCAAAAATGGATCGGTTTCTTTACATCTGAGAAGCAAATCAATGACGTCAACGCGACGGCACAAGTTTCTTTCTGTATGAACGCGACGAACCCATATATCGTTTTGAAATGAATCCTCGGCGTTTCAAATGATCACAGACCGTTGAATTCAATAAACTTAATCTCTCAGCGAGCTCACGAGTTGTTATTCGCCTGTATCCATCACTCATTGCAAATTAATCAATCAATTAATGTATCAGTTACTTAAGCAATTAATTACCGGATCGAAAGTTTGTAAACCAGTTCCGGCATTGGTGCCCTGTTAAAACCTTCTGCATACACATCCGATAATTTTTCTTCCTTAAACAGCTAATTTGCCTTTTAGATTGTAAAGTAGTAACAAATGCTAAAAATTCTGCCTTTCACTTCCCACATTTGAAAGGGCACCAATCAAAAACTACTGCATAGAATCAATCGAACTTTTGCACAAGCAACCCTTTCTATATATCACCTGTCAACATATATAATGATTGTGCGGAGCAAGTTTGAAGTTGCTTGTGGGAATATAAGAAGAAATAAGACGAAAAAAACGAAAATACTTTGCAAACAACCTAATATTTGACCTTTGTATATACACCGCTCAAAATGTAACGTACCAGAATCTTATACGATCCGGCAGCTTCACGCGTAACCCGCCGGAGCCTGAGACATGTCAAACCATAGACAGTGTCCACTGAAGCCATTGGGCTATCTCGGACCGGCCCAATAGGCAGAGGGCCAGCATTGAAGCTCCAGTTTACATCTGGAACTGGGGCGCCCGAATATGGTATCTCAACAACGGCGCTTTTCCCGGCAACAAGCTTGAGCTCTGTGGACCCGTCGAATAATATTTTCGGTGGGCATTCAAAACTGAGCTCGGCTTCGGATTTGAGCCCAGAATGGAGCTGTGCAGTGTACACACCTTGATCAGACGGACCGAGTCTGGTCAAAGTGAGGCGATGAACGCAAAAGGCTTTCTCCCCCTCACCAACAACGCTGTAAGCGCAGCGAGTGGATGAGAGTATGTCTCTTCCATCTTTGAACCAGGTCAACGTCACCCCAGGTCGAGACAGTTCGCACTCAAAGACGGCGTCCGCAGGAAGGCTGGTAATGCAGATCGGTTGTAAGTGACGAACAAACTCCAGGTCCGAAGCTGTGGGAGATAGCAAGTACCAGAAAGAGATTATTTTCATGAGGAATATAGTTTGTTGCAAGGAAGATTATAAAGGAAGCTACATCTGCCGATATGGTGTATACCGCACTGCTGCCATACTTACACAAACGAACAGGCTTGGTGCTTTCTGAGGGAGCGCTCCTGCCAGCCTCGTTTACTGCGACCACCCGAAACATTACATCTTTGTCCGCGTCCAAACCATCCAAACGTAACTCGCAAGTTTCACATAATTCCCGTTTGACCGGACGCCAATCAGTCGAGCCCAGTTCACATAGCTGAACGAGGTAACCAGTGATGGGTCCACCCAGACCCTCGTCCAGTGGCTGTCCCCAACGAAGCTGAACACATCCATCTTTGACTATCTCCACTGTGGGTTGGCTTGGAGCATCCGGTTCGGCTGATGACAGTTTAAGGAGCAGGGTGTTACAAACAGACGGTAAGGTAGTCTGATGATGTGAAAAGAAGCATATGTGTTGATATTCATAAAGTCTAAATGGAACTCGTCACAGCTAGGCAGTTAGCTGACCGTTACTATCGAGAAGAGTACTTGCCGAACGTTTCATCCGCTTGGGACCCATCAGCTGTCCGAGATGCATAGCGGTAGCTAGTAGCCGGCATGACTAAGTAGGTAGAGCAACCCGCTCTCCATAGGTCGGCACGTTAGATTACCATGCAATGAACGGATGGTTTCTTCAGTAACGCCTTCCCAAACTGAGGTAAACAAATGACGTGTGGTACTTTGGTGGGTCAGAGCGAGTAATGTTTCCAAAAGAGTCAAATGACCTGCAATAAATCGATTGCCGACGCGTACTATGAAAGAGACTAGGAGAAGGCTAGCTTGGACGGCACCTAACTGACGCCATTACATTCAATCAGGACCTCGTAGTAATAACAGAACGATGGGCTATCAAGGCTTCAGCAAAGTTGGATGCGCCATAAAGTGCTAACCTTTCGCTTTCTTCACCGTCAATTTTATCACATTTGAAGCCGGACCTTTGCCAGCTTCATTCAATGCGGAGACGCGGAAGTAGCATTCGCCTTCTGAAAAAGAAGAAGCAACATATGCATTGTAAGACTACTTCAAATTCACCGCATATGTGTTGGATTTTTCCAGATATGTACACGCAACAAAAAGCCTCACATACCACGCTTCTATCTTGAGACCACAGGAATCACTTGAAAGTCCGAATAAAAAATTAAATCAATCCGACCATCGATAAATAGGTAACTCATTCCGGACATATGAACTGTTCGATTCTAATAATTCTAACCTTTAAGATTGTTTATCAGACACTTCGTATCAGCGGTATCGGTGACAAGAAGCTCCACCCAGTTGGCTCCCGTTGGAGCACTGTTTCTTTCAATACTATACTTCAGGATCTTCGACCCACCGTCACTCTGGGGAGGCTTCCAATCCAATTGCACTTGTCCGTCCCTGGACACCGTACCATGTAAATCCCGTGTGGCACCGGGGAGGTCTGAAAGAGAGGAGTGGTTTAACAGTCTCAATATCATGAGGTGTACGGTTACCAAGCATTTTACTGAATGTAAACATATGCAACTCCCGCTGTTGTTTCCGTCGCTTTAAAGTCGTTAGCGGCTAACAGAAGTTTATTTATGCAACGAAGAAGATATACACAAACCCCGAATTGTTAAAGGCTAAGATAAGTGGGAAAATACATCACAGTCGTCCACAAATGCGGAGTAGTGCACTAACTATGCCACTTAGTAAAAAGATGCCCACTACTACATAGTAGGCGAGAAATGTGAGAAAACAGCTGATATGGCCGATCCGTTTAAGGTACTGGTGGAGCTTGGTCTCTACTTCAAGAGTGGACTGAGAAACACCGGCGGAACCATAGATTTCATCCGCCCTAATCGATCGATTGCATTCACCTATTTGGTCATACGGAAATTGGCGCGCAATGCTCAGAGCACAGCTTTTTTGAAGCGCGGGCACTGCACCGAATATGGGACAGAATTAACCTCTGAGTGCGACACAAATGATGCCATTTTCGATCTCACCTCACTTGCCTGACATCCCGCAACATTTTCGCCGACGACGTATCTTCCTGAACAAGCGAGGAAACCCAGTGTGTGTGCGAGACGAGCATCAGTAGCGAGCGCGTCGGGAACTAGCGATTGAGAGAGTAGGATTGTGCCTGACCCAATTTGAAGGTGTACACTTCCAAACTTGACCGCTACTCTACGCTGGCATCGACGTGATCTACGCTCTGTTCGCAATACCACTGAGCGCTGAGCCTCCTCGCTCTGAGTTACAGACAGACGAACTAAGCAAATCGCCAATGGGAAGAGTTCTTAATGATAGACAAGTAGGCCGCATATTTATGCCAGCACAGAAGAGTGGTACCGGTAGTTTGTCAAATAGGAAGCGAACTATAAGGTACGTGGCAAAATTGGGGGTCTTATACGCTCATAATAGTTGGCGGCATCCGGTTTCGGATTTGCCTGTCACTGTGGCCAGCCACAGGACGCCTGCGCCTACACAGGGACCATGGATGGCTTGCATTGTACCACCCACAGCTCCATCCACATACCCATATACAGTGTCAACCCGAAGGAATAAGACAGGGAGGCATGCGGATGGGAGCCACGTTTCATCAACAGAGCCGGCCCACACTTCTTCACAGGCAAACACAAGCACGCTGTAGTTGGGGGATCAAGTACACACAAGGCGGTGGCTGGACCGTAGTCCGCTCCACGCTGAGTGCATGGAACCGCTCTTGGAGCCTAGCACGTCCACAAGGACCGTGCACCCCGTCCCCTCCAGCAACGACCAGCTGTCTCCTGGATTCAGTATGGACGAGGATATCAAGCAACGGCCCATCATCTGAAACGACAAGATGAAATAAAACAAATCTAATGATGCATACAGATACGGTGGCATAACTCTTCGCTAAATTAGCATATGAAGTAAGTTGGTTAGCAACGAATCCGCGATAAGGAAAAAGTGTCCACAAGTTACTTAAAAATGCTACAAACGCAACTAAGTTACCGAAGATAAGCGCAATTAGCGTAAGCAACGTGGCCAGTTAATAGAAGACTATCCAGATAGGCAAAACAAACCAAATAAACTGGAATGAAATTTATGCAGCTTAAAGAGACCTAGTTTAAGTATAAGTTGGTTTAGTCCAACTGCGGTGAAGAAGCATCAATAACGCAACATCAGCCTTAGCATGGGGCACAGACGCTCATAATACCGAGGTACTTATAAACCGAAGACGTAAAGGAGCATACGACGGTGTTTGTTGGAGTCCGTTACGCTCCATAATATGTAAACATATTTTAGGCTACACAACTTTCGACACTGCAAAACTTTCCACCTGACAATTGCGATGGGAAGGTACACCGCACATTATATTTGTCGATAAAAAGACGCGCTTACTTCAACGCAAGTGTCCCTTCAAGTGTTCTGGGTCATGGTGAAATTTCCTTGAACAAGCTTATCGCCACGTTCACTAGTGAGTTGAGAGTTTGGGCCGATATTCTGAATACCTACATTCTTCGCCAATGCTTAATACGCAAGGATGTCACCGGTGGGGTTTTCTATTGCCCTGTGGTTTTTGCGTACCGATGTTGTGACAGCACAGCGTGTCCAAGCTGCGGGCTCTCATTCGAGGAGATCATCCACAGGTAATTTCAATACGACAGGCAACCCGGTTACACAATCGTCTAGCCGGTGAATCGGCGCACGTTGAGCACATGGTTGACTATCTATACCACAGAATCTTACGCTGGTAACATTTAGCTTAAGAAACACCAGAATCCCGCGGCCTTCGATAACAAATCGTGAGTTCTGGAGAACTCGTGCGAATAAACCAATCCACGGTCCTCAGCGATGGAACGAACATCGAGTTGTGAACAAATCGTGGTAGACAGGTCAAACAATTGCGGGCATTGTGGCTATCAATATCCATAGTAAAGTTTCACTTTCCCTCTGAAACACTATTCCTTCAATCGTTAGCATAAATTGAATTGAGTCAAGTTCAAATGTTCACAACGTTGTATATACGAGTAGTGGAACAGACAAATATGCGTACGGTTTGTTGCAAAGTTGCGGGAACTTGATGCTAGAAACCAATTGAACTTTGACGTTAGGTGATTGGACTGGACTGGAAGAAGGGTTTGGATGACTGTAAGTTTGATTCCGAGAAAGATGTCTCAAAATCTGTTCAGTTATATGAATGCAATTGTTACCGCGAAAATGATGAAAAGGGAATCTGGGTTCAAAGCTTAGTAGACAATAACGGAAAATCTGGCTAAGCAGCATGTTAAAAAACAGCTTTTCGTCCCTTGTGATATTTGCTATACTAGACAACTGGAATGTAGGTGGTTCCTCACGAGTAGGAGTGACATCGTCAACTTGAAAGAGTTGGTGTTTCATAGTAGAAACAAGTGGAAGGGATTAACCAACCCGAACTCCCACAGTTCTATTAGCGCCAGTAGGATAGAAGATGCGATCGCAAATCTTATAGCAAAAACCCGGGGCGCTTTTGCCAATCTCCGCCACATGTGGGGCCGGCATGACTTTACTCTCATCCTGATGGACGCAGTTTACAACGCAGTAGTCAGCTCAACCCTTCTATACGGTTACGAAACTTGGCCATCTAGTCGACAGGTACAAATAGGCTGGTTACTTTCGACCACCGCTGTCTTCGCAGCTTAGCTCATGTTTTGTGGGGACACCCTGCGTGAGTAATGAGCGTATCCTGTCTCATATGTCTGATGCAGGAAGAGTGAGCGAACCGCTCAGAATCGTTATATCACACACCAGACTCCGATGGCTGGGCCAACTGTTGCACAAGCAAGCTTACGGACTCCCGCGACGTGCACTGTTTGCGCGCCTGAGGGATCCATAGAAGAAGAGGAAGAGAGGTCAAACGACGACTTGGCCAAGAGGAATGAAGACACTCACGTCAAACTTGGCATCGGTTGATGCTTCCGGACCGCATGGCTAGGGTCCCAAAGACAATGAACAGGTTTGGTTGGATAACGTTGTGAATCTAGTGAAGAGATGGCACTAATAAAGTTTGTGTTTTGAGTCACTTTGTCCCTCCCCTTCCGCCTATATTCCCCTCCAACGGGCTCATAGAAACTGCATACTATGATAGTAAGCATTGTATTGCTTTTAGATGTAATATTATAATCTGTAATAAATTTTATCATGTTTTACTTATACCTTACCGTTTTGTATTGCGAAACATTAGATTGAGTATATTTTTAACCTTCAGCTAACATGTAATGATGATGATTTTGACCCGAATTACCAGTATTTCGTCTATTTTTGAGCCATTTTCCCATTCAAGGCAGAGAATGATGAATTATCTTACGTAGGTGACTGGTAAAACCTGGCATACCACTGTTTAGATTGCTTGTGACAACCCTACCATACTCGATTTCCACTTCGGTTGCTTAATATGTGCTCCACGTCGACCACACCCATCGCTTGGTGCATAGTGGGTCGTTAGAAAGTTTTGAAACAGAAGTTGTTTACTGATGAGTAGGCGGGTTTTTATGCAATTTTACTGAATTCATCACAACAGCTACATGCCAGATAGCTTACCACCAATCCGGATAAGCATCAAATGACTGTTCGTCCCACAGGGACTCTTCGGTGGTGTGCATCCTCCAGTTCCATCGGGAACCGAACCCATGTCCACTAGACGCTTGCAGTACTAGCCCCTAATCCATGGGAGACGGCTGCAGACCGTCGTGACTTAAAAGCTAACTGCGATATAACGTGACCTATCCTGCACTACTACGCAATGGTATTTAATGGGGAAATTGGTCCGAGAGTCATTGGCTGCTATGGATAGAATCAGTGCGTCACGAGTAGTCCAGAAAGTATACCACTGGCTTATCCATTTGCATGGGAGTTCGTTGCAGGGACAAATGGCTATGTAAAATAAATGCTGTGAGGTCGAGCAAGTGGGTGATTAAACTTTAGGAGACTGTGCGTCATAGACAGGCTATTTGGGACGTTAGGTAACCTCCAACTGCCCACGAGTTCCCGATGTACTGATTATCGAAGTAAGCACGGACGGGTGCAGTCCTCTGATATACAGCCGTGACGCGGAGGTGGTCCACGGGTCCAATGCAATGACTCGACTGCGAAACCCTCACCGATGTTTTGGATAGAACAGCCATTGCACACTTGGGGGTGAGAGTGCAGCAGCACCATGAACCCTCGTACCATGGATCCCGCGGATGACACATTACCAATGAAATAAGTCCCCAGGTTTAATGGAAACCAGGTGAGACTCGCAAACCTTGAGGGATGGTCAGCGACCAACAACAAGGTTCCACCACTTTGTGTTGCATAAAACAAGACTCCCATCAACCTGACTGACACCTAGGCATCCGGCAAAACGACCTGCAAGTCCAGTAAATAGTAAGAGGGAAAGGGAGTGTGCGGTTTGCCCGTCTTCGAGCATATTGATTCGTTGTTCATTAGCCGTGGTTAAATAACTAAATTTATTTATTTTCGAGACGTATTCATAGACTAACCCAGTCCACGTTGCACGCATTTTATAAACTCACCGTGTGGCGACGCGATCCGGAATGGTTCATTCGTAACCGTATAAGCGCCGACACCAAGTTTATTTTCAGCGGCTACACGGAAGAACATTAATGCACCGGTCGTCAGCCCAGTGATTTCGTATGTGCACACACCGGTGCTGTCAGCGGCCTCTGTAGCGGGCAAATTTGTCGTTGCTGTGCGCCAGGTAGTCACTGCAGAAGAGGCTGAAAACTCGTTGGGAGCAACAGCATGCTCGATCACGTAATTTCTCAGTTTCACCCCGCCTGTGTCCGTTGGTGGTTGCCAAGTAAGACGTACTGAGTTGCTGCTTGCACATACGGGTGCCAGATTGATCGGTGGACCGGGTAAACCTGTAAAGTATAGTTGGTTCGTGAGCAAAGACATCGATCTCGTAGAAAACATTACGGCATAAATTAATATAATATAGTGATACAAAGTGTGAGCTGAACTCGCAAAAAAGCATAAAGTCCTAAACTCTTCTAGGCAATAGTAATGGAGATATCGTTGCATATAAATGGGACGGGTCACCACATACTTTCATTCACCCCGGACGACCACTAGGGCGATTTCACTGAATAAGACCGATACGAACTAGCACCTAAGTCAAAGGCAAGGCATCAGCAGTACCCTAGTACGCAGTAGGGACACGTCGCTGCCGCGCAACCACCACCAGTCGCACTTGGGCTAAGGATATTGCGAGGACCGCCTGGTCAATACGTAGGCTCAAACCCTCGCCCTCGGCTTATAAGATAGGCTTGTGATCCTTAAGGTTTGTAACTAGTTAAAAAGGCGAATTTCGAATCATAGCTCTATTGATTTAACGGTCTAGGTTCGGTTTGTCGCGGTTCTTATTTATACCTGGTCACCAATGTTGCATCCAATCGCATACGATCGCTATACGTCGTGGGGAGAAAAGCGCCAACTGCACTGCACCGGGTATAAGCTACACAAGTAGCAACAAGCACAATTTCCAGTAAACCGGGTCTAGTAGAATCAAAAATGCCAGACCAAAATTTGGCCAATTTACTAAATACACTAACCAAAAGTTGCACTACTGGGCCAGTATCAGGGGAGGAGAATACAAGCTCACACTGTCGCCTACTGGAGGAGACTTGAATTCCACCGTGCCGACGTCTATTGCCTCGGTGCCAGCTGCGAGGTGCTGGACTACATAGCTCTGAGAGAAAATACCACAGTAACTCAAGAATACTGGCGATGATCTACACGCATAATGTACTTATCGGTAGAATAATGTTCCGTTCAATAATGTTCCCTGGCAAAGTAATACGAAATTCGTATAATGTTTTAAAGTTCATCCTTAGTAAGTTAAGATAGTTGAGATGCCTAGCCGCAATATGTGGATGAAGCGATATTATGCAGTACTACGCGGAAAGAACGAATGTCCAGAGTTAACTAGTTCTATCTATGTTACGTTGTCTATCGCTTGGCGTTTGTGTATGTATCCGTAACATTTATCAGTGACTTGTGGTAAATGCACAATGGGCTTTCTTGAAAGCATATGGATAATACTGAATGTAGTGCAGAAGGGAACGACAGGTGGGCAAGAAAGCTGGTTGCTAAAGTGCGCGTGTCCACCACAAAGCGTGCTTGGGACAGACCCCGCGGGCGTGTTGCCACAGCCCAGTCGAAAGCTGATGAAGTCGCGAAGCAGACATCATGTGTACTACCAAGGTCTGACCGGAAGCTGATGAAAGCAGGCGTCAGACATCATACGTGTTGCTAAGATCTGACCGTAAGCCGATGAAATCGCGCGTCAGACATCATGCACGTTGCCATGCCCCGAGTAGGCGGATGGCGACTGGAGTGCCCGAGCAAGAAAGTGAACTGGCCAGACGGAGCGGACAGTCAAGTATGGAGCTTGGGTGTACGAGAAAAACAGGTAGGCAAATCCGTCAGGCGGTGTTTAGAGGCTTGGTGAGATCGACCTACACATATGAGCGTTCTCGGTTCTAATGCAACTCTGGTCAGCTATCTTCTTCTTCTGTTTTCCTTCCTGTCGGATTGGCCGACGTGTCAAGCAGAGCAGGCGTAAGGGCGTAGATTTACCAGCAGGTGTGAACCAACCGGTCGATTGCGGGTACAGCGTTACAACAAGAACGCATGAGAAGCCGCAGATTTGCGGGAACAGCAAGGCATCGTGTACCGAATTCAGTTAGCATCGGCTGGCCCTGCGCTTTCAATATCTTGGCTTTCGGTTAGAAATTCATTTTGCTCGAAGGAAATATTGTTACAAACTACACTATGACTAACGAACAAACGACAACAGAAACAGACCTGAACCGAGTAAAAAAACGATGACTTGGATCATTAAGAACTATGGTTCTCCTGGCAGTATGTCATTTGGTAGTGGAAATTCACAAATAGGTTATAGGATTACATTCTTGTCAAGCAGAACAGAACGAATTAAATTCCTCAGTTGGTCTACGAGAATAAGGCATCAGTTGTCTGCTGAGATAATTGCCGTTCAGTTGTCTGGAGTGACCAATAGAGTGCATGTTAGGCATTGCATTCCCATGCTAGGCACAGCTACCATTGGTGGCCTAAGCGCACGCGGATTTTGATCGAGGCACGTAATCCGTAATTCTCAGCTGTCGTTGTATCTTGGTCCACACCTTGCCGTAGGCTCATGAAATCAAACCGGGCCGCCGCTAGTCGCTATGCGCAATGCTCTAGAGGCGAATGAGATGACGTTATCACTCTCACTACATATGATTGCTTCCCGATAATCGCGCATCTTACTCAACTGGCATCGAGAAATTCGGACACAGTTACTAGGTAGCAGCGACCGATGATAGAAGATCCTCATGCGGCCATAGTAATTTTTTCGAAACACGACACTCGGGTCTTTGGACTTACCTGCGACGACGACAGAGAACTGAGCACGGGCCTCGCCCCCGTCATTCACGGCTACTAGGGTGTAAATGCCGTGCACTTCTCGGCTGACCTTCCCGAAGTTCAGGGAAACTTTGTTGATTCCATCCTTATTTGGTCCAGAGGCTTCAGTCCGCGCCCCCATAGGGAGCGTCTCGGTTGGCGCGGTTGCTTCATTGGGACTGTATAACCAGGTAACTGTAGGAGTAGGCTCCCCCTCAACTGAAACAGGAATCGTATGCTTCTGTCCCACATTCAGCCGAGAGGATTCCAAGACTGCGTCGTAGACGAGTTTCGGTGGTTCTTAAAAGAGAACATTTTGAGTAAAGTGATGGTGGGTATAGCACAAAGAATGCCAAGTCATAATCGTCACTGCTAAATATTAATACACAGACACACAGTCAGTTAGGACAACAGAGAATCGTTCACTGCGGATCTAGTCATGAGATTAAAAAAAACTTCCGCCCTATCAATCATACACCCATAACCTTTAGTGTAATGAGGAGAACTATTAGAAAAGAATTGCTTAGCTTTTTTAATAGAGGGAAGATTACTAATAAGACAGTGTAGGTTCTTACAAGGGGGATCTTGTGCAACCTGCCAGACAGATTTCTTAAACCACATAAGAACAACAACAACAACAACAACCATAGATAAAAGTGTTATGTTTTTACCCCGGAATATTGATACAGCCTTTAACGGAATGCCTCCCAAATGGTTCATTAGCAAAATTAAATACAAGTAAAATCCTCCTACTCATTAGTAACATTAAAGCCATCAGTATTGGAGATCCTCTCCTTCTTGGTTATCGGCATATCTTTCTAGCAAAGCATGTAATACACACTGTAATCAGCTTTACAAAACTCAAGGTGGTCACCAGCGGTGCTATTCAAGGGAAGGTCCTCAGTCCTCTACTGTTTCTCAGCTAGGTAAATGATGTACTCCGGAGTATACAGAATGGTGATGCATTCTTCTTTCTTGATGACATTTAAGTTGTCCATTCACAATGCTGTGTGGATAATCAAGTGGTGCAACTCGTTCAGGATGTGATCTCTCTGCAATTGAATCCGGATGCATCATGTGTCAAAATTCGTTTACCGTCGATAAATGAAGTGCCTTGTCATACACATGTGAAGTGTCACCAAATAGCCTTTTGCTGCATTGATGAACACACACATCTCATAATGTGGAGTTGTTCGTGACTTCGATGTGCGATATTCGACCATGTTCAACATTTCAAAGCAATGTGACTTTCACGTATCAAAAATCACGGGGGCTATAGGATATGCTTGTAGATATTTTTGTCGCACTGGGTCACCGATTCAACTTCACAGAGTATGTGTGTTGCCGGCTATGAAGTACTACTGAAAGATCGACACCAATCTACGAAGAGCAGATTAGTTTGTTCTGGAACATACTCGGAGATGTTTCAAAAAGCTTGAATAATATTCCATGAAAATGACGCACAGAGAAGGACGCCGCATTCTTAAGTTAGATCCTACGTGACTACGAAGAATTAAACCGAAACGTGGCTTTCTATTCGCAATTACACGCCGTCTTTCATAAACTGCTGGCGATAGTGTTCTTCTGTCTTTACAAACTACATACCCAAAACGTACTGAGGAATTTAAAACCACTACTAAAACCGTAGCGAACACTTTTCCTAATTGGATACTCAAAATCCAGGAATCAACTTCCGATAACCATAAAGATCAGCCGCAAAGTTCAGAAGTCCAAGTTTCCTCTTGATAAACACCTGAACGTTCAAAACGTAGTTTCCATGTTAAAGGTACTTCTCTCTAGAGACATGACATCCAAAAACGGTATCACTTTTTTATCATAGATTTTTGCTCTCCTTCATGTTTACATTTTGCTTTCAACTATCAAAATTTTGTTTCATGCAAAATCATCACATTCTCCATTGTTCGTAATTCACGTAAGATTTGTTTTACAGATTGTAAATGCCTTCCGCCCCAGAAAACAAGTCAGCGCGGACAAACAACATTTGTCCACTCCCAAAACCAGGGTTCCTAATTGGTTTTGCTGCTAACACACTTGTGAAGTCCTGTGAAATCAAGTTCATTATCAATTCGACTGCATGAAGCTGGTGATGTAACCTGAAAATCATTTAATAGCCGCCTACTTTATGAACATTTCGAACGGTTATTTGTATTCTGTTGACAGCTGGGCGAGAAAGCTGATTGCCAACGCTCCCGCGTTTGCCACCAATCGTGCTTGCGAAAGACCCTGCGAGCGTTTTGCCAGGGTCCAACCAAAAGCTGATGAAATCGCGCATCAGACAGCAGGCGTGTTGCCAAGGCCTGACCGGAAGCTGATGGAATCGCGCGTCAGACATCATGTGCATTGCCATGCACCGGGTAGGCGGACAAAGACTGCAGTGCCTGAGCAATACGGTGAACTGGACAGATGGATCGGACAAGCATGTGTGGAGCGTGGGCTTACAGCCAAATCCGCATGGTGATACCGAGATATAAATATGAGCGTTCTCTACCCTAATAGAACTCTGGTCTGCTGAGTCTTCTTCTGCCTTCCTTCCGGTCGGGTTTGCCAAGGCAGCAAGACGTAAGAGCGAAGATTTAGCAGCAGGCGTGAATCAACCGGTCGATTGCAGCGCATCGTTACAACATCTGTGATCCCTTTGTGCCAAATGAATCAAACAACCCGTAGGACTACAGCTTTTGCTATATGCTATTTACTTATTGTTGTTTCGTTCTCTTTCTTGTTGACTGCGAGTGGGCCAATCACATTGAAGTATCCAAGATAACCAATACCCTCACGCGAGACGAATTGCCCTAGACGCACTAGCGAGTAAGAAAGCAGTGAAAGTATTGAATTGTAAACGGAGCCAGATGGTCTGTGTTGATTTCACATGTGCATATAACATACGCCCTACTGGTGAGTGAAAGTGGTACTGATTCACTTGATTTTTTAAGCCAGACCGACACATTGCCAGATGGGTTGTGGGACTACGGATGAAACCTTTCGAGGGACTATCTCGCATGGAGGCAGTTTCCTGAGAAACGATTCCACGGCTAACCATATTATTGCACTTAAACGTCTTTTTTACATCGTTACGTATCTTGTTATCAACTTCCCCGTCTTACTAATGCAACACATTGATCGATCACTTAAACAACTCGAACAATGAACTGTCTTGTGCTATCCCGCTGTACAAATCGACCAGACCAGTTAGTGGACAACATCTCGCCATACTGATAAATATACCGCTGATTCGATTATTTACAATTCCAAGGGGATTCCAATCAGTAACTGATGGAAAGATATCAGGGCTAGGACTTTTTCATTACACTACTATACTGTAATGGGATTGGGGTCAGACCGTAGCCAAACTTAAGTAGGACCAATGGTCTCCACTGGTATAACTTGACCGAAGTGGATCGTCGAGTTGATGAAGAAACAACATACTCTCTCCTAACACTGAATATCCAAAGTTGACTCTCAGTAATCCCTGGTCACTCACACAATCGAAGCAAACATTTTAGCATTTAAGCAATACCCTGTAGAATCAACACTTCATTCCGTTAGGCCGACTCACTTGGTTTCGGAGGGGCTTTAGTCGGGGTCTTTGTTTCAGCCGGCTGCCCTCGACCGACCACATTCAGAGCTGCCACCCGGAAGTAGTATTCGCTACATGCCGCTAAGGCATTTGCAGTTTCTTTGTCACTAACAGGAATCAAGCATTCTGTTTGATCGACTGAGACACAGAGAACCGTATCGTCATCCTGCGGTCCGGTTTTCAGGAGCTGCCATACGCGCCTTTTCGTGTTGCGATATTCGACTTCGTAGCCCGTGATTGGACTGCTCCCGTCATCTCGTGGAGGCCGCCAATTCAAACGAACGTACCCGTGAGGGGTCGTAACCTCTGCGCCAACTCGCTCCGGTGGCCCAGGTTTGTCTTAAAACGTTAAAGAGAAAAATATTTAAAGAAGGTTCTGATTTGGGAAGGAAAGAGATGCAACCGATTTCCAGTGTGTGTACACCAACTTACCTATAACGACCAAGTCGCACTTCCAAGTCAGTTTTCCATGCTCGTTCTCGATAGATACGCTTACTTGACCAGCATCATCTCGCTGAGCGCGCTGGATTGACAAGGATGTGAGACCGGAAACGATGTCGATGTGATAGCGGCGTGTGGCGTCAGTTACAACGGAGCCACGAGAGTACCACGTGATTTTGGGCTTCGGATAGGCAGTGAATGGCACGCTGAGTACGACGTTTGACCCAACGGAAACTTGGCGACGATCAGTTAGCTCTACATCCTCCCGTAGGGTCGGTGCAACTGCAGCACAGAATGAGGTATATTTTAAACGATGTATCCTTAACGGACATGAGTTTGCGTCATTTCGTACAAGGAAAAGTAATACAAGAACCCAGCAGTGATTCTGGAGAAGACCAGTTAAACGAAAAGGAATATCCAGTAGATCGAGAGCTGTGACTCACGTCTACTGAATTCTCTCGAATTCATAGATGCCCAGCTTTTGGCTGTGACGACATTAACTACTCGTAGGGCGTATTCTCGCCAACAATCATCAAAACCCCGACCGATTCAGTTGTAATGTTTGCTAAAGCCTTCCCGTTGGATTGGCACACACACAAAGTGTCACTAAGGCTTCACTGACTTTCGGCAGAATAAGTGCAACAAAGCGGATCGTTAGGGTAGTGAGTTATCCATAGAAGGAAATTTCACAAGCAGTGTTTGACGGTGTGTGCCGGTGTTTTCCTCAACGGCGAAAATTAGGAGCGATGGGACAGCTAAGGAAATTCGAATATCAATTTAAGTTGCCGAGTGGTAACGCGAACCGCCTTCGGTGGTGTCGCTCCGAGTGCACGATTGCTGGCCGCTTGAGCCCATCAACCAGGACTGAGCAATAACCACCTTAGCACCTCACATGTTAACTCGAATGGTGGCAGCTTGCAAAAGAAGTCGTAGCTCTGGGGGGCCAACCCTGCTCTCTGCACGTACATAAGGTGTGACAGTGGAGGATGAGTCACCTGATAGCGCAGTTAAATATCAATCATGTCAGTCCGCAGTCGTCACATTTGGTTTAGTGGCATAAGTTACTGGCTCGTAAGAGCAAGGCCATGGGTTCGAATCCGACAGGATTCGGCAGATGCCGGCTACTGACCGGTCCAAATGCGAGGAGACGGCCGTCCGGCATTTCCCTGAATGTGTGGTGGCTATCTGACTGATTCAAGCCGCAATGCATCTTCGCAAAATCATGGATTAATGGTAAACTAGTCATCATACCTCCAACTTGTGTAGGAACAAAAATACGAGGACACATTATATCATTTAAGTCGGGGCGCACTATGGTTTTACTCCTATCCAATCGCAGCTTATGCTATGGGAATGCTTGTGGGAATCTCCTTATAAGAGCACAAGTCCAGTGACTCACTCTTGGCTCCTATCGTCGCCTCAGTCTTCAATCGCTTGAATTTCAACTGATACGTATCGAAATCAGCCACAGTGACGTCCCTTATAACCAAGCGGTACACTGAACCTTCCGGACAGAAGTCGAATTTTCGCCCCAGTTGAATGGGTTTCTCCTGTCGTAGCCACTGAACGCGACAGTCCGGATGGCTTAGCTCACATTCCAACTCAGCGGTGACACCAGGACCGGGAAGTTCATTGAACCATACGTCAGAGAGTGGGCGCACTAGGCTCACGGATTCACCTGGAGGGGAGGGGTTAAAGACGTCAAAAACGTTGGTTCGTATAGAACACGACGTAGTGAAAATTATAGGAATATTACCAAAAATGAATACCGATCATTCTAATGTCATGCACTAGCGCTCCCCTGTAGACAACTCTTACAGAGGATGGACAACGTACCTGGTGAAATGGGACCCGATGCATTAGATGGTTTTCCTGGCCCTACGCGGTTCATAGCCACCACTCGGACTCGATACGACTTCGTGCTGTCCAAATTTCCTAATACAGTTTCAAAGGGTTCTCCGACTATCGGTTTTTGTTCGGCGTGGTCCAGTTGATATGTTTCCACAGATTTCCATCGTTCCGCAGTAGAACTATCAGTGACCTCTATCGAATAAGCAATGATGGTATCTCCTCCGTCTTCCTCCGGAGCAGTCCACTGAACTTTCACCTTATCTGTTTGAAACGGCACCGCATCCAGTAGACGGGGAGCACCAGGAGGTTCTAAAAGACGTAAGCGAATGCAATGGTTGAGATTCTATCGAGCAATGCACTTAGATAGATAAAAACAATCAAGACACAAATGGTAATGATGCCCACCCATTTAATATCAACCGTAACCGCATCGAAACACGTACTCATGGCGTTAGATGGTGCCATACTTGAGTACACCGAACTCATTAGGAGCGTGATGTGGCCAGTTGAACCAGAACACGTAAACAAAAATGCCACTTACTCGGTGGTCGTTTGGTCTGACCCCTGACCACGTGTGAGGGTTCGCTTGTGCCTGCAACGTTGCTGCATGATACTCTGAACTCATATGTGACATTGGTATCCAATTTTGGAATCAGCACTTTCGTGTCCGGTGGGAACTTCAGAGTGTTCCACCTGTTGAAGGATTAAGTAAACAGGGATAAGGTTATAGCGGTAGCGCAAAGCTCTCTATTAAATACAGATTAACTCCCTAAATATCCCGTTAGGAGAATACAGAGAAAAGTGGCAGAGAAAAGAAATTTGGCGCATTTGTCATTGATACGTCTACCAACGCCATACACCTGTATCCGAAGAAAGTGGGGGTCACGTTCATTGCTTACCTTGTTTGATCTGTTGAGCGCAGTTCGACGATTAGTTCTGTGATGGGCGCCGCATCTGCCACTCTGGGTAGACAAAATTCCAGCTCAACACTCTTCTCATCCACTGGTCTGCAAGTCAAATCCTTCGGACTGCCAGGCTTATCTACGGTAACCAGTGTGAGAGATAAAGAAGATTTCAAAAGGGTTTGAAATACTCAGTTTGTAACGAAGATGTATGGCCCCACGTTAGCGGGGCGCAAGCTACTAGTAACCTAGACCTTCGGAGATAAAACATACGGCGAGCAAGAGAGCCACAATCAGATCGAAAACCAGGCGGGAATCAGGCGCACAAGTACACATAAGTATCGAGGTAAACAATACGACCATCACACGAGCGGTGATTCGCTGTTGGCCAAAAACCATATTCATCACAAAATCAAGTGTTTTGGGGTCAAAAGCATTACACACCTGTCATGTAATCCGGCGGTCGCCGGTTCGAACCCGCGTAGATGCTCAACCCACGCTCGACAGGTGGCGGTTGAGTGGCAGAGAAGTGTCGCTACGGTGTGCCGGTGTACTGGTGACACCTTTTCATAGTTTCCTACATGATTAACGGTCAAGAGTAAACCTCTCACTGTCGACAGAAGCTAACTAATAACAGTGAAGAGTATCATCTAATAGATGTTCAACTGCACCTTGAAGAATTCGTGACATCGTTACAACCAGGGTCGAACTGGATGGAGTACTGAGTACTGTCGTATAGAGCAAATAGAAATGAATTCTGCACAAATCCTTCGAAATATGGTGAAAAAGGTTATAAAAATTGTCAGCCGTGAATATCGTTATCGTTCTCGTGTAACATTTAAAGTGTCTGACTCATTGCATGGCAGGACTCACAAATGTGACATGTCATCGTAAGTGTGCAATCGTTCTCTGAATCGAAGTGATAAAATATAAATCTAACAAAGTTTTGAACTGCTACACAGATGTTGTCTCTATCACATGTTCAAGCAAACTGTTCCAAATATTTACCACTCTCCGTTCGAAGCACAGTGGGTGGGGACCACATTTCACATCCGGCACGACAAGTTCGTATCTGTGTCCGCGTGTGCTGCATGGCCCTCGTAAGTGCATCATTGGCCTTAGCATTGGGAAGTCACTGAGATGTAGAATACGGTAGGTCATAATGAGGTCGACTCGCATCCGACGGTAGGACAAGGTGTAGAGTCCTAGTTTCTCGCACCGGTCTTCATACCTAAGCCACATAAACTCGGGATGAGCCTAGTAGCAACGTGTTGGACCCGTTCGATCTTTTGTGCCTCGCCTCGGGTAATCGGAAAGTAGGAGGGCGAATCGTACTCTTGCATTAGTCTACTGATGGAAGAGAAGAGGCGAGTGGCAACCTCTTCAGACCATGTGCCGAAGCAACATTTGAGCGCCCAAAGCATGCGCAGTCCGTTATGACATAGCCTGTTCGTGTTGTCCACGGACTTCAAATCATAGCGCGAGAGTACACCTAGGTCATTCACAGAGGGTATGAGATACAGCGGTTGGCCGTCAAGCGTGTAGGTTCGGCCGTCAGCACCCTTCCCCAGGCTCATAAATACAGGCTTGGCTGGGTTGACCTGGAGATGAACTTCTGCATAAAATGTGGATAGGCGGTTAAGGTCTTGCTGAAGTAGGCCACAGTCGCCGGGAGCGTCAATTTCTCTCCAAATCTTCATGTCGTCCGCAAACAAGACAGACAGCGACCGCAGAAGCTGAGGTAGAACGTTGATGTGGATCATGAACAGAGTGGGCCCCAGCATAATGTTTTGAGGCACGCCACTTATAGTGGGATACCAGTCCGTTAGATGGTCGTCAATCTGTACCCTCCACTTTCGTCTAACAAGAAAGTCGCGGATCCACCGGTGCAGTGAGCCGCCGACACCCCACATCCTGAGTTTGTGAAGGAGAACCTCATGGTTGAGGTTGTCGTACGTTTTACTGAAATCGATGAATACCACGTCGACAGACTTCGCCTTGCTTATTGCCTTTAACCACTCGTGCCTCGTAACAAGCAAGTTTATAATGCATGAGCGGCCTTGAATAAAACCGCACTGTGCAGGCGTCAGGACCTCTTTTGACTGTAGTAACTGCAATAATCCCTTTTGAACGATTTTCTCAGAAACCTTTGCCAAAATAAGTGTCAGCCAAAGTGGCCTATAGTTATCTCGTTTGCTAGGGTCGCCGCTTTACGGAATAGGCTTGCCCACGACTTGAACAAACGACTACGGTTTACAGACTTCCATTGTGTAATCGCCGATCACCAGACAGCGTTATTTGGTCCAACGGTCTGAGTCACAACGTAAACGTGCTAATTCGGAAGGCCGCTATTAAGTACCAACGTGCACCGATAGCCAATCAGACTTTTATTTGCTGGTCGATCATCGACTAAGTGTATGCACAGTGACTATACAAATTGGTAACTACTGATCGCTTGATTGATCGGTGTCGTCGCAGACACAACCGGGCTTCTTCATAACTGAACCATTAACGAACAGCAGGTTCCTTATCATGTGGAAGCAAGGCATCATTACCCCGATTTGCAAAAGTGGTAGCTGTTCAGAGCTAGCCAAATATCACCCAGTGATTCTCCTCTCGGTGCTCTCAAAGGTGATGGAATCAATCATAGGTGCGGCTGTAATGGGCTACCTCGAAAGGTCTAACATCATAGCAAAGGAGCAACACGGATTCCATCAACATCGGTCATGTACTACCAACCTACTGCTTGCCCGTGGCACTTGGACCGAGATAGCCGACAGTGGGACCGGCATTGATGTCATCTACATAGACTTTTCTAAGGCATTCGACCGCACAGATCATCGCATCCTCCTCCAAAAGCTTTAAGCATACGGAGTTGGAAACCCTGTCCTTGGATGGATCAGCAAGTTCCTCTTTCAGCGGCGCCTTCAGGTTCGAGTTCGAGATTCATTTTCTGATTCCATTGGTGTGGACTGCGGTGTTCCACAAGGGTCGGTGTTGGGACCGCAGTTATTCTTGTTCTTCATTAACGACCTTGCGAATGTCATCAAGTCAACTTTCCTGCTTCTTGACGATGACGTCAAGCTACGGCGGGCAATCGACTGTCATGAAGATCACGATATGTTGCAAAGAGACTTATGCTGCGCGTTTGAATGGTAAAAGGTAAATCTACTTCCGTTTAACACGGACAAGTGCAAAACCATGCACATCTACCACAAGCCCACGTGCGCATAGAAGTTTGGAAACGATATGCTGAACACGGCCTTACAAGGGCGAGACCTTGAGGTGGTAATCCAAGACGACCTCAGCTGTTCGGCGCAGTCGTTGAAGGCGTCCAAAACTGCGAACCAACATGTTTGTCTGTGACGGAGGGCGTTCGGGCGGTTCGATCCCTCTAGCTTCCCCCCAAATGCTCAATGCGTATGTGAGGCCCCGTGTAGAGTACGCGATCCAGGCTTGGTAATCTTGGTTTAAACGCGATCTGATTGCACTGGAGACCGCACAGCGAAGCGCAACGAAAAATGTGAAAGGGTTGTCCCACCCGCAATACCATGGGCGACTGAAAGCCATGGGAGTGTACAGCGGAAGATATCGCCGTCTACGAGGTGACCTCATCCTAGCGTTCCAGATTTGAAAAAACCCAGGTCACGCTTGACGTCACCTTTTGAAGCTGAGCTACAACACAGAATTGAGGGATCACAAATCGAAACCTGCCACCCAATACAGCCGGCTTGAGTGCCGCCGGAATTATTTTTCTCTTCGAATTTGTCAACCGTGGAACTCTCTATCGGCTTTTGTCATTTCTGCGTCCACGTTCCTCGTTTTTAAAAAACGACTTGACGATGCTTTACACCATTTACATTAGTTTATCTGATTTCTACTCATTGAGTGACGACAAGACGCAGACAAACATTGTGCTCACCAACCCCACGAAATCGAGGTAGACAAATATACCTGTGTTAACTGATTACTGATTCCTGGTTAGAAGCAGCGAGTAGAGCTTGCTCTGTGTACCTGAATCAATCGTCGATCATAGGCATGTACCCGTTAGGTTGTGTTCCGCTCTATATATTTTGCGTCCGCAAAGTATTTGTCGAGGAACTTCTTAAATTCCGACACTGAGTTTGCCTCTACTACGTGCTGCGGCAGGTCCTTCCATACATTCACGAGTCTGCGTTCGAAACAGAGTTGGTGAGCGACCCGCTTCAAATCCGGTACTACAAGGTTATACCGGTGCCCTCATGTGCTGCTTGGTTTGCGCAGATGAAGCAGTGGTCTCAACATGGGGTAATCACCCAGATGTAATATCCGGTGAGTCATGATGAGGTCTACCCTCAGTCGACGATAAGCTAGGGTGTACAGCCCCAGTTTCTTACACCGGTCTTCGTACGGCACACCTCGTAAATTGGGATAATATGGCGAGTCCACAGACGTGGTTTTTACTTTTGTGTACATTCATTGGACAAACGTTTTCCGACAATCCATCCCACGCGACTTGTTAAGCCTTGGCATTTTGTATCAGTATTATACCAATGTTCCGTCGTTCCATCCTATCGGAGTTAATGAGAAAATGGCAGGAAAATCAGACCAACAGTAGGAAGTGCCGCTAGGTTGCTTAATACGCTACCCGGACTAGTGGTGTTCCTAGTTAATGATCTAAAATAAAAGTTACTTCACACGAATATCACATGAGGCACTTGACTTATTTGTACTTCCAGTTACAATTGTCCACGTTGTATAGGGTTACACAGAACTGCGCCCATAGTTACATCTTGTAACTATTCCGCTGGACGTAGAATATGATGAACTAGTGTAGCTGATACTGGTGGTATAATGGGACCAAAGCAACATCAAAGGAAACATGATAAAACAGAAGACAGGATTGTTTCACCAGGCCACTCACCGAAGGGGGATTTCATGAGGACACTCGATGTTTCTGTGCGCGGTCCAGTGGCAATTTCATTCACTGCACTTATTGCAAACGCATACGTCGTGCCTTCGATAAGATTTTCGACATGATGGACGAAAAGCTCTTCATCAGTTATCTGACTACTCGCCTTCACTGTAGCGATGGGGGTCCAGTCAGTGGCGTGTTTTCGAACAGCGGCCCCCGAGGGTGGAGTGACAACTTTTTGTTCCACTCGATATGATGTCACCGGACACCCACCATCATCCCCGTCCGCCGGAGGTTTCCACAACAGCACTACTTCCTTGGATGTCTCTACGTTCGCTTCCAATGCGCGCACTGGTCCAGGAGCAGAAAGCACTTTAACAGTAATAGCGCATCTAGCTTCTCCAAAAGGATTCTTGATAACTACTTCGTACAATCCGGCGTCGGTCCGCTCGACTTTGCTGAGCATCAGCACGGCTTTTCCAGTCATGTCATTTTTCGGTACAGTACGTTTCATCGGCTCGGGAAGGGACCTGGACCCATTCCAGTACCAAACAATCTCAGTGGCTTGTGGTGAGGCCAGAAAAGGAATGTCTAAGGTTTTACTCGAGTTTTCGTGAATAACTATCGAGTCCTCAAAGTTGTCCGGCAAACACAGGCGTGGAGCAGCTAAAATGGAACGATTAGTCAGTGTTAGGGTGATGTTTCAAATGTGCTTCATAATGTACGTGTTAGATGGCTCAAACGTCACATAGAGAAAGTGGTAGAGTGGCCTATTTGGCTACTCATAATATGTGTTTCATGATTAACCAACCTCACGCTAATGTCGACATAAACAGTGCTTCATGGGTTCGCCGGTAGAAATGTGTGAGGTGAGATTGGAAAAAAAGCAAAAGGTAGATAATCTTCATTGATGGGGCGAATTCGTTGGAACTAAGCATTCTCATGATGTATCCCAAAATTTAATACTTACCGACTAAGTAATCCATACTACAGGGTTTTCATGTAAGTTATTCAATGCTGCTGTGGTTTTCAGTTATCTTACGTTCTTAAGTGTGAAATTGTAATTGCCGTCATAATTCTCTACGAATGGGTGCTCAAACAACCAAGTGATCAGTTTACAACAATGCTGAAGGTTAGAATAAGTACTGCCTAGTTGCTTCGCATACGTATAGCTTTTCCGCCCACCTGCTTCAAGGCTATCTCAGCCCCACTTACCTTCCAACTCGAAGGTGGCCTTGGACTCCAGCTTGTCCACACGGATAGAGTATTCACCGATATCTTCAGCTGTCACTTTGAGCACATCGAGACGATGTGAGAGGCCACCGTCGGTGATTTCATACTTTCGAGCACTTGCAGAGTCTATTCGTTTACCATGGAAGAACCACTGAACTTTATTGGCTACCTTGGAGATGAAACATTCGAAAGTGAGACGCTCCGGCAGCGTCTCCGATACGATCGATTGTAGGCCCTTAGTGATTGTCAATGGTGCATCTGGTGAGCAAAAAATGTGGCAAAATGAGAAAACGAAGGTTTGCGTATGTTCTCTACGATGAAACTGTCACGAACTAAGGTACACCGGTAGTAGTACCCGGAACTAAGCAGCTGCAGTGCACTACGATCGATACATCGCTACAGCAGCCAGTAGTAATCGAAATGTCTTCATGCTCACCTTTCTTCAAATAAACTGTATTGGACGGCTTCGATAGCTCGCCCATCCCCTCTTGATTCAGCCCGCGGACGCGGAACGAATAACGCTTGGAATTGTCCAGATGGTCAACCAGCAGTTCGCAGACACCCTGTTTAGCCGTTCTTCCTACCACGGTGCGCTTATCATCATCTTCTTCTGCTTCTAGTTCGTAGTAATCAGCGGGTCCAAACTCATCGGTCACCACCGACGGTGTCCAAGTAACCATCACGCTACTATCACTTTGAGCCTCAGCGGTCGGTATTCCTGGTTTGTTTGGCACTCGGGGAGCTACAATGAAGGACAGATGTTGGATCGGAACCAAAAGTTACAATCATTATAGAAACGCACTATAGTGGAGTCGTTGTTAACATTTCGCACTCCATGGGTCTAAATTATATTACAGGACAGAGCAACTGAAAGCTATTGAACAATGACTTTCTACGAGTTAAGAACTGCAGCTTTACTAGTCCTGATTCGTGGTCTGGTGAAGTCAACGAAAAATGTTAGGGAAACTACGGTCAAAACTTTTACTGTCAAAAGAAAGAACTTATCGTTTGAAATGCTGTAGTCCTGCACCCCAAATAGTTTCATAACTACAACATGCGACAACAAATAACTCCGAGGAATTTCCCAGAATTAGAACGAATAGATAGGGCAAAGTAATAAAATGTGAGTGGCTGAGTGCGTCGTCCAACCGTATTTTGAATACGGCTGGTGTCGGTGCAGAAACGACCGATCAAGGAAAGAAATTGCTACGGCAATCCAGGGGGCTGTACTATTCTGCTACTTCAAGCAGCGCTCTCTCAAGTTTGTATTACTGCCCAGTTGTATTAAGAAATGGCACACACGATGTGGATCGTGCAGAATCAAGTAGTGCATTATCAGGTTGCCTCATAATCTGCGATATCGTCCAGTGAATATTTCCCAACATCTCAGCCTCTGCTCGTATGAAAAATCGTACAATCCGATGAGGTACTTAGATACTCGACGTTGAGACCGCTCCAGTGCATTGACCTCGTAGTTCAGTCATGGATGCTAACTAGGCTTGAATTGCGTTTTCGACATTGGGGGGCGAACATACGTACTGAACATCTGTCGGAAAATAGGGATGTCTATATGTCCGAACACTTCTCTTGGCAGACGGACCACTTGGTTGCCAGTTTTCGATGCCTGTTCCGATCGACTGAAACAACTGAAGTCATCTTGAAACATCGTGCAAAGGTTGTGTGTGACGGCACATCACTGCACTACTTGCGCTCCTTGTATGTAGTAGGTACTCTGGTGTTGTATGAAGAGTATCTTGCATTTGCTCACGTTGAATTGCAGTACATTTGGTGTTGATCACTGATGTGCCGTGTATAGCTTACTCTAAAGCAGATGATGATCGGCTTTCAATTGAATTACGCCATATCTCGATGTGGTCGGTAAACAGTAGGAAAGTTGAAGAGACTGCCTGTGTGAGGTAATTAAGAAAAACCAAGAACAATCATGTCCATAGGACTGAGCCTTGCGACACACCACACCCGAATTGTATGGAATCAGCTAAAGGAGCCGCGAACTGTGACCACTTAATTGCTGTTGAAAGGGAAAATTGCCGATCCAGCTTACGAGAGGGTCACTGATGCCGTAACATCGGAGATTGGAAAGGTGTATCCAATGACCTAACTGATCGAAAGTCTTCGAAAAATCCTGGTAGATCACGTCAACGTCCTCTCCAACTTCAGCTGACTCGGTGCAACTGATCTGAGTGATTAGTAAATTAGCTGTCCACGATCGTTGTCAACGAAAGCCATGCCCCTCAGGAGTAATAATGTTGGAATTTTCCACATAGCATATCAGTGTATCGGCAATGATGGATTTCATAAGCTTGGATAGTACAGAGAGAAGAGACACTGGGCGATAGCTTGAAGGTTCAGTCTTGCTTTCACCTTTGTGAATCGTAGTTATTATTCCAAGCAGGAACTTGATTCTGGTCTACGCAGCGCTGAAACAACTGAGTCAAAAGTCCTGTCAGTTGTTTCACTACTGCATCCGGTGCTATACATCATCAAGCCGATGGTATTACTTCACAAGAACAAAACGTGACCTGACGCAGCTAAACTACTTGTGCCAATATGTGTTCCTAACCGAGGTTGGAACACAAACCATAAGCACTCGAGACAGGGTTTCGTAGGGCGTAGTAGCCCGTCGAGAAGATTGGCTTTCGTGCAGCAGACGGTCAAGACAACGGCTAGAACGGATAACCCGAGGCCCGTGTAACACAACACACAGACAGGTGAAAGTTTACAAAGAGAGCTGGTTTAAAATCACAGTGGCCAGTTTCTAGTCAAAGACGCTAGCTAGCCCAAACAGTAGACTGGTACCTTACACTACACCAAATGCTAACCTCAAATAGAGGATCGATGAATTAGCGTCCACACAGTGGGAATTTTTCGGAAGTGTACACAACGGTTAGGGTTAAGTGACAACTTATTCGGATACTTCATCGAGAGCCTACAGCGAATCTATGGAGAGGTAGTATGGAGGATAGCACCATTTGCTGCTCCGTAAAACGCTGGCTGCTGTTACTCCACACCTCTGCATGGATACTACTTGTTGATCGCACACCAGAAACTACAGCTTTTCAGTACACACAGAAAACTCACCCTTGACTAGTGGAACAGAAGTGTCGCTCGATTGGCTGAAAAGTCCAGGACCAGCTTTGTTTATGGCCTGCACACGAAATTCGTACTGTAACTCCGATGAGAGGTTATCCACTACAGCGGATGGCTGAATATCCGGAGAAAACGGCACAATCTGTGGTACTTGAATCCATTTTGGTTTTGTGCTAAACACGGAACTACGGCGCCTGCCGGAGACCGGAACGCGTGAGCTACACATCTCGATACTGTAGCCAGTAATGGGAGATCCGCCATCAGATTCTGGTGCTGTCCAAGTTACTGTGACTTTTCCTGTTTCCATTATTTTCACGTGCGGCTTCCCCGGGGCTCCAGGAACGTCTGTGCAACGGAAAGAAACAGTAAAATGAAGTTAGGTAATCAAAACATACCGTTGGGTTGAAGAGTTTGTCTGAAGCCAAAATGAGTGTACCACTAATAAGTTTTTAGAGACTTAAACTTACGAACCGTGTACTATTTTCAAAAAGTATGAAATCTCAGGAAAGTAATACTTGGTCCATATAACACACAATGTTCCGCACGCTTTTCTGATTATTCGATGTGATACGGTAGTCGAAAGTAAACCATACACTGTTCGAAACCCATTAAACGCTTCAGTAATTCCACAATGATAGTCGGTTCAGCTGCGGTTCGAACAGCTATTACGACTGGCAAAATCCACAAAGAGTTAAAGAGCACCTCCAACCCATAGACACACTTGGGTAGATTTTTCAACCTTTTATTTCATCTTGCCAATATCAATATGCCTACCGGATGGACAACCAACTGTGTTGTGTTCCAATCAGTAGGATAATGTTAGTTAAGCGATATAGTGTGGATTCCCAACCGCAAAAATTCGTCAGCTAAATGAAACCAAAGCAGTGTATCATAAAAGGTGGAC